CCTCTTTCTATGCCTCGCTCTCCATCTCATTACCTTAACAAACCAGATCAACAACCATCAAATATCCTCAATACTAAAATACAGCGAACGCGCCATCCTATATGTCAATTAACGTTATTTGATTTTGATTTTGATTTTGTTTTTATATTTATTTTTATTTTTTATTTTTTATTTTTTTGACATATTGGAGCAGCTAAAGCATTATGAGTTGTATTAGGAGAGTTAATATTTAGGGAACTGATGGTGATAGTATAAAATATACAGATGTAAAAAGGCATGGCCTCCACATCTTTCAACAATATTTTGAGAGAAGGCGCTATTGAATAGCCACTCTTGACTATTAAACTGGCTATCATATGCATATATATATATATATATATATATACTTGCTTAGGCGTCAACTCAATCATCTTCATTTTTTTTTTTTTTTTTTTTTTTTACAGTTTTCTGTTGTTTTATTGGTAAATTAAGATCATATTCATATCAGAGAGCCATCAACATCATCGTCATCAATTACCAACCATAATCTCCATCGTTCGTCGTTAGCTTCTTTTCTTTTTCTTTTTTCTTTATTTTGTCTTATGTCATCTCCATTCGGGTGCTCCTCTGCTTGAACTCTTATGTGATGTCTTTATTTCGCTTTCAATCACTTTTATTTTTATTCACGTATATGTAATATTTAATATTCATATAAATAAAAAGATAAAGTAAATAAATTAAAATAATTAAAAATATAAGCTCAAATTATGGTTAGATGAATGACATCTACTTCGTCAGAAAGTCGAGTCCATAGCATGGATTGATCTTTGGCCAGGTTTTGAGACTTGGAGTAACATGTATATATACTATTATACAATCAACAGAACTGATCAATACCGCTTTGACATCTTTTTTTTTTTTTTTTTTTTTTTTTTTTTTAGTCAAGTATGATTGAGAATAGACGATGTAATCGGACAAGATGTAAAATCAAGACAGAAGTTGGCCATTGTGCAGATTACCAGTAAGACACTCCTTTCCCTTGATCGTATTTTTTTTTTTTTTTGAAAGCCAGCTTAGCTCAAGCAATGTTTTATTTTTTATTTTATTTTATTTTATTTTATTTTTTTTGGCTCAAGCTCCCAGGGACCGCCTTGTCTCTTTCCTCACAAAAGTGCTCACCATCGCCATGGTTTTATTTTATATATATATATTACCAATGATCTCTGGAATACATACAGCAGAAAGATTAAAGTATATCCAATGAGTTAATCGGATAATTTCCATCCCTATCATCGACTGGACAAGGCATGCTTTGCTGATTGCTAATTCTTTTTTTTTTTTTTTTTTTTTTTTTTACAGCTTGTATGCAAAAAGTAAACACTTATTGCTATGGTATTCTATATATATGTATTATATATACAATATATATATTATTGAGTATTCTTCAATAACCTGTCATCTTTTTATTACTGTTCAACTCGGACATTGATTTGATAACTTCTTGGTTATTCCAAAAAAAAAAAAAAAAAAAAAAAAGTGCTTGAACGCGACAAATTTCTATTTATTTGTTTACCTATTTCTGCTATGAAATATTATATATGTATAATATACGAGTTAGGAGGATATTGGTCGTAATGAGAAGATACGGGAAAAAAAAAAAAAAAAAAAAAAAAAAAAGCGCGAAGGAAAAGGGCAGATGGTTGTTTTTTATTTGTTTGTTTACCATGTTTAAAAAAAAAAAAAAAAAAAAAAAAAAAAAAAACCTTCTCCTTCCGGAGTACAAAGTAAACATATTAGAGTCGCCACGTTTTTTTTTTTTTTTTTTTTTTTTGAGACAAAGACAGAGAGTAAAGAATGACATGCTCCTTTTCTCTCATACCTCTATTATATATAATCATCTCTTCCCATAGTGTCTAAAAAAGCAAAACCCTGCTTCCATCTTCTCCCTTGTCTTTATACATGTATAAATATAATATATATATATATATATATTTAACAAATGCGATGATACTGCGCAACGGGCAACTTTCCAAAGTCTTTTCATGTTTATAAACTATATGCTATTATTTGAAGATGTATACTATATATAATATATATATTTATATAATGTTTAATATGATTATTATTTTTAAAGTTTCTAGGTATCAGGTATCAGATCCCATATCGCACAGGGCGCCTTTTTAAAGGTGCGAGCTTTTGGCATTCATTTTATACATGTCTCGGTGCTAAGCAGAAAGGCGGGGTTTCATGAGGTTTGAAGGTGGAAGTCTCCTCTAGCATTCTTTAATATGATTTTGAAAAAGAAAAAAAGAAGAGTATATTTTTATAATAAATATATATAATAATAAAACTAAAATTAAAATTAAAATCCTTTTGAAAAAACTAGATCCATGTAGCTCTTAACGTCCTCCCGCTCTTATACTCTCCCATCCCGCCTTCGCCTCCCTTTGGTCCCTTCTTACCTTCCTCCTTCCCCAATTCTTTTTGTCAACTATGCCTTAAATGGGTAGGAACTATTATGTATATATATTTATGTTATACGTAGACGAGTTCAATATTATTCAAACGTATATTTTGTTGCACGTCATGTAAGAAGGATGGTGGTACAAAAACAAAAACACGTTTTTCGATGCATGAAAAAAAAAAAAAAAAAAAAAAAAAAAACGCGAGTGCTCACTAGGAAGGAATGTTTTCTCGAATATCCTCATGATGCGCGAAAATAAAACAAGCATTCTTAAATTCCTATACGTAAACATTTCCAACCAAGACTGTGGCGGAGGCTGAGGCTGAGGCTTAGATGAGCTGCCTTTAATATATACATGTATTATAATATATATATACATCTATGTTTTCATCTACACTATATGATAGAACTCAGAATTGGACAAGTTGTTGTAGAAACGGGCTTGGTTCCGTAGACGGTCCGATTTATGATTGGATAGGGTTACTTGTATTGATGCCACTATTACGCGTATGTATTTGTTATTTTATATTCTACAAATATAATATACTATAAACTAGATGTAATTTGAAATAGGAATGTGCAATAAAAAAACCCGTCAAGGGCAATGCTTAAAGTTTAATACCATACCTGGTTGGGTCACTTGACGTTGCTGCACTTTTTCACAAACTACAATGTTCAGCAGCCAAGCTCGTGAACAAGAAAGAAATCAAGGCAACAATGGATAATTTACACCTCTTTTTGTAAGTGTCTCGTTTTTTTTATTCATGAGGACTCTTGGCGTGTTACTTAGATAATTGTCTCATTTTTTACTTTTCGTCTTGTTCCTCCTTGTCATTGTTATTGTTTCTTGACTCAGTTTAGGGCTGTAAACTATATACTCGATTTGCCATCGCGTGCACTCCCAGGAATGAGCAACGAAACGTTTTTCCTTGATTAAGAATGGATGTGCAGCAGGACAAGTTGACTTACCTCAGTCCCAAGTCATGCTTTGCTTGGAGTTGTCCCGTGAACTCTCGAGGACTGGTCGAGTGACAGCCCAGCTATTTAATGACTCTGCTTGCGCATTTATCATGTTGCTCTATCAAAATCTGTAAGTTGCTTTATCAAATTTTCAAAGTTATTCATAATGCATCTTATTCTTATCACAACCTTTGATACTCACATGTGCAATCATAGGGTTGCAAGGCTCGTTAAGAAGAGGCTGCCATCAAATGAAGAATATGAAGATACTTTTGCCCATACTACATTTGTTCCCTCGAGACTCTGATTATGAATTCGGATGGGCAAACGAAATCAATGAAGGCTCACAGGCTAGAAGGATAGATGGCTTTAAGCCTGATGGTTATCTTCGAAAATGGCATGCCAAAGTGTGTGTCGTGGAGATCAAATGTCCAAGAGAGGTATCTTCCGGCAGGAAGTATATTGAAGATCTGTGGAAGATAGCTAACCTCTGTAAAGATGAGGTAGATGATACCTACATAATCTTCGGGGCATAGCTAAGATGACGGTGATTCAATTATTTGGTAATGATCCTTTTCTTTTTCTTTTTATTTTATTTTATTTTATTTCTTTTCCTTTGTACTCATTAATGTTCGCCTTCGGTACTAACCTTTGTGGAACTTTGAAATCACAGTCACCAGCTACAGTATATGCCATGGAGTACAAGGAAGGGCTGTATCATTGGTCAGCCATAGGAACAAGTTATTTACCTTGGACCGACATAATTTTGGTAGGATTTTGCAATGTTTGGAGCTGCTTGAGAGTTTGAAGGTAAGCTCCCAATTCCCTATACTTTGTTATCATAATCATGAGCAACGTCTTAATTTTTTGTTTTTTGTTTTGGCAGGCATATTTGGATGAAATATGTTTACCTTCAACTCCTCCACGAGATTCGGACGATGTTCCCATGGGAAAACCTACGAAAATTAGTCCAACGCAAAGGCCCATTCTTTTAAGATTGTAAGAAGGGTCACAGTTGTAGGTAGTTTACTATGGTTGATAATACATGCAGCTGATTAGGCTCGTTTACTGTATGGATTGCTCTTTGTCTTTAAAGATTTAATATTGGCGCTAATAAATGAATATTCAGAAAGTTTACAAAACATGGGATATGCACCCATTCTCTAATAATTGCATGTTTGACCTGTAAAACACACTCATTCATTTCTTCTTATTCACGGCATCAAGCAAAAAAAAAAAAAAAAAAAAAAAAAAAGTTTATTTATACTTCAATGAATAAATAATGTATATATAGCCCGTTTCATTTGTCATATACCTTATATTTTTTGAATACTTTCGAGTGTATTGGCAGCCAATTGGCTCGCTTGTTGCGAGTATTGTTGCAAGTCCGTCACGCAGTGAAATGCCACCAGAACAATTCAATCATCGTTTTTACATTAAAAATATAAGGTATCATGACCAAATGAAATTGGCGATATGTACAAAGATTCAAGATCCATTTTTTTATGCTTGACTTTATTTTTTTTTTTTTTTTTTTTTTTTTTTTACTTGAGTGTTGTTATCTTGTTAAGAAAAAAAAAAAAAAAAAAAAACCATAGGGCAAAACTAGAGCTCGATGATAGAACCAAGGCAGCAGCTGCACTGTTCAATGTGAGGGTATAGGTTGGACGAGAGCGAGAATTGGCTTGCAGATGGTGGTTCGGGTATAATTTGCAGGCCTATTTCGCTGCTGCTGCTTGTCATGAGAAGGATGCAGTGATGGCGATGATGCTGACGATGCTGATGAAGGGCTGGGGTCGTGACCGCGGATAGTGGTGATGGTGACGCTGCAGGCGAAGGTGAGGAAAGTAGAGTGGAAGAAGACGAGCGATGGTGTTGTTTAAATGGTGACATAAATCCTCTACTAGCTCGCGCGGCAACAGCATTCTGGAAAATGTTAATTCCCTCCCATGACGACTTTTGTTGCTGTTGCTGTTGCTGTCGCTGTTGTTCTTGTTGTTCGTTCAAAAGGCGCAAATGTTCCAAATGTTTTAGCTCCTCAGAGTCCGAAAATCGGATCGCACGAGCGCTTTCCGACCGATCGACCTTAGCTTCCAAGGATGCCAAAGTTTCTTTCAAATGGATTGACTTTTGTCGGCGAAGCCGGATAGCCTCTCTCTCGGCTTCTTCTGCAGCTGCCTTGGCAGCCAGCCGTTGTACCTCTCTTTCCTCTGCCTCTTTTGGGCTCGGATCTGAGCTTGCTCTAGCTCATGTTGGATCCTAGCCTTTTCCTGTTCTTGCTCTGCGGCAGAGATTGTAGGCAAAAGAGGGATGGATGGGATAGCTGAAAGTAGATTTGTTTCCTTTGATGAGGCGACCATGATAGCCAATGCTTTAGATAAGGCTGAAGATTGTTCCTGTCCGGCCTGACTGCTGCGTCGCTGTTGTTGTTGGGACTCTCGACGCTTCTGACGTTGTTGTTGATGGTATTGATGTTGTCGTTGCATCAGATCCAGCTGAAGCTCCAACGTTACTTTTTCCTGGCGGAGAGAATCATACCCTCTTTGAAGGACTGCGATTTGATCCATCAAGAATTCACATTTGCGTTGCTCCAAGGTCAATTCATTATCCTTGCGGGGTGCATTCACTGTGAATCGCCGGCTTGGTTTTGACCGCTTACTATTATAAGAATAGATGTAGCGGCGACAGTGGCCACAGAGGCCAAAAGCGATGACAAGGTGCTATCACACATCATCATGCTGTTATTATTCTTCACTGGGGATGATGTCGATCCTTGACGAGAATGTGGTACATGCGCTTTGTTGTTATCCCTGTGGTCAGTTGGGACAACAACATTAGCAGCTTCCTTATATTGGTTCAATTGTTGTTGAAGTCGTTGAGCCTGCTGCTGGAAGAACGTGAGCTGTGTCTGGACCTGGACATGACGGCTGCTCATCATCAAAAACAACATTTTGTAATCTGTCCACTTCTATTCTGTGTTTACTCGCTTCTTTCTCCAATTTAGGAACATCGTTGCTCTCTGAACTCTTGCTGCAGTTACTGTCTATTGACTTGACAATTTGTGTCTGTGACTGTGTTCTGCGCTTCTGGAGTCTTAGTTCGAAGCTCTTGTACCTGTTCAATCAGTTGGCGGTTTTCTAGTTGAAGACGTCCGACTTTGTCGGTGGTTTCCTGAAGTCTTTTCTGTAGCTCGGCATTCTCCTTGAAGTTCTCCTTCATTTCCAAAGACAAAGCCTCCCTCTCCGACAAGAACCCGTCCAGCTTTCTTTCCTGATCCTGCACGATAGTCTCCAACTGACGAATGTGTTCTTCTTTGAGCGCGAGAGACACCCTTACATCGTCAAGCTCGCGTTTAGTGTCCTCTAATTGTGAAAGAGTTGATTCATATTGGGCCATGATGCTCTGTGGCGGTTGTGATGGCTGAAAATCGGCTAATGATGATGACAGCGTTGAGGTGGAAGAGGGACATGCGCTTCGATGACTGTTCAGAGCGCTTCAGACGAAGCTTTAGTGTTGAGATCTCTGCCTCAAGGGCTTCACATCGTTCTTGTGATGGTGACCTTGGGAAGAAAACTGAACTGGGAGGCTCCACAGAGGACAAAGGAGGAGAAGGTAAGGATGAAATGTGATGATGGGAGCGGAAAAGTGGGGTTTGAGGAGTATGAGGGGACGATTGTGCGCTACCACTAATGCTGCTGCTACTGTTGATGGCATGCTGAGTATAGGATCCTGTCTGTTGATATTGATGCAGAAGTGTTAAAGGCTTTGTTGGACCTCTTGAATTAGAGGGAGGCATTTTTGAGAGTGGTTGATCCAGTAAGATGGGTGTCCGTGTAGACCGAATGGGGTTATGGATATTTTAGTGATAGGAGAGGGTGTTGGATGCCATGAGGCGGGCGTCAAAGGCGGACTGACTATACTCTGACTGTTGCCTGCAGAAGAGGAGAAGGAGGATGGAGAGGAAGGTGACGGTAACGATGGTGCAGCCATGACATTGTCGGAAGGTGAGCGTTGATGACTCTGGTGCTGGAACTGGTGCTGGGTTGAAAGTGAGGGATGAAAGAAAAGTGTGCTGTTTCAAGCGGCATGACTGTTGAATGTTTTTTCTGTCCTTTCCTTTTCACGTATGTTATTGTATTCAACGTTCAATCCTTCACTCCTTTTGTTCTTTTCTTGGGTACTAAGGTCTGTGAAAGAGAGGGGCGTAATGCTTAATGCTTATTTTTTTTGCTTTCCCACTTAATTTCGGATAATTAAATTCAGGGACAATCAAATGAATGGGACTAACAAAACAGCCAGTAAAATCAAAGGGTGGGGGAGAGGGTGATGAGGTGGACGATGCAACAGAAATGAGGGAATGGAGACAACGCACAGAAAAAAAAAAAAAAGAAAGAAAGAAAAGAAGAGGGAAAGAAATGAGAGGAGAGAGGAACCGAGCCCTAGTTCCAATTCCCCTACCCTATTTTGCCCGCCAGAAAGGGTGTGCAAAAAGAATCAGAGAGCCTTGTTCAAGTTCAGAGATGATTGATTATGCTGAGCAAAAGATAAATATACCTCAGCCAATTCGTTCAGTGAGTAGTGAGAGAGCCCTCAGCTAATAAAACTGTCTTTTATTTTAGGTGCAATAACAAAAAAATCTTCTTCAAGAAGAAAATTACTGGAATGGATTAGGTGCCATGTCATACAAATAATGAAAAAAAAAAATGCTGGCTCATTCATCTTCATTCAGTTTGTATAACATAATGTCGGACCAAAACCACTCTAATTGCTAATGAATATTGACCCCAGTTCTCTTTCATTGGCAGAGGAACACAAAAATGGCACGTTGTTCTTTCTCTCTCTTTTTGCTCTCAAGCACAAAAGATCAATACACAACACAGAAAGAATAAATGAGTCCACATTTTTATTTTATTTTTTTGAGGGACCTTGTACAAATGTCATTCTTCATTCTTTTGAAGTATATACAAATACATTATAATGTGAACCTTGCAATGATACATATCCTCAATAATAGTGAAACAGTTCTCACTGTGACAGCCTATTATTGGCCAGGGCTCCTTCGATCTTGTTTCTTGCTCTTGGGTCAGGTTATGATCACATACATTGAATTGGAGCGTGCGCGAAATAAAGATGAGGCCATTAAGTGTTATCTGTTTTATCAATTAGTCCCTATCATATACATATAGCAAATATGACAGGACTGAGACAAGGACAAAAGAGCAAAGCGCTAGAGCAGGGACAGGGGCAGGGACAGGGACCGGGAGGAGGGGACCAGTACAGTGGTATGCTTCGGTTGAGGGAAGAGACACCTGCACGCTAGTCCCAATTTCGCCTTCTAACTAAAACGAGCGTCTTCGTAGCAACATCACAAGGAACAACATCCCGGTATCAATGACAGGTGCTCTCATCGCGGAGCTGAACGACAGTAATCATGCATACGAGATTCATCCGAACAGATCTATTTTGCAGCCACCCATAGACAAGTCTTTTTGTTGTAACAATGGGGCCAAGCAAAGTTTTGAAATGCTTTTCCTAGGAGACAATGCTTTAGCCAAATGCTTTTTTATTATTGTACAATCTCCTTGCTATTCTGGAGAGAAGTTTAAAGCAGTTATCATCCCAGGTCCGTTCATCCAGAACTTTGCACTCATGGGCTTATAAAAAAGATATTGGGCAGTTAATCCTTTTCATGATAATAGCTGTTCTTTAAATTTTTAATTTTGTGAACGCGATGCTGTCAAATATTCTGATTGGTTGGGAGAATAAATTACATTGTCAAAAAATTTGAAAAATGAAAGATGTTGATCAGACATTTACTCAAATGGTGCTGTGTCCCTAGGCTATCCTATGCTTTATCAAAACACTCGTAGATCATTTATACTCGTGTCTTTCCATCTTTTGCCTCTCTTGAAATTATTTATATACAAATCTCGGTAAAAGTATGCAGTTATTAAACAGCCCCTTGGTATATATGTACATATTCATGTACATACTTCCCATTTAATGCATCATCGGCTTACATTTTACAATCCGCAATGTTCATTCTCAAAACGTTACATTTGTTGACACAATAAGCTAGCTACAGACCTCCCTACAGACCATGTAATAAAATGCGGAAGGTACTGTACGAAGTGGCCTTTGATCCGATGTATCTAATTTTGTGCGCATGCATTGGATCAAGGGGAAGGCCTGTTTGAATGTATTAAATGTACAATATCCTTCAAAATTACAGTCACCCTTTATTTATTTGTAAAGAGAGGCATAGTAATGCAGCAAAAAAAAAAAAAAAGTATTTTCAGGGGTCTTTTCGATCTTTCCTGTCGATTTTTTTTTATAGAAGGAGACAAGATACATTCATCAATTCTAGTATCAACCTTTACAGGATTTTGTAAAGGTTAATGGAATACACTGCCATTGATTGGCTGTCCTGATTTCAGAAAAAAGCGCTGCTACTTGTAAAAAGAATGAGTAGACATAGCGCCCTTCTCGGCCATTCTCTTTATGATGAGTGAGGGCGTATGACCATTGAGAAGATCTGCTGCAAGATCTTTGTCAAGATTAAAGTGAATGAGAACAAGGCAAGGTAAAAGTCAGCTGAAAAGATTGAGAGGCTGAGAAAGCCAAAAAAAAAAAAAAAAAAAAGTACTTGGACAAATATGAGAGATATTTGTTCTAAGGATTCATTTTGCTCCGGCTTATCACCACCATTATGACTTTGATTAGTATTCCTTAATATTTTATTCATCTAACTTGATCATATTCATCTGAACAAAGAAAGGATCCTGCAACGATACGCATGTCTCAAGTATGAGATAGCCATTTGACTTGATAAAGTATGTAAGATATAGAACTATGAAAGAGGCTCGTAAATGGCGACAACTGAATGTGCTCTTCGCCAATCAGAATCCTCTGACACCATTAAAGCCTACATTTCAAGGAAATAAATGTCACGTCCTTTTGGGTGTGCCTACCATGATGGGTACGTAAAAGAGCGTTCAAGTATCTGCTTACTATGATATTATTGTATCATTTCATTGTTGTTGTTATTGTTCGTGTGGCTACGAATTGGAAACAGTGTTATAAAATAAGTCAATAGCCACACATGAAAACCACATTGCTGCTATGTTATTCTTTATTTATATTTCACAATCCATTTTGAAAGAAGAAAAGTGTTTTTTTTCTTTTTTTTTCTTGGGATGGTAACAGCAAAATGATTCAAAATGATTGCTTGCTTCGGATATGTAGTTACGGATGTTAATGATAAGGATGGCAAGCAGTTAATATTATACATATGAAAATGGCTGCTCACAATTAAGGAATATTCCAAATGAAATAATATGTAATACGGAACATTCAATATGATCATTTTACTGACGTGATGCGTGTGTGGTTGAGAGTCTAAAGGACATTTTGTCTATGCTCGACAATGGGTGCTCATCGCTTTCCAGTCTAAAAAAGATATTAAATGACTATTTACATGAGGAGCTTTTTGTTTTGTTCAATGTCTATATATCTTGGTCAATCTATGTCTTTTTGCCTCTGCCTCTGCCCATGTCAACTGTGTCTCTATCCATACTAATACGATGTTTCAAATCGTCAAATTAACCACTGATTTTTGGGGCGTTTGTTTATCTTTGCCCAATAGCTGTAGTCAGATCAATTAGACAAACGAATATGAGTGTAAGAGTCTCAATCTGTTTTGTTTATTTGTTGATCGAAAAAATTAAAAAAGGGGGAAAGAGGAGAGAGGAGAGAGAGGGAGAGGATGTTCAAGCGGACGTCGCGTGGCACATGGGAAAAACATGAAGTCTTTGTGCATGGTTGCCAGCCTTTTTGTGTCTTGTGCTATGTGTTTTGTCTTTTGTAGCACAGTTGACGATGCAACTCGTCATTGTCTTTTTTACTTTATTTTTCACATTAGTTTACTTGCTTTGGCAAGGAATGTGGCCCTGCTCTTCAGGAACGGAAACAGTTTTAATTGAGAAGAGTGTAAGTCTGCGCATTGCATCAATTGCGTCGTTGATCATCTTTTGTTGTTCCTGGACCTGTTTTCCCACTTTCCCACTTTCCCACTTTACCACTTTCCCCATTTTGCTGTAAACTATACTTTCGCATGCAATTTATCTCCATAGTCTATTCCTTCAAATGTCATCCAATGAAATGTTACATATGCTTTTGCCTCGCTGGTGGATCTTCAACTCTTGAGATATATTTGCATTTCTGTCCTATTCTCTCTCTCCTCTCTCTCTCTCTCTTTTTTTTTTTTTTTTTGTGCATGCATGCATATTTAACTATCAGCACTACCGTTATCACGAAAAAATTATGCAGCCCATCGAGCAGGGTCATACATTACATATTTGAATAAAGGCCCATTGTTGCACAGGATCAGGAGAAGCTGTTTCATCTTGTCAAGGGGAAAAGGTTCCTTTGACGACATTTGTGACAAGTCCTCTGTTGGGAACGTGCATAAATGTAGAGGAAAAAAAAATGTACTCTGTGACAGGTAGTGGTTTGGATGGTCGCAAGAGAGGGGAGGGGAAGAAAGAGCAGTGATGCAATGGCGACGTGGACAGGGGAGATCCATTTGTTTACACCTTTTTGGGCTACAAAGAAACGGGTACAGATACCTTTTTGCAACTTTGCGCTGAAGTAGAGGAGGAAAGAAGTGGGAAGGGAGGACAAAGGTCCCCTAGCCGGAGATGGGATGGGATACGGAATTAGGAGGAAGCGTAAAACGTAAAGCGAAAAGGTGTGAAAATTGGCTCAATTGCCCTTTTCTACGTAAACACACCATGACATTAGTTATACAACCACGGCTCCTTTTTTCGCGTCTTTCCTTGACGCGCTCACCTAATCTAATCGCTCACTCTCACATCTTTTTTTTTTTTTTTTTTTTTTTTTCGCGACATTGTCATCCGAAGAAGGATTTACGATGTCGCATGACAAAAAAAGATGTAAAATAAGTTTGCCCTTTAGTTCAAGATTAATAAAGGAAATAAAAAAAAAACAATGGAATTGAACCTTTCTCCTTTTTTTTTTTTTTTGTACATGGAGTAATTTGCATGCATCCGTCATCATTGCACCTTGAGGCTCTCTTTGGAATTCGCACACACAGCATACAACATGATACACTAACATTAATGAAAATACAAAGAACATCAGCACATTGCATTATAATCATTGTAACTGTCCTTCATTCTTTCATTCTTTCATTCTTTCATTCTTTCATTCCCTTTTATTTTATTTAATTTTTTTTGTCTAAAATTATTTTCTTCCCTTTTCTTACTGTAATTTTTTTTTTTTACTTTTTTCCCTTGCTTGACTGACACAGTCCAGTAAATAGTCCCATTTATTATTATCGTTTAATCGAGCCAATACCTTGTATCTTCTTGGTTGTAATAACATTCTCCCCACTCCACTTTCTCTCTTCCTTTCCTCTTTTTTTTTCTTTTTTTTTTTTCTCAATAACCTTCAATGTAATGGTCTGCTTATTCCAGCCTAGCCTCTAGCTCTCTGTCTAGCCTGCATTCTCTCTCTTCCTTCCCTTTTCTGTTGTTTGTTTCTTTTTACTTCGTCCTTCTCTGTCTATATCTTTTCTCTCTTCTTCACTCTTATTCTCACTCCCACTCTCACACACTCTTTTTTTTTTTTTTATTTTTTTTTATTATTTTTATTTTTTTATTTTTTTATTTTTTTATAAATATATATATAAATATACATATTTCTTTTTTTTGTATGTGTGTGTAAGGTTGACTTTGCTCCCATTGCAATTACTCCATCTCTCTTTCATTGCGATCCCAACAGAAATATGACACAACAACAATGTACAAACACGCCAACGGAGTAGGAGTGGAGCCTTCTCCTCCTCTTTTTCTGATAATAACAGGGATTCTACCCGCTATGGGTCAACAAGTCCACACCCCCCTCTTCCTCCACCTTCACTCCACACCAGTATGTCTACCACAACATCCAATCCCTTCTCTCATGCACATTCAAGCACAAAACAAACACCAGTACATTGTCAGATATCCCAAATGCCAGGTCCAGTACCAGTACCAATACCAGTACCAGTATCACCACCGCATCTTACTCTCTACTTCACAAACGCAACAGTCACGACCGTCACTCGCTTTTCTCCGACCTGGCAACGGGATCGGTGGCAATCGAGTTGCCACCAGAATGCGCTCAGGTTCCAATCCACATCCACCGCTTTATCGAGATCAATCTCCCTCTCTCGCTCTCTCAGAAACACTCTACTCTCAACGACGTGCTCATCGAGAAAGTAGTGACAGTAGCATCAGTAGTAGCACAACTGGAAACGACTCCACTCATATCAATGATTCATTTTCCCGATCTTATTTGACTGAGGCAGGAGATAATAGTAATAAGCATCGAGCAGTCCAGGTCCTAGCACAACAGGAGAACCCTGGAATGGAAACGGCAATTACTGAGGGGTTTTCAAAGACAAGAGCCAGAGCCTCCACCAGTTCTGGTTACAACGCACGAGATCAAGGACCATCTGGAGTAGCACTCAGTTTTTTGGCCAATTCAGCCTTGTCTGAACGGTTGAATACAACCACAAAAGCACCCTCACCAGTACCATCACACCATCGCTATCGCCACGGACGCAGACGCAGATGCAATCACACTCGATCTCAGTGCCGTCAGCGTCTTCTCCCTCTAGTCGGATTTCTTCACCAAGTCCAAAGCCAAACATGACGTCGTCTATTTCCATACCCAATGTACCAATGCCTCCAGCTCCGCGTTATTCCACAAAAACCTATTCTAGTCCCTACAACTTCAACCTCAACCTCACAAACGTCCCCCGCTAATGCTACTAATCTTTTTACTGCCACCACTGCTCCAGCTACAACTACTTCTATTACTACTACTGCGGCTAATGATAGTTGTATCACGGGACTAGCGCAACAGCCACATTGCCTTCAACCAACTCAACTGGTCCAACAACGAGTGCGCAAAGCAATGGTACTTCTGCTGTTCCACAACGACAGCAATTGCCTCTAATGTGGACGTGGTTGGAAAACGACTACGGGAGCAACAACTTCAGGACAGATTCAAGGCTGCACAGAATTTTATTGAGCGGACAGTGGGTCAGGCCTTGCCTTCAAGCGACCTGCACGAGTCACTGAAGGATGGAGTTATTCTCTGCCGGTAATTGATATTTTGACTATTTTAAAAATCCTAGTAACGTTGTCCGGTATCCCTGCATTTTTTTTTTTTTTTTTTTTTTTTTTTTTTTGACTCCTGTCTGTGCCATCATTGTGCCCACTCTATCCTCTCTCCTTTCTCTTTTACCCCCATTTCTTATGCAAAGTTATTGGATACACTGTGTTTAACCTCACATGTTTCGGTATAAATGATTTTTTAGACTGGCGAATCGACTACGACCGGGCACTGTCGAACAAATCAGTCTGAAAAACCTCCCCTTTGTCAAGGTAAGACCAGCGGCAAAATGGCTGACAGGCAAGCAGGCAATCAAAAGGCGAGCAGGAGTGACATTGCAATCTACAACAACGAGGATAATTATAGGAGTGCACAAAAAATAAGAAAAACAAATATCCCAAAAAACAAAAAACAAAAGACAAAAAACAAACAAAATAGGGCTTGCGGCTGTAAATAGGTAGTATGCTTAGCAAAAAAAAAAAAAAAAAAAAAAAAAAAAGAAATCGACAATCACATCACTGTTCCCGGTTCAGAAAATCTATTGTTTGTACTCAATGACAGATTTTTTTTGGCCTGGGATGAGCTAATGGCAAACTATAAGGCATGCAGTTACATATCAATGCCAGTAACTTGCCTACCGTTCGTGATGTCTTTTTTTTCCTGTCTTCTATGATCGGTCTGCTAGATGCCTATTATAGTTCAATACCTTAGATCTTGCACAACTCATGACTCTTGTCTTATTTTTTTATTTTTTATTTTTTATTTTTTTCATGTATGTTTGAAATGTTGTTTAGATGGAGAATATCAGCAACTTTCTGAACGCAGCAAAACAGGTACAGACGCTTTTTGTGGAGTTAATGGCCGCGATATACATGATCAAGTTCATAATTGATTTCAGATGCGTTAGCATGCGCACACAATGGATGTGATCAGAATCGCTGAGCAGCCTTTTTTTTTTTTTTTTTTTTTTTTTTTTTTTTCTCATTCTTACATAGCTTGGCGTACAGAGTTCAGATCTGTTTCAGACCGTTGATCTTTATGAAGGCAAGGACATGAATCAGGTACAATTAGCGCACGTATGGACATTGCATAGTTTGTGGCAAATGCTTTCGAGTTCATGCTTTAACGCATTATTTTGGTCCGATATAGGTGTATCAACAATTTTGACGCTGGAGCGCGTAGTTGGTGGAGTAGCACGGATAGTAGCCAAAGAGAAGCGTCCTGGACCAAACCCGCTCGTATCATCTGGATCTGCATCGTCGCAAATACCAAAAGCAACAGATAATGGTGCGCCATTAACAAGGATGCGATAAAAGACTGCGCACACACCGAGCGCTGTATCATTGTCGTCATCGTCTTCGATGCGATCCTCATCATCATCCTTTTATGCGGCCCAAATTAAAAAATGGAGGAAGATAGTATCCGGTTTGCAACTGGATATGATCGTCTAGAAATTCGCAGAATCTCTATAATAAGCTAAAAGATACCCGCCATCAAAGCACCCCCCTTGTCATGAACAAACAAGCGCCCTCGCTACCTGTTAAAGCAAAGAGGTCTCCTCGTCATCGTATCGCTACCGTAGGTGACATTGATACAGCAGTAGCGGACATAAGCTTTGGCAGTGACGAGAGTGAAGCTCAATCTTCTTCGCAGCTCGAGACAGCTGAGGATAGACAACGACGCGCGATTTGGTTTTTGGCAGTAGTGGCTCACCTCATTGTTTGAACAGACCCGATCTTCACTTGCTCCAAAGTCAGTTTCAGGACCTCTGTTTTTAGCAGACGGAAGCATATTGACATCATCATCATCGTCGGCAGCGGCAACGATGGATTAGCGCCAGCAGGAGGAAGAAGAAAAGTATATCATTAGACCCTCAGGTTGCGAATGCTGTTATACCACTCCAGGCTATCGGAATGGTTTAGCTAGCCCCAGCAGCCCCCTTGGCTTGACTCAGTCCTCTTCCTACAACGCTATTTCTAATATGACAAACACCAGCCCTGGTGGCTACTCAAATTTGAAGCAACACTCACGGTATTCATCTGAGAAGACTAATGTCACTGCTCTGGAGGCTTGGGATCCCCTGTGTCCTCACGATCAACTACACCAGTGCAAGGCCTTCGAAAGAGCACCATAGCATCGAGCCTGTCCGTGAGGAGCTGGAACTTTGGGAGAACGACGAAAAAGTAGCGACATATGTAAGAAGACCAATGAAAGGGAGCAAGGATATGAAGAAGTGGCATGTTTGGCTTTAATATCGCGTTAACCTAATACTTTTATTTATGCTGGTCATATGTAGAAACTTGGAAACTGTATTGGAAGGGGACAGTTTGGCTCTGTATATAAGTAAGTTGTTTTGTTTGTCTGACACTTTGCTCGGTTATTATTGGGGCCTATTAATCATTATGTTTATTTATATCATTTAAACTAACTTCATACTCGATGTATTTGATAACAATTGTAGAGCGATGAATATGGTGACAGGCCAGATGGTTGCAGTGAAGCGGATCAAGATCGATGGGCTGAAAGATGAAGAACGGGACATGTTGATGCAGGAAGTAGATTTATTGAAGTCACTTGCTCATCCATCAATTGTCAAGTATGAGGGATTTATTAAAACAGAGGACTATCTCAACATTGTCCTGGAGTTTGTTAGAACGGTTCGCTCTTGACAACACTCAAATCCTTTGGGGCATTTCCCGAAAAGCTCGTAGTCGCATATGTGGTCAAAATCCTGGAAGGACTTGTTTATCTTCATGGCAAAGAGGTAATTTTATTATTTTGTATTGAAAGTAGACACTGAATGTATGATTTGTGTAAAGTAGTCTGAAATGACGCAAAGGAGATTGTCTACTGATTATATGGTGGGTTTTTATTTTATGGCATTTTTAGGTTGTTCATTGTGATCTAAAGGCTGCCAACATTCTCACAACTAAGAATGGAAACGTGAAGCTTTCAGATTTTGGAGTATCTCTTAATCTCAAGGTGAAGGAGTCTGACTTTGGTGCTGTTGCTGGAACACCTAATTGGAGTATGTTGATCGAATGCAATAGTCGTTATTGGATTGGCCTTTACAAAGCTATGGGATTGTTTAATTTCCGATTACATCTTGTCCTTCTCTCTCTAATATCATTTCCCTTTTTCTTCCCTTTTTTATAAATTTTCATTAGTGGCACCGGAGGTGATTGAGTTGAAAGGTGCCTCACCAGCCAGTGATATCTGGTCTTTGGGATGCACAATCATTGAGATGCTGACGGGACGGCCTCCTTATGCAGATCTACTTGCAATGACAACTTTGTTCCGCATTGTAGAAGATGAGCGACCGCCATTGCCCAGTGACGTGTCTGCAGACCTATTGGATTTCTTATGCCAGTGTTTTCAAAAAGACCCAGCGTTGCGGCCCAGCGCAGGAGATTTGGGTCGCCATGTTTGGATTAAGCGTAATTTTGCAGCAAAGGTTAGCATAGGACAAACATTTTGCTCGTTTCCCATTGTCAATTTGTAAAAACGGCTTGGTAGTCTAATGCGAAAAGGTTATCTATTTATTCCATTCTTTCAGGAACTTAAGCCTATGGACAGTTTACCATTTATGAAGCGTAAACTGCTGGAGCCAAAGGAGAGAGTCCTTGCATCAACGCAAGAAGAAGGCAAAGAAAATGGAGCGGCTGCTAGAAGGTCTCTAACGCCACTTGGGCTCTCTTCAGGAACAGCTACAGGGCCACCACCGGCTGTATCTCCTAACGTTCCACTGCAGGCAAGTGGAAGTGGCGTAGCACTCGACGAGGAAGCGTTGACAGTGCTGGTGCATTTTATGCTTCTTCGACTGTTCCAGCTCCGACCGTTCTCCATGATCGGTATCAGGAAATGAACCGAATGAGCGGCAAGGCAACCAATCAGCACCAGTTTGTTAAGAGTTCATTTGCAAAACGTAATGGAGATTTCAATTATGTTGGAAGCTGTAATATCTTATTGATACGTACTGTTCCTGAATATTCTTACTGATGCTACTTTCTTTTATTCTATAACCTCTTAAAGCTGTGGAGTGTAGATTGTGCCACGATCACGTGAAGAAGCAGGCTGTAATCTGTCAAGGTAAAGTCGGTGCTCAATAGAATGGCTTATAAATGTGAACATGGCTGGAGAGATAGAAATGGTGCTCATTTTTTTTTTTTTTTTTTTTAAAAAAAAAACTCTCCTTATGACTCCTTAGATTGCAGTATGGTATTTCACCGAAAATGTCAGTTCTATGTCGGTAATACATGTTTTCCGGGTCCACATCTCTCTTATTTCCAGTCAGGCACACCTGTTCCATCCTTGCCCAACCTGAAAGTACTAGCGAATGGAAAAGTCAAAGGAGGCAGTCGTCCCAGTTCCAGGGCTTCACAGTTGAATGTGGATGACCGATCACGATCCGCAACTCCTTCTCAAGGTCTCTCACCACGACCCTGTCCAACACCTCCGCTCTCAATTTTCAGCAAACGTGAGACGACCACAATCAACGAAAGCTCAGAGCATAGTAGGTTATTTCCCCTGTACCTCCACTGCCATTACCTCAGCTCCCCTTGACTTCTGTTCAGCGTACCATGTCCCCTGAAGGGTACCTGACCCTGCGGATCCATACAACAGTCAGAATCAGATTCAGGGCCAATCAATGCGACCACCAAGCCGCCAATGCGATAGCCCTACATCACCGACGTTTTCAGGACTCCGCAACTTGATTTCAGGAGGGGAGGAGATTCTCGTTCAGTAAGAAAGGCACATCTGCATCAAATGCCCATCCACTCCCAACGCCACCTACGTCGTATAGCTCTAATCCTACGCCATCTGCTGTCGCTTCTTCCACTGTACATGTACGACAGCAGGCTGGGACTCCAGACTCTAGCAAGACACCTCGGCAACCTCCTACGACACCACCAAAAACACTTCCTGTCCCGATCACAGGCAACAATAAAACAATAAAGTTAATTTGAATGACTCCGCGGGCCGAAAATATCGTGGGCGTCTATATCATCCTGGGCCTGGACCGTTGGATCCATTGGATGATAATGACATTAATGTGATTGGCCATTTCAGTCGAAGCCATCAAAGACCAACTCGATCAATATTTTCTCTACAAGTGCGCCACCAGTTTCATACGGACTATATGGCGGTAGCGGGAAGAAGGTTAGGAGCAGGAGCAGAGTTCTGGGAAGCCGCCATAGCGCGTCGTCGTTGAAAAAGTATGGTGACGATGAGTTTGATGGAAACGATGAACAAGAGCAGAAAAGAGTGGACAGCGATGATGATGCCGAAATGGCCATGATGGCATTGATGATATGGAAGAGAGGATCTGGAAGGGATGTTAATTCCTTCGTGGCTAGAACACCACGTTCGAGTGTCGATGCTGGACATCCTGTTGTCGTTACTAACGGTGTGGACACCTCGAGTCAATAGCCACCAATCCTTTGGCCAGGCATTGAGTCATAAACAAATGCAGCTAAGCCGGGAGCCACCGTCGCCACCGCCACGACTACCGCGATCAAACATAGCCGCTTATCACCAAAATGATTTTCCTAGGCCTCACTCAGGCGCAAAGTCACCAGCTATGCGAAAGTGTCTTCAGCAAACCCAACAGTCACAACAGCAACCTTCACTTTCTGGTGGTGGACGCAGTCAGCTGAATAGTGGATACAGCTCTTCTGGGTCCTCTTCTGCAGCGTTGACGTCGTCTTATTCGTCAACTCAATCGAACAATAGCTCGTCTGCTTCATCTCTGGGTTCGGTTGCAGCATTGCTGGAAGAAGAAAACGGGCGATGAAGGAAATTCAACAGCAACAGTATCATTCTGGAGGGGCTCGGTCCAAGAATGCAATGCTCAATGTCCCCACAGGATTTCATTTGGCAACACAGCCTCGAGAGGCTCATCACGTAGGCATTCGGACCATGCTCAACCGCTTCTCGGCTTCAAACAAGGATCACACAACACGGTTATGACCGCCGCTGAGTGTGCATGACAAAGAAAAAAGAAAAGGAGACACAGCTGTTGCAACAACATCGCGATATTTCCAACAAGAGTCCATTAAATGCATATAATAACATCAACAGTATGTCTACAGGAGCAATCAAGCACCAGATCCAAGCTCCTACACAATACCAGCAGCTTCATGGCCAGGCTCTTGCTGGAGTAAGATCAATTCATCCATTACAGCAGCAAACATCAGACACGATTGCCAGAAGCACGGATGTCGAACTCAACAGAGTTCGATAACATTGTCGGGCAGAGAACAAAGTTTGCTCAGGGGTATGAATTGAGCCACCACCAACTTGAGGCAGCGAATGGAACATTATTACAGAATGCAACAAACGCATGGAGAGCTTCATCACCTGGTGGGATCCATTACTCAGCAGATTCCACTTCTTCATCTACAATTTTACCACCGTCGTCTTCATCACATGCCAATGGTTTGGTAGGAGGAGGAGCAGAGGCTGCTTTGTCGGCCCTCAAGAGGGGTCGTAAGGTCATTCGGCGAAGTATGGGTGCAACTCTTGAGAAAGAGCACTGGGATTAAGAAACCAAATCATGTCCCATGACGAGCAAAAAAAAAAAAAAAAAAAAAAAAAAAAAGATCGGTATGGGCATGATATGATGCCATTTATTTAACCAACATTCACCATTCCATTCCAGACTGGACATCAATTAATATCTATTGTACTAATACTTGTAATGATAACGATAATGATAATGATAATGACAATAAAAGATACATTTCCTTTTTTTTTTTTTTTTAACTAAGAATTGGATAATTTTATGCTCTAGTTTTGTTTTTCCACATAATTTCAATACCACTATTTTCGCCTTTAACAGGATTTTGATAGTCAGCAGAAGAAGAAGATGCTGATGCTGATGCTGATGCTGATGCTAAAGATGATGGATGCCGGGTATTTTCCTGTTGTTGTTCTAATAGCTGTCTTTCTTTTCCTTCTCTTGCAGTCCGTCCGGTGAATTCTTGCCATCCTTCATTCACCATCTTCTCTTCCGTCTCCTCCTCTTCTTCTTGATAGTTGTCAATGTCGAGGGATCCTGTATGGATGCTGAGAGGGTTTGATCTGAGGTACCAGTGTTTAGGTCTGTATCTGTACCTGTATTTATCGGTCTAGAGTGATCTGTCAAAAGTGATATGAGGGGACCTTGTGATGATATTGATGGAGCATCTGTGGTGGTAGTAGCGGTAGACGACTGACTTGCATGATGATTCTTTTTGTTCTTCTTTTCGATAACATGAAAATCTTTGCCTTGACGACGTTGTTGATCCAATGCTTGGGCACGTTTTTCATCGACGACCTGCCAAGGAACAAATGCAGGTGCTGCGACAGTGAAGACGGCCCCGACCGCGACAGTGAAGAAGAGTGAAAGAGTGATTCGCTGTCGCTGCAACAGCGTGAGCGGTCGCATTATTTATTCTTTCTCTCTCTTGTCAATTTGTGTAAGAAATGGATATGGGGCTCCCGATAAAGAAATGTAGAATGGGTTTTTATATCCCGGTTGGTTTTGAGTGTCGTGTATAAAGTAAATAAGTATGTTATATAAATATTTTTAGCTGATCTGAATCCTTCGGAGGTTTCCTGAATTCTTTTTAGATCTTGCTTTGGTCAATGATTCACTCAAGAAGCATTGATGAAATTAGCCTAGTGTTTCGGTTTTTGTCTTTTTGTTGTCTTGAGAACTGAGCAGGATGATCCAGCGATGTTGGGGTCAATGAGAGTAATTTTCTACTTATTACTTTGTAACTTGAAGTGATGCCGGAGAAGAGAGATTGAAACTGGATGCCATGTGTCATGTGACTAGATCATCAACCACAATAGTGAAAAGTGAATGAATGTCTATCAATATTGATAAATCAAAACGTTATCTGTCCTTAAACAATGCATGTATGTATCTTTCATTTTAGACATTGTTCTATGGGTATGTTGTTTAATGGGCCTTTTGTTCTTTCTCCAACGGACTTGTTCTTCCTTCGGACAAAGCTTTCTTTATCTCTTACCTTGCCAGGATAGTTCTTATTGTTTTCGAAAGAATGTGTGCTTTGAACTTGTGCGGGTGAATGAATAGCCATGGCCTGTATTTTTATCTTGGTTGCACACATTAAATTCACCTCTCTGTTTTCTTGGCAGGAATGATCTTTTTTTTTTTTTTTTTTTTTTTTCTTTCGCTAAATGGCATTCTCATGAACTTTTATAATTCTATTATTTATACTCCTCTCTCCACCTTCTACCTCGCTCTTGATAAAAAAAAAAATAGAAAAAAAAAACTCATTCACGTACATTCATATTCATATTCACATTCACGTTCACATGTTCATTGTGTTCTGTCATTGAACGTTTTTAAAAGAAAAAATTGCCTTGACAAAGAAAAAAAAAAAATGAAACTGTCACACAGTGTCCTCTCGTTTCCTTTTCTTCCTTCCACTCGTCGTCAACGCTTTCGGCGGCAACTACTTCGTATGAAGTCCTCTATTCAACATACTCTCTTTCCCCCCTTTATCTTATCCACTTCATCCAAACTATGTCTGCTATTGTATTGGTTTACCCTGTGAATCCACAGAATGCGCGCTGTAAAGGCTCTTATCGATACAACAGCAACGATAACAAGTTCGATGGAGATTGCAGATGCTACTGTTCCTGCTACAGTAATAGCAGCAGCTAATACCAATTTGGAACAGCAACAACAACATCAACAACAACAGAAACAGCAACATCTTCACTACTACTTCCTTCCTCGACGCCCACGTTAATAATCCCACTTCAATGCCAGGATTGTATGGGTCCCAACAACACCAATATCAATAATATGACTTGTTACAAAAACACACGTGCATTCCATTACAATACCTTTGCGACAACAACAGCTTCCAAAACGCCTGTACAGATATAGTAGATACCCAAGACCCCAATGATGATCAAGATTATGATAATGGTCCGATTCTCTGCCAGGATCAACTCTGTGTAGCAGCCAATTTCTTGCCTCTACCTTCGCCTGGATCAGGCAAGATGAGTCGAAGCAGTAGCTCGGATTGTCTGATAGGCAACTATTACTCACTCTTTGGATCAATACCAAGTACACTCAGTCTTGTGTAGAAGCATCCATAATTATTATTATTTATAGTAATAAGAACCAACGGCGACGTCAAGTAGCGTGATGGTGTCAAGCGTGGAATATTTTGTTCAAGGATCTTGCTTTTTAAAGCACTTTGCCCAGGTTGGATTGTCGACCACCGTTTGTATGTCAAAGGACGGGCTTGGATCAGCTGTACGGGATTTGTGTCGATGGTTCAGAGAGGACGGAGCGGAGATGGCGGAGGCAGTGGATCATCACCAGCTGGAGGAGCGACCACAAAGTATTCTGCACAGGAGTATCTTGTTCAGGGGCTTTTGATCGGATATGTTGTTTAGCGTTGGGGATTGGACTCGGAGTCGGGTTTTGGGCACTATAAGCGGAAACGATTCACATCACGATGGATGGGTCACATATGTGAACAAACAGGAACAGCGCGTACACTTCACGGTTACACTACGACACGTGCTCGATCTCGTACTCAAGCCTGTGATTCTTCTGCTTCTGCCTCTACTTCCGCTGCTACAGCTACTGCCTTTGCTTCTGCTTCTGTTGGCGATAGGGCAAAAAGTTGGATCTCATCTCTATTGGTGTCATTGTAGGGGAAAGCGACCATTACAAGAGACAGCCAATTCAACTAGGATAACCCATTGTCGTTATCGTCTTAGCTGTTGTAGCAATGGATAATCGCGATTCCATAGCAGAGTCTATTATTACCCAAAGCAGTGATATCTTTGTGAACAACAACAGCCGCAATAACCGATGGCGTTGGCGATGGGGCGTGCCTTCACTCAATAATAATAGCAACACGGGGTTTATGTTTACTAGATGTTTTGGTCCTGGAGGAGCTACTCTCTATCCAGAAATGGAAACCGCCCCCATGTATCAGAATGGACCTGATCTTCCGAGTTATCATGCAGCAATGAAGGGATTGCAATGAACACAATTCATAGTGGAGAAGGAGAAGGAGAAGGAGGAGAAAGAGAAGAAAGAGGGGAAATAGAGAATAATAGTCTTCAAACAAGTCCAACGACACAGAGACTTACTCGACCAAGATCTGCATCTGGCACAACAGCAACAGTAGCAGCAAACGACAGCGACGACAGCAGCAACCGCATCAACGTTGAGATCAGTTGAACCAGAAATGCCACCACTAACTCTGGTCAAGGCGTTTGATCAAGAGAATGCCCAGGCAAGTTGCGCATGTAGTACTGCGCACAATGAGGGTAATGTCATGGCTGTACCATCTACTTCACACCCACGCCCTCCTCCTCCCTCCTCTTCTTTAAGCATAAGTCGTTCTGTCTCTCAACAATCTCGGCAGTCTCGCGGTCTCAGTGATCGAGCTTGTCTGCAAACTAAAAGCCTGACAAAGAAATCAGAGAAATGGGAAATTTGGAATATAGTATAATAATTAGATACCCTGTTGGCTTTTTTTTTTTTTTTTTTTTTTTTTTTTTCAAGAACAACCATCTGTCTTCTGTAAATATAACATCTGTACATATTCTCAAAATATAATTTTAACCCATCATTTAGAATAATTTTTAAACCATCATTATTATTATCATACTATTATATATACAAAATGAGTTATGGTGATCGCTACTATTACTTGTAAACACTTTACTATTTAACAATGTTAATGTGGTATCAAAGATTCGCAGTTTTTTTTTTTTTTTTTTTTTTTTTTCTTCACCGACTAGAAGCAATGGCGACAAAGATGGCCAAAAAGACAAAGCCAAAAGTCAAAAGGGAGCAAGCGAAACTAGCCTTACTAGGGCCTGGGATTGACTCCTCCGAGTAAAGATTAAAGAGTTCCGGCAACCTTGGACCTGTCGAAAGCGCAAATGTCTCGACCTCTGGCCTCAGACCATGTAAGACTCGAATGACTGCCCTTCGTTTGCGGAGGCTGATAGGAAATGAAGATGACCATCGAGGGTCATTGGGGGATGATTCAGAATGCTCGTTTGGGTGGTAGGAGGGAGGAGGAGGAGAAAGGCGACAGATTAATGTAGCCTTGCTGTGTATTTGCGCGCAATGTCATCATTGCAGCATCCGCAGCTGTTGATTGAGATTGACCGCTGCTAAGGGGGTCTGCCCCTAAGGATCTGCTTGTTGCCCTTCCCTGTCCTGCAGGTTGGATATCACTGACAGTGGATCTTCTGATCTGTCATTGTCGGGGATGATCCAAACTTCTGCAACGGGCCCGCCTTTGACACGCTGGCCCATGACCAAGAAATCATCTCGAGCGAGAGTAAATAGACGCCTTGCAGGCGTTTCCGGCACTGAAGGCATAGTATAATTTATTCCTGTCGTTGCTATTCTAGGGGTGAAGATGTTTCCTTGGCCTCGATTGTGCTCTTGGCCTTGAGAAGTAATGCTTTTAAGGCCATCAAAGCGCCCAAAAGCTGAGCTATTTGCCTGTTCAAATGGTGGTGGCGGTGGTAACGGGGTTGTGTGCTCGAAATCGGCCGAACCACTCGACGAGATGCTTGCGTGGTGCCACATTCTTCTCGCCAAGCATAGTGTTGTCCACGAATGCGCATCGATATCTCCATGGATTCTCGATAAGACGGCTTCAAATCCAATGAAGATTTTAATCGCTCAATCAGACTCATCCTTTTCCCTCTGGATCGCTGATAGTAGTTGCTGTTGCTCCTGCCTTTGCTGAAGCTTCTTTAGCCTTCTCTGTTCTGCCTTTTGGCTTTATTCTCCTTGGAATAATAATCCAGCCGTGTCCGCCACCACATGACCACTCTCCATGTGAGCTTTCTTGTCGACATTGTTGAAGATTGGTATCATGATGAATTGACCACCAAATCCATGTCTGTGGATCTTCAGCTATACAAACGCGAATGAGGGTCTTTTGAAAATTCAGATGTCAATGCGTTATTGAATAGGTTATTGTCACTGCCATTACGATTAGCCTGATCCAGTCCTAGGCTCAATTGGTGTGCCAGGATCGTATCCTCCTTTCACCTTCGTACCCATCGTTGACCTGAACATGCTGAACCGACGGCAGGGGCCTCGCGTTTATGGATGTTCGCAGTAGTGATGATGTTGGGGATGAGGGTGGCGGTAATGGCGTTGGCACCACCACTGTCGATGTCAATATTGGTGTTGCCAAGGACGAAGGATTTACCTGTAGTTCTGACCCTGCGGACGCTTGGCTTGTGTCTGCTGAAGCAAGAACTTCTTCTGTGACATCTGCTATTTCGACCATTGCTGTCGCCCCAAAGAACGTTAAAGATGCTGATGGCAAAGGTCCTGATATTACTGAAACTGTTACCGGCGCTGCTACTGGCACCTCTGTTGACGGAGAATGTGGTCTAGGCGCGGACAGTGGTGACATGTCTCTGATATTCCCCTCTCCACTTACTGGAGCCATAGTCCTTAGTACCGGTAAAGACAAAGTATCTGTGTTTTCCAAATCATGACTAGAAACGGAGGAAGCATGTGTTTGCGTATTGGCCAATAAGGCTGTAGTCGCTGCTCCAGGGCTACGCTGATCAGCAGGGGTCATTCCCTCTGATTGTCGGACTGGCCCACGCCTACGAGGTGGCACGTACCGTCGCGATCTCGACGCTGGTCCTCCGGGCCTGTTCAGCGGCGGCGGACCGCCTCGGATGTGTCCAGTAGCCACCCTCTCTAGACCGCTCGATCTTTGCACCCGATCATTGTTAATGTTCGTGTCTGAAAGACTTCGGTGCTGACTGGCATCCATATGATTGAACTCAATAGCTTCCTGTCCGGGTTGTCGGTCCGCTCAGCTACAACTTCATAGGAGCGACCTGAATCGTGCTCATTCTGCAGTAGTTGATGCGAATTCCGGATCTGTGATGGATTCTGAGGCTGTAGATCCCTGACTGTCATAGGAAGCTCTGTGAGGGCATTAGGGTCAGATTGGGCAGGCTGAACGTTGCGATAGTAAGGTCCGAAGTGATCCCTGCAGATTATGATTACGGATGAAGCGCCTACTGTTGCGAGTTCTTGGAACTAATTGTGTTGATTTGCCAGATAGTTTTGGATCCATCAAATAGCATAGATATTCGATTGTATCTTCGACCCAATACTCTAATGTCCAAGCACCTTGTTGAGAAGGTGAGCCTTCTCTTACTTCTTCTCTTTCTTCTTCTTCTGCTTCTTCGATTTGTAATGTCTCATCTTGTCTCTGCTGTAAATGGGTAGGCTGCCCTGGCCCACAAGGCCCTGTCTGTGTCGTGTTTGAGTTAGTGTTAGCGTATGAGTGGTTGCAGGGTGTGTGTGGCCAACTATATTCGATGGAATATGCTGCCGCCTGACTTCATAGTCTAAGATTCCACAAGGCTATAGCTCGGGATCACAACGTAGGTTGTACTCTGATCCTCTGGAAGGTTGAATGGTAATGCGGATATGGGAATGGGGATATATCCCGGAAGCTCATCCTCCTCCAGAAACGGTCGGCGATATATTGGTGTGGGCATGGGTGCGCGGAAGTAGTTGCTACTGCTATTGGTACTGCTGGTGCTAGAGGCCCCTGATGATGTATCATCTCCGTTTCTATTGCATACGTTTCGTTTGCACTTTTGAGGAAGCGAGGTTGTTGTTGATTCGACTACAACGGCCCCAGGGTGAGGGCTAGGTCCTTCCATGTCATCACGTTTTGTTGTACGTAGGCTGGCGGGTAAAGAGGCAGCGAAGCCCTTGTGGTTATGTAATATTGATGGTTGCCAGTGTGCTACTGTGTTTCCTTCATGAATGAGGGTGCACTCCTGAACTGGCCTGGTGCTCTGACTTTGAGTGAGATTGATACTGATGAGGATACCATTTAGACGATGACGACTCTGGTTGACAATTAGAAACTGTTATATTCATTTTCAGATCCAGAAGCATAATATGACCTTCTGGAAAAAGTTTAGTTGACGTATTCGCAGAGGAGATGGTGGTAGCGGAGTCTCATCTGTATCCAACGAAATGATAAACGCCGTCGTAGACTGGGCTAATGCTTGTCGGCTTCGTAATCCATTGTTGTTACCGCACGTTCAAATTTTATTGTTCTGGTCACTTAATAACGCTTAATTTTGCTTATGAACCCAAAGTTTGTAAGAGTACAGAGGAAACAAAAGAATTCATAGAAATTCAACGCTCTTTTTTTTTTTTTGTAAGGAAGAGGCTAAAATGATGTTGGCCTGTCAGCTCAAAGTGATTGCTTGCTACGACAAAGTGATGATGAGCTAAAGACGGTGGTTTAGAGGACTTTACACGTAACGACTTCTTTGACCACAGCAAAAATTGATGGTAAATAAAAAAAAAAAAAAAAAAGGGGGGAAAAGAAGAGGAAACAGTTCCATGCACGGGAGAAAGAAGAGAGCAAGGAAAGTAAGTCTGAGGAGACAGTGGGAGACAATGGGGCTTCAAGAATTGGGAGGAAGAAAGGTGGGAGAGTGAGAAAAAAGAAAAGTAACAAACGTGCAGTAGGACACAAAGTCGAGACAAAATCCCCATCAAGAGAAGACTGGTAACAAGCAATTTACCAATGAACGAAAAAACCAGTTCCTTGTACAAAATTGCTCTCATTGATTGGCGAATCTCCAGATAGGCAGTAGGCACGAGTATCCACACCATCAAATGGCAAGTGTTGTGTGTAACGGTCCAGTAAGAAATACAACAAAGAGGTGAAAGTCCTGTGATATTGAGGCATGTGCATGTCAAGGGTATATCTAGTCGAATTGAATCGTGTATGCGTAACTGAGGGTCCTTGTTAAAAAAATGAATCGTGTGTGTGTAAAATGGAAAAAGGGAATCGAACGGTTTATAATGAGCCATGCTTAACTATGCAGATCAAGGTTTTCTTCCCACGCCACGACATGGTTGTCAATGACGGGGGAACAAAGGTAAAGTGGATAAAAACTAGATGCTGAAAGTCATGGAATAAAGAGAAACTGATTGTTTGTACTCGGATTTTTTTTTTTTTTTTTTCATCCTGTTTCTTTCGTATTATTTTAACAGGGTCATTGATCGTCTTTTCAAAGCAATTCTCCCCTGATGCACATCTAGGAGGGGATTGATTTGAATCTAATGAAGTATCGCGTGCTTGGCAACATCAACCAAAAAGTAATACTGAACGCCCATTCCCATTCAGACGACCCTTGGGATGTTGGACCTAATAATCATAATTCTATCATCTTTATCACATAAGAAGACGTGTATGTGCTTAACAATTCTACCGTCATTTTTTTTTTTTTTTTTTTTCCGCATTGTCCCAGCACACACCATCAGAGAGATGAATCCATCAGCATTGGCCAAGAGGAACAAGATAGATCGCGCGGGAGATGATGGTGTTACATGTTTGGCTCTTTAACTTGCATGTGCATGAGCATGAGCGGAGATGGAGATTAGTCCCTTCTCTCGAGGTATATATTATTTTTAATGTCATTCATTCTTCTTCATGATCCATGACGTTAGTCTACCCCCGTGGGGTAAAAAGTAAAAAGGGGGTCGAGAGGAAGAAAGGGAAGGTGATACAATGGGCAATGAAAAGATGTTTCGGTGGGATTGTATTGTCTGTGTCATTCATCAGGGCTTCGGGAAGTCTGTTTTTGCACGATGTTCCTTCCTTCTTCCTCGTCATTCCTTCATTGATTGTGATTCAACTTGTCGTGCTCAAGCTGATATTGTGAATTAATAGAAGAGGATCTAAAAGTAAAAAAAAAAAAAAAAAAAAAAAAAAAAAAAAGAAAAAGGGTCGTTGCTCTTTTTTTTTTTTTTTAGTTTTTGAGAGAAAAAGGGGTAGAGTGAGGATGAATGATGGATCATGCTGATGCCAGGCACAGTTGTCAAACGTAACAATGCCAGGGCAGATGCTTCTGGACGATTGCTTTTTTTTTTTTTTTTTTTTTTTGGCGGGAGAAGAGTTGAGAGGTTTTGCCTGTGCTAACGTCTATGCTTATGAATATGCCGATGCTTAAATGCTTATGCCATTATCCATTGTCCATCATCTGTTTATACAATCGTTGGTGGATTGAGATGCGGTAGCGATAAGTTGATTGAGATGAGGAGCTGAAAAGAGTCAATGAAGATGCAGAGAGAAAATAAAAAAGGATCGTCATGAACCCACAGGAACATGGATGTGGATAATTGTGCAATGCAATGCCCTTTTTTGTCTTTTACCTCTTTTACTGCCCCCTCTCTTCCTCTCTCTCTTTCCTTTCCTTTCCTTTCTTTTCTTTCCTCCTTTTCATTCACAGATAAAACTTTTTCAACCTAACCTTTATACATTCAACTCTGATCTTGTCATTCACATCACTCTCACTCTCACTCTCACTCTCATTCACTCCACACCCATTCAATTCAACCACTTTTTAAAAAGACTTTTTTTTCTTCCTTCTTCTTTTAGCCCGCTTTCAACACCTTCTCTTTTGCTCTTCTTTGGCCAATACACCGCGGATCAACGCGACGTCTGTTTCTCCTTTACTTCCTCACTGTTTCTCCTCCTCCTGACACTATTACACTTTCCCGGCACGGTTTAGAAAACCAGACCTCTTCAACTTTCTTCTCTATTCTGATTGCTCCGCATTTTACAGTTGTCGGTAGCAACGTACTACTACTCATCTACACATTCCCAAAGCAAGCTTTCATTGGATAGACAGATCGACCCTTTTCCCATCCTTGCCTAAACTCATACATCCTATTATCCAGTCATGTATCACTCTATGGTGCAGGGTAATGAGGAGATAGAGGATCCACGTTGGAATGGTAAGTAACGTTTTTTTTTTTTTTTGCTAATCATTTATTCATCCATCATTTATATGGTTATATGGATAACGTATACTTTGGGTGCATGCGCGTGCGCATTGACGAATGTGTAAGCAGCGAATGCTTATTTTTTCTGCACCGTCATACTGCCTCCTTTTCTAGGCCAAAGTCATGTTCCTTTTTTCTTTTTTTTCTGTTCCTTGTTCCTTTAAACACAAACACAAAACATAAACAAAACCCAAACACAAACTATGACATGCCTTGGGTCACATACCACGGATGCAAGTGCACTGTTGACATGTGCAGTGCCTTTCGAAGAGAAAAATAAAAGAAAAAGAAAAAAGTGCACGCGGTCATCTTTCAACAGTAAAAAGCAATAGCAACAACAAACAGCATCACATAAGCCGATGTTTTTGACTATTTTTTTTGTGCGTTGGGACCAATGGGGTGATGGGCTCTTTTAACTTTTTTTATTTTTTATTTTTTAAATTCCCCTTTCGCCTCTTTTAAACTCTCTCTTGTACTCTTTTCTCTAACCATGTTGCTCTTTGATATTCCTTTTTGACTCTTTTGGCTCTTTTGGCTCTTTTGGCTCACTTTCCGTGGTCTCATTGTGCAGAAGTACTGCGGTTTACAATTGGCCAAAGCCGTAACAACCGCTCCTCCACTTCGCTTGCCTCCAGAGCCGTCACGATCTATGAGGACGACGAAACTTTGCCACTGTTGTCTTAGTGGGTTAATCCCCACGCGTCGTCAAGTCGCGCAATGGACTAAACAGCATATGGAAACGGCAGGCCGTGCTACTGGTTCTTCCTGTCTCAATTGTAAGTCAGTTTTAGGTTATTTAGCGCTTGTCTTTTTTGTCTGTTCCTGAATTACCTTCATTGTTTTCCATACACATTCATATTTACACATGATCTCCGATGACTTCAAAAAAATTGCTAAATCCTAAATTCTTATGATGTGTGACAATAGGTCATCATGTGGTGTTCAGTGCCTTTACGTACCTATCCAGATGAGCCAGAGGATGGAGGAGGAGGCAACACCACATGGCCTTGGGATGGCTTCCCCTGGAACCCACCTCACCAGGATCAAAACGCTACATTGCAGCCCTCTTCGCTTATCGCAGCAGCAATAACAGCTACTGCAGGAGGTGTAGCAGCAGGATTCGATGGTGGCGCACTATCAGCAAACCTATCAAACCTATCAGCCAATCTCACCAACATGCTTCCAACGACGCCTCCACAACCGGCAGTGTTGATCAACTTTTGGTGGTTTTTATGGTTTATTATGGGTTCTACAACGCCATTGGACTACTGCTGATTACCAAGATCTTTAACATCTATTCACTCAACTGGTGGCCCAAGGCCCTCGGTGGTCTCACATCCTACTTCATTTTCTGGCTCTCAACACAACTCATGGGGATCTTGGTCTATTACTTTACTGGACTAGAAAGCTATCGTCTTACCTGGGTCTTCCTCACTTTCTGCACCATGACTATGCCACTCCTTATTGCGTTCCTAGTCATCCGTTCTGAAAACCGAAATGTATATCGACATTCGCTCACAATGGCTCAAAAGACATTTCTCTCAGCTTCGTCGATCGAATCTCGGATTCCAGCTTCTTATATCCGCTTCCTATGGTTTTGTGTCGCCCTCGCTATTGCGCTCAGCACCATTGTCACAGGAGAGATGTATGCAGATCAGTTTCAGGCACCACGGACGACTCCGCATACGACAATTGAGGACTGGTGTATGTGTATTCGTGGGTGGGGACGATTTATATTTTGGATGCCATCACGGATTATATCGTGGAGACCCGAGTTCGTTCATATCCTCTATCGTCGATCTTCAAGCTCTATTATTTCATGATCTATTTCATCTTTTTATCGGAACCTGTTTGTACGTCTACGATCCTATGAGCAATTCTTAGTCATCCAGCTGGCCTCATCCTTCTGGGTCTGTATTTTTTCACCCGATTTGTATGACACATACCGTCTACAAGAACTTGGTCTATTTGTTTGGGATCACAAGGACGTATGAGGAGTACAAACGACAGGTCGGACGTGGATTGTTCTTGAGAAACTTGGCAGAGAATGTGACAATGTTGGCGTTCTTGTTATGGGTAAACATTCTGTATTATGGACCCAATGCCAAAATTTACTCGTATTTCCAATTCAAGGATCAGAATCGAGGGAATAACCGTGATATCACGGTCTATGCTCATTGGGAATCTGGGCTAGTGAGCTGATATCTAATTTTATTAACCGGACTATCTGCAGAAGGTGGATGGGACACCATGTCACAAAGGAGGCCCTCAAGATTTCAAAGAATACCCTGAGCTGATTGTTGTCTTCATCTTGGTCATGATTCATATCCTACAGGACATGTTGCTCTCTTTACTGGATCTCAACTTTGCATAGATGACAAACAAGCGTGACTTTTTAACTCGTTCGCTTGCCCTTCTTTCACTCTTTTTTTTTTTTTTTTTTTTTTATTTTATTTTATTTTTTTTTTCATGTGTATCTTCTAAACCTTGTATGTGTGTATTTTTATTTATTATCTATTATCTCTACCTTTGTATCTGGTGGGAGCTGGTCTTTCAGAGATTCAACTCTACACTTCTTATTCTCCCAATTTGTAGGTCCTATTTTCCATTATGATCCATGTGGCATTTTATTTTATTTTTTGGCATGTTGTACTTTTATTTACTATTTCACACAACCTATCCTTCACCCTTTGTCTTCGTTCCCTCAAATCCACTTTAACACGTCATCATCCTTTGCTCCTTGTAGTAAAAGTAAAAATAATAGTAATAATAATAAAAAAAAAAACTTTTTTTTTTTGTAATTTCATCATACTGCGTAGTCAAAGAAAAAATGTTATTAGAGTGTCAAGTAAATATCACTGGGGGTTAATACAGAGACGTGAAACGTCAAATACATGATGCAAAGTCTTATTAGTCTAAAAAAAAAAAAAGAAAAGAAAAGGAGGCGCTAAAATGCGCGGTATATGCACTTATTTTAGTTGCACATGTGTAGAGGATAGTGATGGTGATTGCTTTCCTTGCTGCTGTGGAGGCAACAGTGGCTGATCAAACATAGTAGCTAACTTTAAAGCACCGGCACCGGCACCGGCACCGGCACTCGGAGAGCGTGGAGACGAAGAGAGAGAAGAAATGGATCCTACTATTCCTGGACGATTCAGAGAAAGAGAGTTGCGCTGGATATGCATCTTACTGCCATGAGGACCATCTGTGGAACTACCATTGCGAGGTACCGAATGGATTCCACGCTCTGTAGCCCTAAGTGATACTTGCCGAATGGGTGTAGAGCCATCGCCAGAAGGATGGGCCCAGTGCTCACGTCTCTTGATCTCGGCCAGAGCCTGGACAAGGTTACCATAGGGACCAGAAGCGCCAAACTGTTGGCATTCACATGCATATTGTAAAGCGCCTGTTGTTGCTGTTGGCTCAAGGAAGAAGTCTGCTGCTGCAATGAAAGCTGGTGCTGCAGCTGATGTTCTTGCGGTTTTTGTAATTGCTGTTGCTGTTGTTGTTGCTGAGGAAAATAAGATGCTGTAGTAGTGAGCGGGGAGCCTGTAGGGTTAATCAGACTAGTGACGCTGTTATTCATACCGATACCTTTGCCACCACTCGGTATAGGCCGTTCAAGTTCACGACGGAGCCAGCTCTCGAATTGGCGCGGGAACGCCCTCCAAGGGGTGAAGGTAAGAAACTACCAAGGTCGATACTGGAGCGTGCACTTCTGGCCCAAGCCTCTAAATCATCTCACGAACCCATAGGCACCAAAATAGATCACTGCTAGATCAACGCCCACTTGTACAACACAGAAAAAACGCCATGACCCCCAAGAGGACGAATGGAGTCATCTTTTCCAGCGGTAAGCCTGTAAACAGAGAATGCAGATAGCGATTAGGAAACGTGAGAGATAGACGATCCGTTGAAATTTGTCATACGTCCGTAGGTTGATCCATTTGAGTAATGAGTTGCATAAGAAACGAGGCCGCAGACAACAAGGAAGTATCTGGTCAAATCGTAGTCTGTAGCACGCTCGAGGAGAGATCCCGGACCAGAGGCTCCTGCAGCAGATCGCCGCTCAATTGGGATTTCAAATCCCAATGCAAAAATAGTTTTCTGATAGATCCATGAGTGACAAGGCTACGTTCGGTATGAATCGAGCAGCAGCAGCATTCGAGGTCAAATGAGAAGAGCCTATGGTCATCTCTGTGATATGGTTCTCTAGTTTATAAAGGCGGATCAAATCCAATGCGCCTGTTCCACCAACACAATACAAACATGAAATGGCAAATGGAGATATGCCCAGAGTTGAGAGAGTGTCGTTGTCTTGTGAAATACCTAGATTGATTTTGTTGAAAATGAACTTGATTAAACAACACGCGGCTTTTTTTTTTTTTTTTTTTTTTTTTTTTTCCCTTTCTATTGTTATTAAAAAAAAAAAAAAAAAAAAAAAAAAAGAACCTTACATCTTCTGAAAAGTCGTCAAAATAGATCCACCATAATGCATACAGGATCACTGTGGTTAACAAGAATAAAATCCTAGAAGGATCCGGAAGAGGATTCAAAATAGTGTGTGGGTGAGTTAGGTAATTTTTTCTAATTCTTCTAATTAGGGGCCTAAGAGGTAAGAGATATAAAATTGTTTCACACATTACAAGAACGGGCTTGTTCCCCTTGTCCAAGAGCTCGTGCCAGCGCCCAAGCCTATAATCAATGATATTCTATATTGGTTGGAAGAAGAAAAAAAAAAAAACATCGTAGCCATAAATCAGCACGCCTGAAAGCTTTTTTTTTTTTTTTTTTTTTTTTTTGTGATTATTGCTGTATTACCTCTCCCAAGACAATGATAGTAAACAATGCAAATCGCTCTGGTAGATGGCTTCCAGCAAAGGTGACAGATGTGCGTCGTCCAAACGCCACTAAAACTATAATTTCCACAACAATCGTAAAATACCACATCACGTAGCGCCAGGCCATACTGTGTACGAGCATTGAGAGTCCCCAGATCAACATTGCCAAAACATTGCTTCCGATCTGTAACCATAGCGGTGTTAATGATTTCTTGGACCGATTCTTTTCGAGCCCAGTAAAGGACTACGGTAACGAGATGTAGTAATAAACAAGTTTTTTTTAAAAAAAAAAAAAAAAAAAAAAAAAAAAAAAACCTCCCATTGTCAGTAATAAAGGAAAAAAAGAAGAAAAAAAAAGGTGTTAATTGAATGACTAGGATGAAAAGACAATTCTTTTACCATTGCCGTATTCAATAGCCAAGACGCCCTTTAAAACAATGTAACTTCCAATAAATCCGGTCGAGGTACGGTCCAGATGATCGACCGAAAACGCTCCAAAGGAAATAAGCGCACAAAATTCAATCAGCATTGTAACTTTTGTAAACAGATCATCCATGTCAAATCGAGCGGCCCAAAACGTTTGACCTGCCCACTGTACGTTAAAGAAATAAAGAGTTTGTAACGCATATATATATTATAAAGCAATAGCAGAGCAACATTACTACTCAGGAATATAAGCAAGTATTTGTTCGGATTAAAAGACATACCGCCCACCACATGATAACGAACCAGCCAATGTAATGACCAAGTGCTCCGCTCCCAGTGATAGGATGGCTGTGTGTAAAATCGGTTAAATTGGCGACAAAAAGAAGATCATAAAACAACTCTAGAATAAAATAAATTAATAAGTTAACTTAATAAAAGCCTAATATTTAGCTTTTTTTTTTTTTTTTTTTTTTTGTTTACCTAGCCAACTAGCCTTTGGATCCTCAATAGGCATCAACGATAAATCTGTTGTAGGTCGTCTTTGGAAGGATAAGAGTGGAAGATAAAAGAATATGGTCATTCACGAGTCAAATACTCATCAGTTAACGATGATTTCTTTTTTTTTTTTTTTTTTTTTTTTTTTTTCCTTTGATCACTTCCTTACCTATACTTTTGCTTTTTGCGCCGAGTTTTTCTCTCTCTAATTGATGAAGATATGGACTCTCTTTAATAACAGCGAATGAGTCTCCATTTAAAACTTGATCATCCTGACAAATGTCACCCCCGGTGCTAAAAGAGTTTTTTTTTTTTTTTTTTTTTTTTAAAAAAAAAAAAAAGGTCAAAATTGTTAAAAGAACTGTTGATGATAAACAAAATAGTATAAATTTATATCTTGGGCAATAATAATATAAAGTTACATTCAGGTTCCTTTGTTGAAGCAACAAGTCGGACATCATAATCGCGAGGAATCTTTTCAAGATAGGTGGCCAGTTCCTCTTTAGTTTGAATCGCCTCCACATCCAGACGCTCTTTTGGCGAAAGTCCAAGTTCTTCTGTCAATGTCGCGAGATTCTTTTCGTTCAATGGACAAATCGGTTCACTCTTTGCATCTTCCTGAACATGAATTTCTAGTTTGAAATTAATCGATAAATAAAGTTAATTAATTTAAACAACCTTTTTTTTTTGTCCTGGACCCTTCCCCCTGGACAGGATTTGGACTTGGATCAATATATCATCATATTATTACCAAGGTGAACGCGTACTTCAGGATCCTCATCTGAAGAAGCAGACTCCAAGTCGGAAGCACTTCGTTTGATATATATTATTAATAAAAAAAAAAAAAAAAGAAAAAGAAAAAAAAAAAAAGAAAAAGAAATACACAGATAAGGATGAATAAGCAGAAACTCTCAAGTCTAACTAGTGTCATGCAAACTAGAAGAAAAAAAAAAAAAAAAAAAAAACCTTACGCTGTGGGGCTCAAGAGCTACAGGAATATCTTTTATGTCAGAATGTGGAATTCCATCAGGAATGCCTGCTGCTAAGGCCTTGGCTGCCGCTTGGACTTCTTCCTGTCCGTAAGGTGGTGGAATGATCATCTTTGAAGGCTGATCTCGCACCCGAAACTGGGCTATGCTAGGCCGAGAATTAGCATGATCGGCTTGGCTACGGCTGTGTTATTCCAACGGCTGAATCAGACCCAACTCCTTGTCCATTACTATTTTTTTTTTTTTTTTTTTTTGTAGTTAAAAAAGATGTAAGGATGAAATCTTTAACGTCTGAAAAAAATAAAATAAATAAAATAAAATAGAATAAAATAAAGATTGCAATCTTACGTTGTTCTCGAGTAGAATGCTTTCGCTCAAAAGCCTTTCTGCGCAGGGACTGAAGGCTTCCACTCATGCCTTCAGCAAAAGAATGGCTGGCAAGTGGTCTGTTAACAAGAGCTCATTTGGTACTTTGGTGTTCGATCGAAGAGGGCGACGTGGGTGCTGAATGGATGTGGTAGTCAGCTGATTAGGCTGAGATGAAGGCGTCTGAGGCTGGGGAGAGGTTGAATAGAGGTAGGGGAATGCGTCAATTGGTTGGTGGTGGTTAGAAATACAGACCCTAGCATATTGGGCATTAGTGAAGGATAGTGATCCTGGAAGGTCGCTGTTGGTTTGCCCTGATATCATTGCTGGCGTTGTTTATTTTCGGTGGTGTTGATGGAGTATCAGAATCATTAGCTGCATTACTCGATGATCGGCGCTATTGTTATGATGATGACTGTCAGGAGAAGTGGGCGAAGCACTTGTGCCTGCAATACCAATGCTACTCCCACTTCCACTTCTGTTGCTGGAGCTGTAGGATCGGACGCTGGTACCTCTTGAGCGCTGGTCGTGTGCCATGCGAATGTGAGCAAATATGAAAAAAATAAAAAATAAAAAAAGTTTTGAAATATGAACAGCGGTTTTACGGGTGGCAACAACAAGAAGTGCGGCAATTAGTGTAGAATTGAATCAGCAATGTCCAACTTGAAATGGAAGAAGAGGAGAGAGAAGGAACAGATGAGAAATGTAGTAAATAAAAAGAGAGCAAGAAGAAACTTGTTCTGGGCTCAAAGTCAAGGCCAAGGTTAAGGTCAAGGTTAAAGGCAGATCAAATCAGGTTTTTTTTTTTTTTCTTCTTCAATTGAGTTCAACAATTCTTATCGAGAAAAAATGAACAGACAAATGTAGATATTTATATATATATAATATTATACTGTATTTGGATGATTTAGATGTATTAATTTACACCCATGTTTTTTGTTTGGAGCAACATAGCACAACACATGGAGGTTGAATACAATCGAGAAACTTTTGTCCCTGCCAATGTCAGGTTGTATGAAAATAGCTCAATCGATTCAAGATCGATTCTCTTTTCTTCCCAAGGAAAAAAGTCGATCGGGGCTTATTTTTTTAGTTGTTTATTTTGTTTGGAAGAATGTAAACAAAGAAAGGCGTTCTGCAAGATGCAAGATGCATGATTATGATTTTTTTTTTTTTTTTTTTTTTTGCCAATAATTATTAATTATGATATGGTATACACATATTCGTAGATTGGGAGAGAAGGATAGAAAATGGGTAAAAGGTTATGATTCGATGATAGCATGTGGGTTGCCAGGTGCGCGTTCCTCCCAATAGTTGCTCTCATGCTTGGGAGTATTCGCTTGGGCTGCTGCGCACCGTTGTTCCTGAAGAACCCGATGGTGGAGGGGGAGCAAATGCCACAGGGGTCATGGCATGACTTCCGAATACAGGCTATTGCCTCCTACTATCCTGTAGGGTATATCCACCACTGACAGGTACTGCTTTGATGGATTCTGGAGAAACATGCATACCCGACATTGGAGAAACGGCGGAGACAATGATCGGATTGGATACGCCCGCAGCAGAGTAAATAATAGAGGTTGATAACCTTGATAGCTATAAGGCACATCCTGTAATGGTGTTGTGGTAGTTGTTGTTGTTGCTGTTGCAACTGAAGTTGTTGTTGTTGCTGTTGCAATTGAAGTAATCTTCGCTGCAAGTCAAGTTGCTCCTGTTGATTCTGAATCTGTGTCCGCATTTTTTGTAATTCGTCATCATCTTTGCCTTCTGGTTGCAAGGGCCGCTTGCATGATGGGTTTTCCTCAGGATCTCAGTAGTTTTGACAGGAGTGGCACGATGTTGCTTTTTGCGAAAAACGAAGAAAAGAATAATTCCGCAGATGACAGCGACCGCAGCGACGACCCCTCCTGCGATAGCTCCTGCATTACTGGATGATGACTCATTCTCCGGTCCTTTGAGTCCATTGGTTCCTGTAGGCGCTGGAGCCGACGAAGTTGTTTCTTTTCTCTTTCTGCAACATAAGCTTCCGGGGGAGTATACGTTGTACCCCAGCTGTTAGTGCCGATGTTGGTAAATGGAGACGTCAACAGGGCCTGCGGCATCATCGGACGTCTGTCCTCCCCAAATCAGGAACTGATCACCTGCAATAGTACACGCTGTATAGGCCCTTGGAGGTCCAGAAGCGCCTTTGAGTCCATTTCCTCTGATTGTATCCAGAATATACAAATCGCCTGTGAATGGCCCAGCGACAGGTCTTCCACCACATACGATAACCAATGTGCCATCGTCATCTATAAACATGATTCAAGACAGACTTTAGACACGAAAAACGTGAAACGGCACGGCACAAAAGAAATAAGGTTGCACATATTATTCTACTGTTTAAGCTTACTGGACGCCATGCAATGATCTGCTCGCCAGGGTGGAGCAACTCCTGTTGTATGCTACAAATTAGTAAGGGGGTAAGCAGGGATGATGTTAGCATTCTTTTTTTTTTTTAAAAAAAAAAAAAAAAAAAAAAAAAAAAGCCCAAAGGAGCAACAAGACTCCTTGACTAGCACAAGTGTCGCATATTGAGCTATGACAGCATGCTCACACTTACCATGGTATACCAACTGTTTTCGTTTGGGACAAACTCTGTGACAACATTATCAGTAGTGACAGGCCTGAGTGTGGCGTTGTAACCACCAAAGTACAGGATACTCTTCCGTCGAGAACACCACACGTTGGCGTAGTAAGCTCTGCTCTGAAAGATTGTTGTATTCATCGGAATTGACGTGAACGAATCTGTCGAAAAGTCATAAACGCTCATGATGTCGCGAGTGTTGTCTGTGTAGCCGCCAGCCAAGTAAACAAGACCGGTGTTGGGATCTGTCACAGCTCCAACGCCTTGACGATCGGTGTTACCGATACGTAAATTGGAAGGCGTCCAATGAGTTGTGATGAGAGAGTAACGGAAAGCAAAACCAGCACTACCAGAGTGAAAGGTAATCATGGTCTTTTGATCCGCAGAGAAGGCAGCGGGGAAAACATACTGCTTTGGCCCATCATTAAGCTGGGTCCATGCAGGGGCAGAAGAGTTCCAAGGGACAGCAAGGTCGAGAGAGAAGAACTGACCATACGAGAGCTCTTCATTTCGACCGCCCTGGATATAAAAGCGTGTGGCAGTTCTGGCAAAGGCAGGGCCCTGGACAGCTAAAGGAGTGGACTGTGCCTGAACTGCTGAGACTAGCAAGTCTAGGGATGTTGTGAGGGTGACGAGAAGTAACGGAGAGCTTTGAATGAGAATGATCTGGAAGCGGATGGGGATGAGGATGAAGATGAGGATGGGGATGAGGATGTGGATGTGAATGAGGATGAGCAAGAGGAAGAAGGAGCGTGTTGTTTGCGAGGCCTTTTTGAAGCATGCTGATGGGAAAAGATACGTTGGAAGGTTAAATTAAGGTCAGGAAAGAGGGAAAAAAAAAAAAAAAAAAAAAAAAAAAAAAAGGTGGGAGTGAGAAGGCGGTGTAAGGACAGAAAGAGAAAGAGAGAAAGAGAGAAAGAGAGAAAGAGAGGATGAAAAGAAGGCTGAAAATAAAAAGAGCGATTGATGAACTACGAGCAATGCATCCAGGGAAAGAAAAGAGAAGGCTCTCTATCCTCTCCCCCTCCCCCTCTCTTTTTTTATCTTTCTGAGCTGGGCTAGGGCAGAAAACATGTCCCTGCGCTCTCTTTCATCTTCATTTGGGCACCATACATTGATGCATGCGTTCTATCAACCTTTTTTTTTTTTTTTTTATTTTTTTTATTTTTTTTTTTATACGTATTCTTCGGTATTATACAGAAATATATATCTGCATTCCAACTGATCCACTTCATCGCCTTTGATTCCTTCGATCGTCTTGTCTGGCATGGCTAAAGAAAAAAATTAGCAGGGGTCAAGGAGACAGGGCAAGGCGAACGCGCGTAGTTCTACAGAGATTGGCACGTTCCAAATGAATAAACCATACATTTAATGAAACACATGTTGGCCTCGCTGACAAACCTGCCATTTTTGCCATTTCCCGCGGACAATTTTTTTTTTTTTTTTTTTTTCACCATTGCTTAATTGGAAATAACAATTATCCATGATGGCATCATCATTAAAACCATGGCCTTTGCGCTATGCTCTTTCTCTCTTTCTCTTTCTCGCACTCTCTCGCATACATTCTCACACACAGGCGTATATCTCTGCTCCTACTCTCTTCTCATTCATGGTTCATTCGATTCCATTCATCCCACTTTTTTTACCTCTTCACTCTTGACTCTTCTTCCTTGCTTCTGCCTTCTCTCCTTCCCTTTCTTCTTCCGCTCTTTTCAACAGAAAAAAATCTCCAGAATTCGATACATCAAGACATGGGTGCTGTTCAGTCCTTATTCGACCACGAAAATGAAATTGCTGCTGCAGCTGAAACAGGCAGGCAGCAAAGCATGACTGACCAAAAGAACCTTTCCTGGGGCAGTACGAAGCTGCATAAAAGCATGGCTTCAAAGTTCACGGAACTTGAGATGCTTTCTCTGCGTACTGTTCTTCAGCAACTCCAGCAGAAACAGGACAAGGCCATCCGACAACAGGCTGCAGTTGAAGCGAATGCTTCCCAAACAAAGAAGGACATCCGTCCTGTCTCTGGGATCACCGAAGCGACCTTTGTGGTAATCATCATTGTATCTCCAATGGTCTCGTACTTTTATTGGGCAAATAATCCGATGGGATGTTTAAAATTCGGTACATTGTCTTTCCTTTCTTTCTCTTGATCTTATTTCTTCCCGTGGACAGGAATATCTTGATATTCCTGGTAACAGCCGTGCAGCACAGCTGCTTTTCCGTTCATTTTACAATCTTTCAGTGTATCCTGATCACCCAGAAACATTGCGGAGCCAAGGGCTACCCAAGGTTCTAACAGCTCGTGATTTCATCAAGCCTTTGGCATTGTATTGTCAGAAAGTAAGCGAAGGCACATTTGTGGATCTCAACCCCCTCAAAGTTATCTTTGAGTCTTTTGCTGCCACAGTCCCCAAAGAGCAAGACTCCGCCCAGGCCCATGGGAGCGACAACAACGTGAACAATACCAATACTGACGCCGATACCTTATCGTCATTGGGAGGAGAAGGCTCACTACATCGTTCAAAGACAATAGAGGATTCGCTTAAAGAACTGACGCTGCAATGGGATCCAGAAGATGAAGAAGATGTAGATAGTGGTCCCAAGGTGGAGGCATTAGATCTGGTCGAAGTCCTCGATGGTTTATTCTGCCTTATCGAACAAGTGCTCCATTATACTGAAAGCAATGACAATGGTAGCCCAACAAATGATTCAGCTGCAGAATCACATTCTGTATCCATTACCACAACAACTATAGGATCTCATCGACATCGAGCTCTAATAATGGTAGAGCATCTTATTCAGTACAGCAAAGCCTCGTCATCCAAAGGAATCAACACGCCTCTTGATTTGACTTCAGAGCTCATTGATTTTGCCATGTTTTCAAAATATGTCTCGCGAAACATTCCTAATCTCTTCCAAGTACTCTCACCCTACTTTTACAATCTCTTTCTCATCGGTAATACCCTCCGACCAACAGGATCCAACACCAACACTAGCACCGCAGGAAAGTATATTCTACCCGGGGTCTCTCCGATCCCTAAAATGAGTGCGCCCTCAACCATTCTGACGCCAGAGACTATTGCCCTGGTCTCATGGTTTCTCCCACTCAGTAAGACAACGCCCACAATGACTCTGCTTTACGCAGGAAGTCAGCATGGATTCAGCATGAGCCAATTTGAAAGTCATGTTTGTAAATATCCGGCACCAACTTTGCTTTTATTGCTGGTCGAACGCCGAAAAACCGCGGCTCCTACTTCAAATAGAAGAAAATCCATCTCATTTGGCTCTGCATTATCGCACCATGCGCCTTCATATAATGCACAATTGAGTGTTGAAAGCTCCAAATGGCCTTCTGACCGACACGTGAAGCAAAGCTCGCAGCCTTGGCAGAATTGACTGAAACACAGTCATCGTCATCATCAGAGGGTCTTCCTATCAATGTAGCCCCAAGACCAATAGTTCGGAAAGAAAGACTAGTCTTGGGCGCTTATGTGTCAGAGACATGGAAGGTTTCTAAAACAGGATGGGGCAATGATTCATTTGCACTTTTTGAGTTATCACCATGGTTCGAAGTTTTTCCGGCCAAAGTAACAAATTCCTCAACGACTGCAGCTAATAAAGGCCCACCACGGTCATTACCTGCTCGAACGAGTCCAAGGCAGGCAATGGGCTCAGGCGGAGCAGCAGCAAATCAACAAAAACGGGATTATATTCATTTCCTCAAAAACGTTGGCATTGGCTTTGGAGGACAAGAATCCAACAGTTGCTTGTTGTTTATGGATGATGACAATTTTCAGTACGGTAGCTACCGACAAGATTTTGCGGGGGGTAATGTGTATATGAATGCAGGGGGAGAACGACAGTTGGGATTTGAGATTGATTTCGAGGTGATTGAATGTGAAGTTTGGGGATTGGGTGGACCTGAAGCGAAGGCGCGACAGAAGAAAGAGTGGGATTTTGAGCAGCGTGAGGCTAATCGACGCGCGACAATCCATCTACGTAGTAAGGATGGAGAACAGGACATTGATAGAGATTTACTGGTAAGTTTGTGTTGACATTTTCATGTACAACGAAATACATGCATCCATACTTTACAAGGAAGAAATAACATATACATTTATGTCTATTGTTTACATTAAATATTTTTGACACAATTAGGAAATGGCAGGGGTGCTTGATCCGGATCGCGGACATCGCCATGCGCGACGCCAAAGTGCGGTATAATCTAGACAGGCTGGAGATTTTTTAAGGCTGCATGTATTAAGGTTTTTTTATAAACCGTTGCGCAGGACTGAAAGTAAACGAGATTCCTCCTCAGCCAAGCAGCCAAGGCAATCAATCCACAAGTATTAAGTATTTAATAAATTAAACTAAAGTTTTTTCAGTCGCATCGAAGACGATCGAAATAAAGTAGACAATACAGAAAAGATGTGAGTAGGCTATGTTGAGTGAGCCATGTTGCTGTTAAGCATTGGGAATCAAAGTTGCATTGGTGTGATTTGCTTTGTTTGTTTATAATCCATCCAATAAGCACACATTATCCAAACACAAATGTATCGCCGAAAATGCATCCAAAGTTTCAGTCCTTATCTTTCTTTCTCTTCAACTTCTCCAGCTCCTTTTCTTCTCTTTCTCTTTCTTCTCTTCTTTCCTTTTCCTCCTCCATTCTGTACTTCTCTTTTCTCTTCCTTTGCTTGCTTCACAGGACACAAGGATTTCTCAAGCATATAGACTGTCGATTCTTGGGGGAAAAAAAAAAAAAAAAAAAAAAATCCGCAGGAAAAGCAATTGTTTTCTTCCTCTCTCGCAACTCTCAGTCATTTGTTCAACGAATGACTACCAGATGTCAAGGCAACTCTACGCCTCAAGGGGGCCTTAAGCTGGGCACTCGGATCATCTGTTCACTCGCCGCAGCCTCGGCCCTCTTTACCATCTCTTTCACAAACACTAACAGCAATAGCATTCATGACATTGGATTGAAATTGGATGGACACACCTCAGGATATGTCTCTGCTGCGCCAGTTGTCCGCAAGTCTCTCCAACAGTCAAGCATCTCCTATACAATAGACAGGACAATCCTATGCCTCCACCAGACTTGCCACCCAAAGAAGAGGAAGAAAAAGAACAAGAGCCGGTGGAAGAGGACCCTTGTGCGACGCTTGGGGAACTTCTTGAGCCGAACATCACATTTGAACATGTCAAACGATGTTATGAACATGTGCCTTACAATGCAACGCTTGCCGACGATGTCCTTTCAACCCTCTATACTCTGTTTCGGACTATTACATCTTCATCGACTCTGCTACACTTGATAACCTAGAAAAGCCCTTCACAACTCCACCAGTGGATATGACCAAGAGCCTTGATCTCTTATCTAAACGCCAATTCAACAGCGATTTCGAGTTCCATAAGGAAGTGGATCTACTCGTAAGCAGTCTCAATGATGCTCATGCCAACTATATGGGTAAAAAAAAAAAAAAAAAAACCATAATTCCTTTTTTTTTTTTATTGTTAAATGTCCTCCTCTCCCCCTTTTTTTTTCCTTGAAGAAAAAGCTGACCAAACCGCTTTTTTTTTAATTTTAGCACAATGCTATCGCATTATCTCTTATTCAACCGTTTGAGCTTTATGCCCCTGTCATTGATAACGTTCAGGACAACTTTTTATATCAATTTTGACCATGATGATACCAATCATATTAATTAACTTGCCATCACTTGCTAGTATCGCCCTTGTATCCACTAATTTCCTCTCCCACTTCTCCTTCCTGCCATTTTTCCAAAGACTATAAGGATATTGCAAGATAAAACTTTCAGCAATCTTGAGATTGCGAAGTAGTCACGATCGATGGCAAAAACGCCATTGATGCCATCCAGGATTGGGCCGATATCAACTCTTCGATCTCAAAGGATCGAGGTGTTCGATTAAACAAGGCTTTGGCTTCATATACATTCGATACAGACAAAAAGGACTATATACTCTCTACGGGATCGTTCTCAACAAGGGCCACTTTACCAGAACATGAAAAAGTGGTCTATCAAATCAAATGCCCAACCTCTCCAGAGTTTCCGGAAGGACAGGAACATCATATGGATGTTAAATGGGATATTTATCGCCTGATTACTGGAATGAATTCGACAGTACAGAATCATTTCTGACACAGAATTGTTACAAAGATACAGACCCACAGAATACGGAAAATCAACACCGGAGACGAAAAAGGGGCAGACAGCTGATGAACAATCTACAGCGATGATGGACCTCAACAAAGGGATACTGAGAAAAAGAAAAAGAAGGAGGGCAAAGTCAAGAGCCATAACATTGATCTGCAAGAGTCTATTCAGGCAGCAATCGAGCCACTAAACCATCAGACGATCCATCCAATACAAAGGATCCATAAGCGACAACAGCCATTACCTAGCCCGGCCGTTCGGCTGGTTTACAATGGTACCTCAACTGCCTTTTATCAACTATTGAAGAGACCCGAGATTGGCGTTGTAGTGATCCCGACACACTCGGTTAATTTAAAAACAGAGACCAGTATCATGGAGCAAGGGTTTGGTCTATTATATAATGCTGGAGTTCAGAATGTAATCCTGGATCTGACGGCAAATGGGGGAGGCTATGTGACATTTGCATATGATCTGGTGGATTGGATGTTCCCATTAGACAACATAACCTCAGTCTATCAATCAGATCTCCGAACACCCATGAGCGTAAAAGCCTTGTCACAAGTGGTTTGGTGAATGCAGAGTATAATGGCTATCATGATCCAGCTGCGTACTCAGACCCTGTCACACGACAGGATTTCACGACAAATTTCTTTTTTACAGGATCGATTGATCCGACGATCACGGCATCGGACAAGCTATTCGCCATTGGTCCTGATGAACCATAATTTAGGGGCTTTCGAGATGGGTATGCCTTGGCAGCATGATGCTCAACGAATCGTGGTCATGACAGATGGGTCCTGTGGATCGGCTTGCGGGATGAGTTTGAACCGGTTAAAGAATACACATGGGGTCAAATCGTACGCTGTAGGGGGTCGACAGGGTGAGGAGCTGTCCTTGTTTTCGTTCCCAGGGGCGTCGGTCTATGGATTAGATTCACTCTTGGACGACTTTGAGAACCTAGGAGTGGATCCACCGATGAAACGGATGCGGTATAAAGGCATCTTTCGAGTCCCGATCCTTGAGTTCTATCAGGAAGGGGAATCAATGCCAATAGAATATAATCCAAAGCTTTTCAAAGCGGATTTCCATATAGATTATACCCCATCACGGCTCGATATCACGAAGTCCTCTGGGAAATAGTGGCCAATAACCACTGGAAACAAGATGGGCAGACAGGCGATGATCCATCCATTGAACAACACTAGCCGTTATCACATATATATACAAAAAAAAAAAAAAAAAAAAAAACATTATCGATACCTTGCATTATACATAAAGGATTAATCCAACATGACTCACCCAATTTGCTTTATTTCTACTTTTTTATTTTATTATTATTGTTATTATTATTAATTTCATTATTATGTGCGACCCAGGGTTTAATATGCATGAAAAGGTTATAATGTCTCATTGCTTCTGATGGTAAAGAACAACTGCTTTCATGAACCCTATTATATGCCTTGGGGGTTTCGACGAGGACCATCCATATAGCTGTCTGGTGTCATATATTGAGGATTCTGTGGAGGTCGGGAAAGGGCTGGGGGTGTTTCAGGCTTTTGCTGTTGGTATTGTTGATGCTCAAATGGCGGCGAGACATTCGTGACTGGGCTGCCTACAGGTTGATAGACCGTAGGCTGCTGGTACATCTCTGGTTGAGGGCTGTACACAGGCGCAGTACCTGAAGAAGGGGGGACATAGGTGTTCTGCTGTTGATATGCGTTCTCATAAACTTGTTGATGTTGTTGGCTTGGTGGTGATTGGGGCTGGAAGATTTGTGGTTGAATCTGCGACGGCTGCTGGTAGTCATGGATAACAGGTGGCTGATATGGTGTATATGGTGCCTGAGAATAGACGATAGGTTGAGGTTGAGGCTGAGGCTGTGGGTGCTGGTTCTGCCACGCAGGATTTACTGGGGGGTATGATGTGGCTCCTTCTGCAGCTCCTACTCCTGTCATTCCACCATTGGTTGGCTGTTGGGTGTGGATGTAGATACCGGAACCTTGGCCTTCTCCGCTTGTTGTCGGTTTTCTATATACAAAGAATCCAATGACGAGTGCAATAACGGCCAATCCTCCAACAACACCACCGATGATGCCACCCATGTTGGAAGACTTTCCAGGATTTTCGGGATTTGTGGGATTTGTAGAATTTCCAGTCCCAGAAGTGGGTTTGATTCCCCCGGAAGGAGCAGAGGGGTCAGCTTCAGCTGTGGGTGAATATTTAGACTGCCAGACATTATTTTTGATGTTGTAAATGATAGTCAGGTTGGAACTAATGATTGTGTTGACGCCACACCACCCCAGGAAATAAACAAAATCGTTGCTCACTGCACAGTGAGTCTCTGCACGCGCACTCAGGAGACCTGCATCCGTGCCCTTTGTCCATGTCATGGTTGCAGTATCCAGAATGTAAATATCGCTTAGAACTGAGTTAGATTGCTCTGTGAGCCCACCAAAGAGGATCATCTTGGCACCTCCATAGGCTGAGACCATGCATGGGGATCGACGTGGAGAAGGCACAGTGCCTTTGGCCGGGATGTCTTGCCATAAATTAATAGCATCCCAGGTGTACATATCATTATGACATTATTGGTCCCCATAGGGGACCCGCCAAAAACAACAATCTTCTTCAGCTGTTCGCTCCAAGCAACACCGTAGGTGACATTGTAGCCAGGCGAAGATGCATGGGAACACCCTTAAGCGTATTCGCGGCAATGTCGTATTGTGCCATCTGTGTGACATTGTTGGCATATACCCATTTGGAATATATACAAGGCCCGTGGATGGATCTGTGACACCACCAATGCCGCGTACCTTGCTGAGATAAATGGAGCCACCTATAGTTTTCCAGTTGTTGAGAGAGATATCGTATTGGTATCCAACGCCACTTGCAAGTACGAACCAGCCCTGCCCGCCTTTGAGCTGTGCTGCAGAATGTTTATAATCACTAGGACCATCCGCGAGACGTCTGTAGGGTACATTGGAAGTATCCCAAGGAGTTGAGAGGTCGATTTCAAAGGTCTGCGGAATTGCGTACGTGCCATTGCTACCGCCTTGGATAATAAACCTTTGACCTTCTATAAAGGTCGATACACCACCCCATGTAGTAGTGGGCGTATAATATTGAGCGGCAGCAGGACTAGTGATGTAGGAAGAGAGCGAGAGCAGGAGGAAGAGACATGCTGTAGTTGTCCTTGTAGTTGATTTGGCTCGTGATGACGATATGATGGTGCTCAAAACAGCCATCATCAATATTTTTTTTTTAAAAGGTTTATGTCGATGCGGTGAAGCAAGGGAAGGGACAAAAAAGAGAATCCGTGGATTGCAGACAAGTTGATGGGCGCGTGTATCTGCGTATGTGGGGTGAGTGTCGTAGTATAAATAATTGTATGGTTGCCACGGATGGTGGGGAATGAAGGCGTGAAGACTGATAGAGGAATGATATAGATTCACAGGCGACTGCACAGAGACTGAAAGAAGAAGAGAGGCAGAAAGAGGGATTGAGTAGCGGAAGTATGGCAAAGGAAAGAGCGGAAGGGAGGAAGAAAGGAAGAGCGAAAGGAAGGAAAGAGGGTAGAGTGGAAGGAAGGAAGAGTGGAAAGAAGGAAAGGAAAGGAAAAAAAAAGAGGAAAAAAATCCTTAGGAGAGAGAAAGTTTGTCCCCTTGCCCTCGTCTGTTGAAAAACAGGAAAACTAACATTCTTTTGGTTCTTTCGTTTTCATTGCTCTCAACGGAAAATATCTTTCACCACAGAAGGGGGAAAACAAATAAAAGCCCATTCTTTTTCATGAATTCAATCCGTTTTATAAGATCTTGCATCTGTTTAGCTGCAAGGCCTGGTATTTTTATTAGACATGTATACATTATATAAATGTTGCCATCTTGATTGCAGGCGAGTTTGCTTGTGTAAAATAAAACCTGTCTACAAACTGAATATAAAAAATTAAGTTGTAAGATTTGACGCTCTCATTCTAACTTAGAGCTCGACCAGTAGCGGGGATTTTGAGTACACAAAGTTTGCACAGCCTTTTTGTTGCACGTGGTGCCTGATCCAGCAAGGAGTTCTGGTGCTGTGGTAAATTGGTAAATTGGTAAATTAAATGACAATCCGGTGCAGTATCAAATAACAGAAGCGTTGCTTGCAAAGAGATGCTCTCTTTCTTTCTTTCTCTCCTGCTTCTTTCTTTCTTTTGTTTTCTTTCTTTCTTTCTTGGTAAAAGTAGGCAGCAATAAAAATGTTTCTGATCACAGATGCTCTGGTGGCATTACGAGACATTTTAACGTCTTACACATTGCATCACAATGGTTACTAATATCCCTTTCTCTAACAATCCTTGCAGGAGATCGCAATCATACAGCGACCCCCATTTGACTGCTTTCTGGACTGAGGGTTATGTCGATGATCAAGAGTAAAATGGAGAAAACTTGAAAGGTAGAAAGTATTGGCGTGGAAGACAGAGTAGTATGAAAGCAACCAAAAAAATAAAAAAAAAAGACTTGGTCTTGAGACTTGTTTGATAGAGCGAAAATGAGACGTAGCTCGTGGAGGGGCACGATAGCCAGCTTTCTTGCCTCAGAAAAGATTCATAATATAACATTTTTCAAAAGGGAAAAAGGAGAGAAAAAAAAAAAAGCATGGGTGATGCTCGAGGCTATTACATGCATATCATAAAAACTTTTGGTTTTGAGCAGTTTTACGGTATAAGTACTTAAACAGCGCCGAAAGATTGCAAAAGAGAAGGATGGATTGCAGGGAAGCATAGTTAATAAATGAGAAAGAGGAAGAAAAAAATATATATCTGTTATATAATTTGCATGGATTTTGTTTACAGCTGAAGGTCGGTGACATGAGGAGTCTTCCCAACGCGTTCATGAAACATGCTTTGTATCCTTCATACGCAAAATAAACAAATACAAATGCAAATAAATTGAAAATCATTGCAAACCAGATTTGTAAATTAGCCTTGATGGTTCATGATCGGTCCTGTAACGTTTCTTGCTCTTGTCTACTTCTTGCTTGAAATACACCTTCACTCCTCTTTTTTTTTTCTTTTATTTGTCTCTCTCTTTCTTCTTCTCTCTCTCTCTTTAGCATTTCTGTATTATCTTCCTCTTCGTTTATGTAATCAAACTCTGCTTTTATACATGTTTCATTCCCCCCTTTTTTTTCCTGAAGGCCAAATCTCTTGGAGCATCCTTTTTGTGTTTTCTCTCCCTTTTTTTTTTTTTTTCTGTTTTTCTGGTCAATATGCATCATAGAGCCTCTTGAACGTACGCTTAAGTAAGAAACGCCTGCAGGGACTATGCTTAGGCATTCGAGTTAATTATCTTCCACCATCCAATTACTTCTCCTTCCTTCTCCCTCCTCCTCTTTTCTTTCCTTTTTCTTTCTTTCTTTCCTTTTTCTTTTTTCTTTTTTCTTTTATCGTGGTACCAAGTTGAGTGATGACCTTGCTGCTGCTGGAGAAAGTTCTGGCGTTATGTGGTTTTGGATTCCACCAGCCGCAAACTTCTCTTTATCGAATGAGAGCCCATCACGAGGTAAGTTGCTTCTATTTGCAGCAGTGACGGATCCCAAGTTATTGGCGCTAGAATGTCGATCCGGTGTAGCTTTGTGGGGGCCCTTTAGAGCAGATGTGGCGGCATAACTGATGCACTGGCGCTCGATTTTTTGGTGATGTCTCCGGACGAATACACTCACCAGAGTCACACAAGCAATCAAGAGGACCGTTCCAATGATACCGCCAATCACCATTAGCGATAATGTTGTCTTATGATCATCCATGGGGTTTGATGAAGAATTACCATTGCTTCCGTTTCCTTCGGACGTGATTGGGGCTGTCGTTTGGTAATCCAGCAGACCCGCCGTACCCATTATTAGTAGCACCATTGGCGTAGTAAGATGGAGGGGTGTAGGATGAGATGTACTGACCACTGTTCAGATCGTAAAGGACGATGGTACCGTCTACGGTCCGCTGACCGTTATTCCCACCCCATGCTAAGAATATTGAACCAGCGACAGTACATGTAGTTGCAGTTCTGGGCTCAAACCAAGGATCTCCCTGTGTCCATGTGAGAGAGGAAACATCCAAGATCCAAAGGTCTCTGGCAAACGTACCATTATCGAATCGACCGCCGAATACAACCACCTTACTGCTATCGTCGCCTAACGAAGATAAAAATAAATAAATAAATAAAATAAAAATGAAAATGCTGCTATAAAGAAGCCTTGTGAGGTATGTCTCCTTCTGTAACTTACTTGCAGCCATACAATGGTCTACCCTGTGTGGTGGACTTTGACCGCTGGTATTCTATGAAAAATTTCAAATACAAAAAGTGTAAAGCCTGAGAAAAAGCTCATTTGCGTCGTAAAGGCATGAGACGTAGGAAATGGTATGGGATCTCAGCACTTACGAGGGTTAGCCAGCCTCCATTACTCGGTGTGAACTCGGAAATCACATTCTGACTGGATTGGTTGTTGTTTGCCGTTCCGCCAAAGTAGATGATGCTTCTACGGCTTTTGAGGTAAACGCCTGCATAAAACAGTCTGTCTACCATATAATTACTAGGCATGGAGAGCATGGTCATGGTGTCTGTGTCGATGTTGTAGACGTACATCTGTGAATCATCGCTCTGATATCCTCCCGCTAGATAGACGAGACCAGAAACAGGATCTTGAACGGCACGAACGCCCTCTTTAGTAGGGTTTTGAACCTTGACTACAGATTGATCCCAAGAATTGCTGAGAATATGGTACCTGTACGAGAGAGCCGAGCCCGAAGCTGAGGAGGTGGCTCGGAACGTGACCAGAGTGTTCTCGTCCGTAGAAATGGCAGCTGTGTGCATTGCTTGAGTAGGACCTTGTTTCAACCCAATCCAGGTTGGGCTAGCAGCATCCCAGGCAGTGGCAAGGTCGAGGGCAAACAATTGATTTTGCTGTGCGACTGTATTCCCATTAAGGCTGACGACACCCCCTTGTACATAAAGTTTTGTTCTTGAACGAACGAATGCGGCGCCATTGACGGGAACTGGTGTATTTCCTATAATCTGACCCTGTGTGCAGATAATGTTTTGTAAAGGATAGGGAAGCGAGTGTCAAGAAGGATGTGTGCCGCATGTTGCTACTAACTCTGTAAAGATGTGCTTGTGTGCTTGTGTGCTTGTGTGCTTGTGTATATTATAAAACGCGTGGCTATAATGTATTAGTTTGAAGGGATACAATTGATACAATTGATACAATTACAAAAATAAATTGACAAATGAATATGAAAGGGCGGTAAAGTAAAAATGAGAGAAGGGTATGAAGGGAAGAAAGCGAGGTTGAATTGAGGAATGGGGAATAGAAAGTTGCTGCTTTTAAATAGAATCCTGTTGCAACAACACACACAACAAAATCATATACTATCGGGATGGCTAGTGCTCATTGTCAAATGAAAAAAAGTGTTTTTTTTTTTTTTTTTTTTTTTTTTGCAGAGATCTTTATTGATCAAGGAGGCAGACAAAGGCAAACAGAGAGGTAAACAGATGGAGCAGAGCAACCATCCAGGATATAGGTACATCCATCCATTTAGTCTGGGTCTCATGCATCGATCTGTTTAAGAAAGTGTTTGTTGGGTATAATAATACATAGACATTTGAGATGCTTTCTTGACTTTGAGTGTGAAGAGCACTTTGCACTCATCTCTTTCCACAGGAGGTCACTTTTTTTTTGTCAACTCTGACAGAGCTCACTGGCACTACTTCATTCCAAGGGGGTGATACATTTCACTCTACGAGCTGACGCGCAATCAACGAATTTTTCCGTAAACGGTGGCTCTGAAGCCCCTTATTTACTTTGCAAATACTGTAGAAGCAGTAGGATTTTTATTTTAAGACTGATTTTCAACGAATGGCTCCAAATGGTCAATGTTCCACCCTCAAAGGACACGTTGACTGGGTTAAGAACCTGTTTCAATAAACCACTCTTTCCGCTGTTCAGCCAGAGTTTTTGCCAAAAATATAAACGTGTTATTTCTATGTCTACCTCGGCAATCAGTTACACGAGACCCCGTGCTTCCAAGCCGTTGCCGTGGGCATTTTGCTCTAATTGTCTAAGCGAAAACAGCTAGTTTTGATGTCTGGTGCGCCAAGAGCCAGATAGAGGGTCGCAAACACGAAAAGATATCACTCTGACCGATGAGAACCGTGAGATGCTAATTTAGCAAGGATGTAATAGCAAACCGCATCAGCAACAGTAGTCTTTTGCTAGCATGTTGAAGTAGCACAGCCAGAATCCCTGCTTTTGAAGTGTTCTCCTTACAGCCACCGAAAATACGTAAAAAGCGTCATAACTTTAATAAAATTTGAACCATGTGACACATGAAGTAAACTCTATAGTTCCGTTTATTCCTTTGTCTTTTGCATTGGACTTTGATTCCGCTTTTTTTTTTTTTTTATATTTGCATTCCTAAATGCATCGGGCTCCAGGGAAATATGAATTAAACATTCGAAAGTCTTCAGCTGCAACTAGGGCATCAGCATCTGCTTCAGCGACGCACAGAGATATTACCTCAGTTGGGTCATTCACAGGAGCCCGTATGACATCAATACACCCAATGAGCTATATGTCAACATCTTTTATACGTGAAGAGACAGAGCAGGACTTGAAGCTGTCGCGACAGTCGCGACGTGCATTATCCATACTCTCTGATGCAACCACGCGTGACATCAATACAGTAATACCATTAAGCAAAACCCGACCTTCAGCCACCGTGAAAGCTGCTACGGGGACAACAAGAAGTGACCATAGGAGTGCTCATACAACTAATTCGAGTGAAGACGCCTTTTGGAATCCACCTGCACCGCCGAAATCACTCAGACATGGTGCAGCTACTTTATTCTCAGGTATCAGCCCTCAGGAAAAAGCCACATCAAGCATATTTGATTTACGACCGAATATCCGAACGCGTTCTCCAGAAAGAAAACCAACTCAGTCATCGTGTGGACTCGTCCTAACCAGAGTATTACCAACAAATACTAACACAGGCTCGCCTTTCAAGTCAAGGTTGTTTCCAATGGCTGGAACATCGGCATCATCGTCGTCACAGAGCAATGGAGCTTTAACAAACAGCTCTGTCTCAAAAGACAGCGAAAATCTTTTAGTTACGGCATCGACTAGTTTCAACCATCCTTCTTCGACTTTAAACGAGTCACCTAAGACTGATTCTCCACAATTCGTGCAACAAATGGACAACTATGGGAATCAAAGCTACTGTGAAGAGTCAGATGTTGGTATAGTAGATGAGGTCCCACCCCAGAAAAAACCGTATGGCGTTAGTGCTTTGGACTTTGCAAGGAAATCCATAATGCAAAGTGCCGCTGTTTCGCCACAAAATGCCATCAGGAAGATTAACCGAGTGGCAGCAACGAGCGAGGGTGTACCATCTCTCATAGATCTACTGACAGCAACAGATGCCGAGGATTTAGAACAATCTCAATTACATACTTGGCAACAAAAAGATGCGTCGCAACGGAATTCTGCAAAACCAAACAGAGCTTTCATGTTGCGAACAGATCCACTACCACCGCTCCGCAAGGATACGGCACCGTCAGCATCAAAATCTTTTATACCCAATATTCCAGGTGATCCAGACTCTATTGAAAATAACATGGAGGATTTAGTATCGAGACCTAACCTCGAAGAAAAACAGATCCGAACAAAGAAAGACGCTCCTGAGGCGACAGAGATCACTAAGCAGGAGAACGGGCTCACAAGAGACACAGTAATGCTTGACCTAAGAGCGCCGGTAAGTACAGATTGCCTGGAATTTATGATCGAACTGTAGCATGTAGGTTGCAAGGATCACTGACAGTACTTTGATGCTGCAACTCTAGAGCACGACACCCACTGGACCGGGGGTTGATAACAATAGTACTTCCCCTCTCCTTTCGTTACGAGCAAGCACAATGCGCAAACCAGCACCATATACCCCTCCAACAATCAACGAACGAGCGATGTTACGTTCCAGTCGCATGTCTGGATTCCGCGCCAGAGGTCTAGATCCAAAAGTCTTTATGAGTGCAGGGGATTTAGGGGTCCCGAGAATTCAAAAAAGGCCTCTCACTGTGCCTGTGTCTCCAGTTTTCAGCAAAATGCACGGTAAATCTCGGGCTATGGAGGAATCCGGGCCAGCTAGGAGCCCTTTTTTTGAACCCAAGACCACATTCAGAGCTAAAGTTAATAGCCCCGTTGTTGACCACTTTAAAAGGACAGGACCAATAAGACCGCAACTGCGTAATAACAACATTGCCACGCTCAAAAAGCCAGAGGCATCATTAAGCGCAGTAAACACTAGCTCACAAACCCAGTCTACAGGTCAGGAGTACGCTGACTTGAATAATGTTCCTACTAGTACTAGTGATGCTAGATCAATTAATACTGAGATAGCTACCCAATTCCGGTCCGAAGCTGCCAGCCAACCAAATCTGGATGCGATAGCCGATATTGATAACGGATCAAATTACGAGGGTAGAGTAAGCAGAGTTTATGAAGGGCCTAGTCCAGTGGAGAGTCTTTCATCGAAAGCCATCTTTGAACAACCAGATGACCAGCTCTTGGATGGCCAATCCACAAGAGCAACAGCTGGGAGCCGTCTTCACGGCCCGTCGTTTTCTCGTCGTCCTTTGACGCAGCCAATTCCGTTTAAATTTGCTACAGATGAGATCCTCAGGCGGCGCCATATCATGTTTCAACCTCGAGCTACACCGGGTCTAGGAACAACGAATGAGGGTTCTTCAAAAACGGTAGAAGATAACAGAATGAAGACTGCAGAGGTTTTAAAGCGACGGCTACCTCCACTGGTGAGTTAGTTAAACCTTTGCTGTCGCTATTCCGTTTGAAGATAATATAATATATTGATCGTTAATTTTTTTTTTTTTTCTTTCCGTTACTTTTTTTATAATTATCACTTTCATTTGGTAGAAACGCCTAACAGTCCCGTTCCTTTCCAATTTATGACCCAACGACGTGCGGAAGCACATATCCAACAACAGCAACAACAAAGTCATCATCATCAAGATGATGGCGGAGCACATATTAATGCTCATACGACGGTCACCAGAAGGCCTAGTCGACTTGCTGGGCTCTTGCCACTTCGTTCAACAACACGCGTAGATGGGGCCTCATCTAATGCAAAGGCTTCACGATTTAGGCGTACTGTACCTATTTCACCAGAACTAGGCCGCCGAGCCCATGTAAAGGCTCTTAAACCCGCTCGGTTCCTTCTCAAAAAGAGCACCAAAGAGCTGACGCAACCACATGAATTCCACTTCTACACTGATCAAGTGCTAAGGAAAGGGAAGCATTTGATCAATCAGTTAGGAGACGAGAAGAGGAATTAGCGGCACTAAATCAGCGGGAACTCAAACTGCGCAAAGTACGGAGTGTTTGTGTTAAAAGTGATCAATATCAATCACTGGTAACGATGTGTATATCTCTGATGTCTCACAAGACTGTTATTTCTTTTTCAAAAATTATAAAAAAAAAATATAAAAAAAGGGTCGGGAGCAGGGTAGTGATAGTCGACAGAACCTCGAGAGGCCGTCTCAAACGCACTCTATCAATCATTCTCGACCGATTACAATTCATAGGCCGGTCAAACCGCTGACAGAGCCTGTGAGCCCCATGATTGGGGAGAAGCGCAAGAGGTATGAGATGGAGCAGCAACGGCATCCGTTTGAAAAGAGAAGGCAGCTAGAACCCACGAACGTTGGACAAGATAGTCTCCGTCAACCACCTGTCCGTTCTCCATACCCATCGGATCAACTATCTGAAAAGATACACACTAATATTTCTGCTATAAATCGCGACAATAAATAATGAAGATGTTGGCCAGTCAGGTTCTTATTTGGATAGAGCTAACATGGCTAATCCAATATCATCCGCAAAGGACAATTTTTGGAGGGAATGGAAACCACTATCTATCAAAGGAGCTCTTAACGAAAGAGCTTCGGCGTATCAGCTTTGAGGCTTCGGGGTAGTGGCGAAACAGGTTATCGCAAACGTTTGAGTAACAGCCCAAGCCGCACTAATAGCAGCACTAATAGCAGCACTAAGGATGTAAGCGAAAGTGGGCGTTTAAGCTCTGAAGGGATATCAGCAGGCCAAGGTGGATACTACCCATTTATACGATCTCTAGCGCCAACTGCGCCCACTGTTGAATCAGCAGCTATGCCTTTATCGAAGTCAGCAGAGCCGGAACCGGGAAATCGGCGAAGAAGTGGAAGCTTTATCCCGTTAGCTCCAGTCCAAATGGCAACAAGAAATTCACCAACACAGGCATCCAGACCGCAAGGAGCTACGACGTCGGCACCGTCTGCTCAATTGAACCGTCCGAAAGGACCAATTGTGATTAACCACACACTCACACTGAATGACCTTTGACCAACATCGGGTCTTAGACATTTCTTTGTAATTTTATTACCGGTATTTTTACTTTATTTTTTTTATGTTATAGAATAAATTACCCAGTTTCGTTCTAATTGATCTATGATAGAGACGGGGCCTGTTCTATACAGGTACTACGGAAGGCGGTTTTTGATTGAACAATGATCTCTGACAACATAAGATCAAATGCTGCCTGTGATCCTGCGTCCTGGAACATCAACTCTTTGACCTTGTTCTCGAGTTCAAATAAATGTCGATCATTTCCTGTTGGAGCCACAGTACGTAATGAATGGGCTAGGTTAAGCAGATAGTCTCTGTTGGCACCAACTTGGTCCTAATGGGGAAGAGTGATAACGATGGTAAGTCGTTTACTTAAAGATAAAATATTGGAGGAAAAAAAAAAAAAAAAAAAAAAAAAAAACATCCCTGAAAGATCCCATACCATGTGAAATGTAGATTTGCTTTGCAATTTGCTCCAAAGGTGCAGGTCCAGCAAAATCAGAGTTATTAGTGCTTCCAATGTATACAATCGCCTATAAAGCCATAAAAAAAATAAAATAAAATAAAAAAAACACTCTGTATTAGTAAGCAAGCTTGATTTTAGAGAGAAAAAAAATTTTATCTCATCAAATGAGATGATCCCAATACCTTTTCCACTACAGGAATGTCACTACCAGGTTGAAAGACATCCAAAAAGTGTGTTTCGTAACCATTTTTTTCCCGATGATCCAGATATGCTTTTGTCTCTGCAACCTTGGATAATGGGATCTTGTATGCAACACCCCAGGTGATATCGTCCTGATCTGTAGAATGCTATTAGTCATTAAATAAAATAAAATATGTAAAACGTTGGCTCTGCGGGTAATTACTCAGGGGCCACTGAATACATATTAATATTTCTAATGAGCTATGATGGTACTATGTACTGTACCTTATCGAGAGTTTTGAATCGTTCTGTGAACTCTTCATAAGGAATTAAAGTGACTACACGGCCTGGTGCCTCCTCGGTGCCTCGGTGGTCCGTGCTCCTCTGCCAAAACCGGCGGACATGACCTTTGATATACCCAACCTTGCTGTAATAATACAATATTAACAAATGTATATGTATATAAAAAAATAAAAAAATAAAAAAATAAAAAAAAATAAAAAATAAAAAAAATAAAAAATAAAAAAAATAAAAAATAAAAAACTTTTAAGCATGTCTTTTATTGCTTCACATTATAGACAACATGACATTGGGGTTTGAATGCAATGTTAAAGGAATGGGATGGAGCATTTAAACAAAAAAGCACTGTAAAAGAATGAAAATAGAATTTTCAGAAGAGGGACGAACCTGTCTTCGTATTCCATATCAGGGCGCCAAATGAGGCTGCCATATCCAAAGAGCCACATGGTTTAGGATAAGGTGGTTGGTTTGGTAGAGTGTATGTTGGGTTGGTGGAAACAGAGACAAGGGTTCCGAGAAGAATAAGGAGAGAGGAAGAGAGAGAGAGAGAGGAGGATAAATTGGAGTGAAGAAAAAAGACAAAGCTTTTTTAAATTAATAGCAACAGTGAATCATGGCCCAATGCGGACATGTGGGACAATGTGGATCGTTTTTGTCATCACGCAACAATTGATAGTTGAATAAGGAGTTAAAACATATTGATTGACCTGGATTCTTACATTTACATTTACATTTACATTTACATTTACATTAACATTCTTTTAAAAGACGACATGCAGGACATACAGACACTTCCTTGCATGACCAACCAAGGATAAGTACTCACACAGAAATAGGAACCAAAGGAGCCATAGGAACAAATTCAAGAGCAGGAGCATTCGAAGCAACCCCAGCTGAAATTCCAATAACTGACACAGCCTCTAATAATAATAATAATAATAACAACAACAACATAATGACAATATTGAAGGTCCTCTTCCATTGCAAACCCTTTGTCCCCTCTTTCCGCATCCTATGGTTCATGGACAGTACCTTCCTTTGACAGCTTCTTCTCGACGCGCCGTGCGTCTGCACTTGGAAGCCGGTATTCGAGCCTTATTTCATCACATACGTCCACGTTTATGCCCGCTGGAACTAAAATCATCACCTGCTCCCAGCGGGATGTCCGTGATGATGGATGGTGGAGGTATACAATGCAAAATAAGGCCCGTAAAAGTAAGAAAAAAAGTATTTTCGATAAAGATAACTGGGTACTGGAATGCTTTTTTTTTTTTTTTTTTTTTTTTTTTTTTTTTTCATCTTATTGCAGGAACATTAAAACATACTTTTTCTTATCTTACACAACCAGTGTCTTTACACATGTCAGAGTCGATTACAAGTGTATTGAATGACTCGTCCTTAGTGCTTTATAGAGTGAATGAGCACATTCACAAGAAAGTACCACAGTTAGTTGAGGAAAAGGTAAAAGCTTCAGTAGGTTACCAAAGAAAGAAAGAAAGAACACATCTATGGACCAGGATCTAAAAGCATTTGCACTATAATATATACATGAATGAAAATAGCGAGCACTGGCTTCGACATGCAAGAGCGTCGAGACAGCTAACCAAGACCTAGAAGATGCACGACAGATCATCTCTAGTATGCAATGGCTAACTGAGTTGAGCGAGATTGAGGCTCTTGTGAAGCGAGCATTGTCATGATAATTGGATTAATGCCAACTATTACACAAGCTGTCTAATAAACCAATTCGCCTTTTTTTTTTTTTTTTTTTTTTAAGAAAAAAAAAGTGATCCTCTTACAAGGGGGCAAATACCATACTTTCTTCTCGCCAATACTATATGGTTGTTACGATTGTTATGCATCCAGAGATTTATTCATAGATCTTTTTAGAACGGATATATAAAGACAGCATTTGGCGACACTCTACTACGACTACTTCCATTTTTTATTCATAACGTCAGAATATTGTGTGACGGACATGATGAGGCCTTAATAAAAGGTTCCCGCCTGCACGTCCTCCAATGTGATGTCTTTTTTTGATTAGGGAAAGTTCAGTAGTGACCTTGAAATATTCATAAGCGAAGAGATAGTGAGGTTTTTCTACCGCCTTTCCTTGTTTTATTGCCCTCGTATAATTTGAACTGGAGCCATCCTGGTCAGTTAATGGAAGAGATGTGGAGACGATAGGAATAGTCAGTGCAATCCAAGACTTCGTCTAGTGCCCTCTTCCTCAATCTTGCTGCTCTGATAGTTACATTATCCTCTCAATGTCCAGAGCCATCACCCAAATGCATAACGGTGTAATCGGTTGAGGACAACAACTGTCCCTCGGATTCGGCTTGCAACATTTTCCTTTCGTCTGCATCTATCCCGCCTTCCCTTGCCATGGAAGCCTTGTGGGACTCAATTGTTAAGGCCTGATAAGATGCTTTCTGCTATAACTGTGATCGACCTTTGTAGCATCCTTCAAATTTCTAATTGGTGCATCTTCTTTCTTGGCATTGTGCTTTTGCATTCGTTTTTTCTGTTGCTTCTTTTTCGCCTTCCTCCGATGGGTGAATGCATAAAACCCGGCCTCGGGTGCTCACGACAGTGATCGATATTAATTGTGGCGTGCGCTCAATATGTTCGACCTGTGAGATCTCCTGTGACTCTAAAAGTCAAGGGGATCAAAAACTGCCTTTATTATTGTTGCCAGGCGGGAACCTTTTATGGAGGTCCCTCCATGACTGCCACACAATGTTCTGACCTTATGAATAAAAATGGATGTTCCCCTGAGATGCACTCTCAAACCTCGATACGTGACAACTAGTCAGAAAAGATGGACCGGAACTGGTTTCTATGTGATCCTTTCGCTATATAGAATGATTGCGTATCTCTAAAGTTTTCAAGAAAGGACTAACGATTAGTACTGGACATATTTGATTTCAGGATCATAACTACGACTCGAGCTTTCTTATGTCCTGCGACGCTGCAGTCGTCCTTGATGAGCCACTTCACGGTGAAGATCCTTTCCATTGAGTTGATACCCCTTGAAGCTATCGAACTCAGTTTGATCGTGACTCTCGAATTGACGTTTGAAGGCTAGAGGTAAAGACTTCGAGAGCTACTTCGAAACTGAGGATTATTAATCAGGCCAAGCGTTTCAAGATTCTTTGAGTAATCATTGTCTCAAATTGCACAGAGCAGTACAGATGTTGGTGAGTTCGCAAGTCAAATACATATTGATAACGTCGACCACGTCATAAGCCCTAAACTTCCGTCGACGGTGCAAAAGGGACTGCACTAGCTTGCAGACTCGTTCGTACGCAAACAAACTAGAGCCTCTTGGGTATCACAATCCTACCATTCACCCCATCACGGTACTCTATGCATGGATCTGCTTCGTTTGCATACAGGCAGACATCGAAGACAGAGTGAAGGCCTGTTGCCAGCTGGTCCCTGTCATGGTCGCTCAGGATTGGATCTCTCGAAGGCCTTTTTGGATGCGCTTCATGGCTTGAGGACAAGTTCAAACCCCGTTCCGTGAATTTTTCTCAAAGATGCTCATATCGTTTTCCAAAGCGTCCCTCCTCTCTGTCTTCTGGCTTGTCGTTCCGTCCTTGCTTTTTCTTTCTCGGCGCAAGGACTCTCACTAATGTGTATGGTCAGATTGTTCGTTTTGAGAAGATCCTTCATCTTGAGAGCTAGGGACCTGCCTACATCGATGATGGGCTTGCATTTGATCTTGTATGGACTACTTTACTGTAGATGCTATGATCGAACGTGTCAAAGAAATCTATGAGCAAAATGAGCAGAGTTTTCCGCCAAGGAAGTGCCTATGTCAGCTTCCGGAGGCGAAACCCCGCAATCCGCGAGTATTTGAAGGACTGCAGTCCTGTGGCTAATGCTTAAGCAAAAGAAAGGAAAAAGTGGCGGCAGCGATAAAAAAAACGAAAAGAGGTATTTTTTTTAAGGCTCAACATTCAGCAGAGAAGGTTGATGAAAGATACAGGAACAAGAGGGCAGTGGTAACAGAATCATTACGCCAAGATGATCATTTGAAAAAAGTATCCCATACTATCATTGTATTATCCTCCCGCATCGTTCCTTTATTACCATCGCTACATTTGCATGCGCAGCATATTTAGTTTTCTGTTTGTTTTCACACATCAAAAAAAAAGCTTTTATATTTATTTCCAAGGAAAATGCAGACCTATTTGCTGTATTTCCCTATCTATTTTATCCAATTAAAACTATGGTCAATGATGACGCTTACCACGTGATAAGCCTAGCTATGCCAATAAAAACAACTTTTTCATGTACATCACTGATCATCCTTCATTTTGGCTCTTTGCATCCCATCTCTGTTGTATCTTCCTGCGTTTCTCTAAAAAAGCGCGTGGAAATACACCCATAATTCATTTATTTTCATATAGAAATCAACCCTAAATAAGAAGAAAAACAGAGTTCCATTGCTCGCGCGGCGCACACTTTTAATCTCGCATGGACGCAACAATACGCGACAAAACGGTTCCAACCGTATGCGCGCACTACGCCCAGGAGACAGCAGCCACAGCCAGTCCCACGAGAAGAATGAACTTTTTCAAGTAAGGAAACCAATATCATTATCGTACTCATTTTTTTAGCCTGTCTACTCTTATGTTTATTTGTGTGTGCTATTTTTTTGCATCAATGAGTGGCTCTTTTTTTACAAATTCCGCTACCTAAAGGTGCTAATAATTTTAATACGTTCTCACTACCCGAACAATGATTTTATATTAGAATATTCCCAGTGTGATTGTAAGCTTTGTAAAAAAGTCGCTTAGCTGGTTTGGTATTTCGGCAGATGAAGTGATTGATTCAGCACTCGGGAAGGAATTGAACACAACTCGTGGCGATTTTGAGCTCCACCCTGGTGCAGAAAAGGAAGGAGAGTCATCTACGAACAATGATGAAAACAACAAGACTTCCGCTTCATCAGAGATGAAAGAGAAGCTCTATCCGGATTTGCGAGAGTATATTACTACTTTTAAGGTATTTGAAGACATATATTATGCCATAAATTGCATACACTTTGATTAAAGTCATCCTTTGGATGGTTACCTGACACTCGCAGTCGATCTATGCTTTTAGCCCTCGGAAACCCGATGAAGATGAGACGGATACTGTGATGACTTCAGAGAGGCAAGCTTCTCGCAGTAAATTTCGCAAGACCCTCTCGAATATGGAACCAGGGGCCTACGATATTAATGTAAGTGCAACATCGTAAAAATTAATGCTTTGACGTGATTTTATATGATTAGGGCTTGTCCCATTATTAACAGACAAACAAACAAACAAAAACTACGCATTTGCAATGTACAGAAACATGTCGACAACGGTAACCCTTCAATACGCGATGAAGACGTCACCATCGACGAAAGTCCTGATAAATCGTCGGATACCATCCATCCCACTAAGCATGCTCAACCGGAAGAAGGTACATAAGCACTATTGCTTTAGCTGTCTAATGATGTGTCAGTTGTCAGCTCTGTTAACATTATATGATTTTCTTCTGAATATAGAGATCGAGGGTCTTTCTAAGGAGGAGCTTATTCTTTTAGGTCGTATTCGCAAACTCACAGAGACTCCACTTGAGGTTTGTATTGTGAAATCAAGTCATGGAAAAACTATTAAAAACATAACAGGAACTTGGACCTTGTTGACTAATCCGACTCATTACTTTCTACGGATGTTTTCCTTAGAGAGCAAGAAAGAACGCGAGAGTGAGCGCTGGGGACCGTCTGCAAGAAGAAAAGATCGCACGCGAGTTCGTCACGCCGTACTCTCTCATTCGTGTATGTCTTTTTTCTTTTCACCTCTAACCAAGTGTATACTGGTGATCCAATTCTTGTCTGACATCTCCGTGTACATGGATTGCTCATTATAGCTTGCTCGCGAAGAACCAGAGCCAGCCCCTAAACAACCTCTCAAGCCTCTTGATACCATCATGCCTTACAATAAAGAACATAGAAAGCGACGACTCAGTGCATCGGCACGTGACGAACCCATGGATCATGGCATGGACTCTGGGGATAGCGACTTTGATGCTGATGAGTCTGACCATGTTAAACAGTTTTTCCGTGACCGCTCTCGTCAGCCTCGTCGTCGTGAAAAACCTGAGGTTACACAGAGTTCACCAAGCAAAATGCGACGTACTTCGCGTCCTGAGGTTCACGAGGATCAGCGTACGTCTCGCGGAGGATTTCAAATCAGGTCAAATGTGACACCTAAGCGACATGTCAGGTCTATTCCAGGACGCTTCTCTGCTTTGGACTCGGATTCGGAAGAGGAAGATATTGCACAGATGTTGGCACGGAAAGTATGTCATTGTATTCTTTTACTCATCTCTATGATCTTACAAGCTATTTTGTGTCATAGTATTGATTATAATTATCTACCTTATCCTGTCGGCCTTGCTGTAGGCAAAGCAAGCAATAGAGGGCGTAGCCTCTATGGCAGGGGTTTCATTACACCAAGAACAGGAATCATCCCAAGGTAGCTCTGGTACCAGAGTTCAACCACAGCTTTACCCTAACCTTCAACTGGGATCCGTCAGGAAACTTTACAATTCAAAACTGGATGAAGCTCGTAAGTGGACATCCCTGCCATATGATTCGGTAACACGAGACAAGCAGGTTGATGGAGAAGAGAGCCAAATGTCGACTATCATCTCAGAGGTTGTTTCTGCAGCGCCGGCAGTACTTGGTACCATTGCAACCGCTGCTGGTGTTGGAAGTGTCGCAAAACTTGCATCAGATTGGATTTCATCCCATAATCAGGACTCTGAGAAGGTACCTGCCAAACCTACATCATTGACGGCCAATCTCGGCTCAGATTCGACGTTAAACACAGTCAAGCTTACAGAGTCTACTATCAAGAATATGACTGCAGAGACGACTAAAGGGTTAGAAATGGCAAAGGAGCCAGCGATGGAAAAGCTGAAGTCTGTAAAGGAGCAGGAGCAGGAGCAGGAGCAGGAGAAGGAGAAGGAGAAGGAGAAGGAGAAGGAAAAAGCACCTACTTTTAGTTGGGGTGCAGGCATCAAGCTCCCTGACAATTCCAATAAGTGGAAGTGCCCCACTTGTGATGTCTGGAATGGGAATGAATTGAAAAAATGCCCATGTTGCGAAACATCCAAACCTGGCGAGAAGCCAGCAGAACAAAAACCTCCTGCCTTACCTGCCTTATTTGCTCCATCATTCGGAGCGCCATCATCATCATCATCATTATCATCATCAATCGTTTCTTCTACAACTGCACCTCCTTCATTTTCATTCGGATCAACCCCATTGGCAGCTACAAGCGCTCCTGGTGCTACCAAACCACTCTTTTCGCCATTTGCTCCCTCTGCTAGTACTAGCGCAGCAGGTGAGGCTGACAAAGCTTCAGATAAATCTGTTGACAAACTCGCTGGGACCACAATGGACAAACCGACTGCTCCTGCTACTATAGCGCCCTTAGGTTGGGCAGCAACATCCATCAAAATGCCGGATACTGTGGATAAGTGGAAGTGCCCCACCTGTGATGTCCGCAATGGAAACGATTTAAGTAAATGCCCGTGCTGTGATACTCCAAAGCCTGATGGTGCTGCAGTTTCAACGTCTGCATCCCCTGCAAAAGCTCCTGCCTCTTCTTTCTTCAGCTTTAAAACGCCGACGTCAGCGCCCCCGCTGTTTGGAGCTACAGCCCTGCCACCTCAACTCCCGCAGTTACGACCACCCCCAGTTTGTTTGGTGCCCCTGCTACCACTTCCTCAACTGAGACGAAGCCCCCTACGTTTTCTTTAGCGTTCTTACCACCTCTGCACCAGCATCTACCGGCGCTGGGCAGACTACGTCGGTTAACCCACTAGCGAATCCTTTTGCTGTGAAACCGCCTGCTGTCTCTACCCCATCCTTATTCGGATCCGCATCCGTTCCTGGGATGTCTTCATCGTCGTCAGAGGTATTGATGAGACTTTCAAATAGACTAAAGTTAATTACGAATGAAAGAGAAATGAAAGGCTTGCTAATTATCCTTCTCTTACTCTTTATCTCTCGCCTTCAAAAATATGTAGGAACCAAGCAAGCCAACGTTTTCGTTCGCATCTTCCTCAGTGCCTTGTCGCGCTGCAGCAGCAACATCTACTCCTAGTTCAACTTCTGCTTCGACATCAAGCGCGGCTTCAGTCTCAGCACCTCTTTTTGCGGCTCCAGCTTCAGCTGCGCCATCATCAACGGCAGGATCTCTATTTGGAGGCGCAGCCACTATCGCGACTGCAACCACAGCAACAACAACAACTTCATCCATTTTATTTGGCACGCCTTCCAGTGCACCTGCATCTAGTACACTGGCCACGAACACCTCAGTGACTCCTTCGCCATTCTCCTTTGGGTCTAGCAAGCCACAAAATATCTCTTTCGGTCAACCAAATACAACTCCAAATTCCCTCACTACTGCAAGTGCTCCAGCAACTAGTGCACCGACCAGTGCACCTTTATTTTCCTTCGGCGGAGGGACATCCAGCACGCCAGCCGCATCCAGCAATCCTCCAAGCTTCGCATTTGGTCAACCGGCTACAGCTGCAAACCCCACCACTACTACAAGCGCTCCATCTTCCGCAGTGTCCACTAGTGCATCCACATTTACATTTGGGGCAGGAGCTACTGGTGGCTTTGGTTCAGGTCTTGGTTCAGGATTTGCAGGATTCGGCGCCTCCGCTCCCTCAACCACTACACCATCCTTCTCATTTGCGGGAGGTGCTGCTAAACCACCAACTTTTCCATTCAGTGGGAGCAGCAATAAAACACCAACAATGGTATGATGTCGCCCACAATGACGAGCTCCAATCCTGCAGCGCCTACCAGCACCGCCAGCACATCATTCGGCGGATTTGGCTCCTCTACAGGCACAGGCTTTGGAAGTGCACAATCTACCCCAACATTCGGAGGCTCATCCTCAACGCCTTCAGTGTCTTTTGGATCAACGCCTGCATTTGGGGGGCCTTCACAACCTGCACCTTTCGGGCAGGCATCATCAGGAGGCGCTTTTGGGGCTACAGGATCTGGTCAAATGTTCGGTGCGTCAAATACTATGAACAATGGTACCGGTGGTGTATTCAGCAGTGCTAATAGCAGCAATAACAACAGCTTCATTTCTCTTACAAACTCCGGCGGAGCGGCACCAGCATTTGGGGTGGCTTTGGAATGCAGCAGCCATCACAGCAACAGCAACAGCAACAGCAACAGCAACAGCAACAGCAACAGGGAGGCTTTGGTGGGTTTGGGGTCAGCAGTGATGGTCAATTTGGCTTTAAGAACGTATCCAACGCACCAGGCGGTGCACAATATGCCCAGCCGGCCCCAAGTACGCTGACAGGGGGTTTTACATTCAACATGGGTGCTGGTCCAGCTCCTGGTGAGATGCCTGCCAATCGCAAAATTGCAAAGATGCGTCAGAAGAAGAGACCTTAAAAGCGATAGGATAAGACACTATAGAACGATTGTGTCAATCTCCATCATAGACTTTTTTTGCTCCTTGCTTCCTGTACCATAATAAAATTCAGAGCTACGTATCGTAGGCCTTAAATTAATTCCACAAACCAGTGCATAAAAATAAAAGAATGCGTATACACTTAGTTTCATAATTTCATGTTCGTCATGCAAACATAATAACTGGTTTGAATATGAGACAGATGATCTTCTTTTTTTTTTATTTTTGTCTCTCCTTTAGTTGCACGGACAACTCTCTCGTTCTTCCCATCCTTTTCTTTTATTCAACAGATCTTTTATGAAGACTCATGAACACATTTACCAATTCAGTAGAAAGAATAAGTTATACACTTACTGCCACATTAATAGGGCTGTGGCTGCATCTCTGCGAACACAGCAAATATTTGAATATAGACCTACTCCATCCGAGAACAAAGCAGCCAAAGATACAAGCAATCGAGTAATCAACATGCAAGGGCTTCAATCTTCTGCACTTGTACCACCGCAGCCTGCGAAGCCTGTGCAACCCGAGAACGAACAACAGTTGAATGAACCTCAGCAACGAACACAGGCAATTGAAGCATTAGCATCATCAAAAGCTAACCAATTCACACAACAGACGCAGCAACCACAATCGCAACAACAATATCAACATCATTACCCATCGGACCCTCGACAGTTAATGCTTCCTCTCCAGCACCCACAAACCCCAATCTCCTCTGTTGATGAACATACATTTCAGAATTCCGATGTATCCACAGAGCATTCGAGCAGATATTTCACTAGAAGCTTATCAACTTCATGGCCGCTAAGCAACAATCATAATCTTCACCAATATCAAAGTCAACGAGAGTACCAGCGTGGTGTCCCACCTACGTCCACTTCATTGACTTCAGCCTCTGGGCATCTAGCACTTCCTGCAGAGGATACTAATAACAGCAATCGCCCAAGGAGATGGTCTTTGACCGGACGATTTTTTGGTGATCGCAATCGTCGAAAAGTTTGACGGAGCCTTTTCACATACCTCACCGATGTGATAACCAATCTAGCCACGAAAAGTATCATGGACATAGTACTGAACAAAATAGTGCAAAGGATCGACGGGCTAGTTCGCCGGTCAATATCCAGAAAAACATAGTGAAGCATCGAAACACACAAACAGTTCAGACATCAATGCGCCTTCGGCACTCATGGAGGTGAACGTAGAACCAGTATTACAGAGATCCCCCGGGCACTTCTGTCCTCTTTGCGTCGAGTTTCCATCAGTGGTTTCGGTGCTGACCCTCCACCATCTAGCAGTTGCTCCGGAAATAATGAGGCCATGGCAGCCGCCACTGCAGCCGTCTCAGCATCCATTGCTGCAGCACTCGGGACATCTCCTCGAAACAAAAACAATCAATTAGATCAATTGGGTCATTTGGATCCGGAAACGAGACAACGCATCATGAAGAAAGGCAATGAAGAGGATCATGAGAGTTCCTCAGAAGAGGAGAGAGCTTGGCCGGGTGATAACTTCTATGTAGTCATGGCGATACCAAAGGAATCGTCACAGGATCCAATCTCGCTTGCCAAGAGGTTACCAACCAAAAGTATTCTCAAGAAACGATTAGCAGATGCTGCCAATATTAATGCTCAAAATAACAACGTTGTTGCTCCTGCCGCCATTGCAAGAGTAGAAGCATCAAATGCACCTGTTGCAGACGTGAATGGAGCTGAGTTGATTCGCCTATTGCGACGAAATCTGAAAGGATGACTAAATCTCCCATTCTGGGTTCAGAGGATGTACACCCTATGGCAACAGCTGACATGAGTGCAGAGGAAATCAAGAATCTGAAAATGTCGACAGACCATTATGCTGAACTGATAACCCATTCTCCTACGCCTAGTCATCCTCAGCCACAAGAGGAACGGTCAAGAAGTCCGCAGGGAGAACCATTCGCTACAATACCATCCACATCATCACATCCTCTTTTTCGCTGTCAACTGATAGAAGTTCACAGAGACAATAGTGGATGATGCTGATCCCCGCAGCTGCCTTAATTATAACGAAGCGGCAATGGCCATCAAAAATTGATGGGGCCCTATTCATCATCACCGAAAGGCGCAGCGATTCCTCCAGATTCCACTCCGGGAATACAATCAAATTCATCTCACCGAAGTCGACCAACAGGTGGATGGGTACAGGCGCAGTGATTCCTGAGGGGGAGAACTGTCTCAAGCAGAGATGCTCGACAATGAAATGGTTTCGATCAATCAAGGCCTCAACTACAGCAATAACTTTGACAATAATTATAGCTACAAGTTGCAACGTAATGGGACGATAGACAGTAATAGTAGCAATAATAGAGGGGAAAACAGCAGCCAGCAATTTGGTTATGATCAGATACAGGACCAAGGACAAGGACACCAGGGCAAGATAAGCGTCGATCGATTAATTTTATGGACCGAATAGAGATTATTCCTGTGTACCGTAAGAATGAATATGATCGACAGAGTGACAAGCATGCAACGTTTTTGGTATTGACACCTGAGCTCAAGAATGAGATCCGTGAAGAACTGAACACTTATAAGCTACGAGAAATGCCAGTCCATGTGGACAGTATGAATAACACAGCATTCCATTAGTTTTTTATTATATATTTATTATTGTTATTGTTACTACTATTATTTACATGTTATGAATATTTTTTAACCAGTAAATTTAATGTGACCAATAAAATAAAACGGAATGTTAAACAGCTTCGACCTCCGCGGCATAAAGGCGGCTGGTGCACAATTCTCCAAAGCTGAACAGGGAGAACATTAAAATTAGAAGCGGTTTTAGCTCAGCCTCACCATCGACATGTTTTTTTTACATATTTGTACTGTACAACTTTACTTCGCCAGGATGAACATGTGAACACCTGCGCCTTTTTAGCTTATGTAGATCCTCTTACACAGTTCATCTCATCTTCTGTAGCATCATGTTCAACCAAAAAAAGGGCAGTGTAAAGATATCTGAAAAGGATGGGCTTACGGAAACACTATCCCGAAGGTCGAGGCCTGTTATCCCCTAGTCCAAAGGATACGCGAACAATCCATTTTCCTGAACTACCCGCGGAAGAATACCCTCCTTAATTTTCTAGCATCCTACTTTTTTTTTTTTTTTTAAAAAAAAATATTTATACCTACCTTTCTTTTTTGGTCCTGCTCTTCCTTACTTAGCTTATCTCCCTTACTTGAGTTGTCTTTTCCTTTTCCTTTGTGCTTCTTGTCGGCTTTTACGTGTAACTAGCCGTACTCCCCCTCCTCTACTTAGCTCCTCTTTTTTTATTCTCTTTCTTTGACTCTTGTTTGTGCAGTTGCCTATGGTCTTTATTCATCCTCCCTACTAGCCTTCACACCCTTTTCCCCCCTTTTTTTTCATATCTTACTATTCGTGACAATCGTACAACTGTACATACCCTAACACTCCATCCTGCACGCACAGTTACACGACGCAACTGCTGGTTATCTTTTTTTGTCTATTCCTCCTTTTCCCCTCACTTCGAAGTCCTGAAGGCGATATTGACCCTTCTCACCGTATCGCCAAAAGCCCTTTTTTTTTTTTTTTTTTTTTTTTTTTAAAAAAAAAAAAAACTATTGAAGATGATTATTTCAAGCATCACTGTATCGGCATCAACTACAAGGACAACTACAGCATGTTTCTTCTCTTACTCTCGCTCCTTTCCTACATCACTAGTCCTGCCGCCGCTCAATATTATACGCCCACTACTACATGGGGTAGTGTATCGACCTTTATAGAAGCTCAAAGGTTTATTATCCAAGGCGGTAGCGATGGCACGTACGCAATTCCGCAGACCTTTGAAATCGACCTCTCTAAATCTTGGGATACTTCCAATGTACCCTACAGACACCTCGCGGATGGCCCTCTGCATATAACCACTATGCGGTACTATTCAACGACAAGCAGAACTGGCTTATATTTGCAAATACTACCGCAATCCGATACACGATTTCACATGATACCTGGGGTACAAATATCCCAGGCACCTATCTCTGGGGTATAGGGGCTGCTAGAGATCCAAACACGGGTTATGCGTATGTCCCAAATGGACATTTGTCAAATGGGATCGGCGAAATGGTAGAATACAACCTAGTTAATGGTGAAGGCAAATTATTCCCTATGCACCCTAATCTGGATCAAACTTTCTACTACTCTATTGCTTGGAGCGAACAGGCGAGGAAGATGATTTTGTTTGGCGGACGCTTTCAAGGGAAAACTGCCAACAGTAACCTGTATACCTGGGATAGCCGCGATGGTTGGAGTAGAATTACACCCAACGGTCCTATACCTCTCCACGTTATGGCGCATGCATGGTCTCAGCCTATGGAGGCGCCAAAATGATTCTCTTTGGAGGATAGAAAACACAGCCCTGAGTGATATATACATCCTGGACATATCGAACATGACATGGACGAAGGGTGCAGATGCTGGTACTCCAAGTGCGCGCGGCTATGCTGCTTGTGCAGTATCCAATGATCTATTTATTGCCTGGGGTGGTGGTGGTGGTGTGCAGATCCAGTCATACTTCCAACTTGACTGTCATTTACAACATCAAAAAGAATGCCTGGCAGTCTACTTATTCGCCCATACCTGAAACCGACCCTTCTTTTCCCAGTGGAGGAGGCAGTCCCGCTTTGGGCGCCATCATCGGTGGCGCTGTTGGGGGATTGGCCATTATTGCACTCGTCATTGGATTCTTTGTAACAGAAAACGGCAACAAGCGAAGAAGGCCAAGGCTCCGGTATCTACATCCACACCTCAACATCCAACCAATGGTGAAATGACTGTGGCCGCAACAGGAGCAGGAGCTGCAGAGGAAGCCGCATCAGTAGATCCTGGAAAAGTAGCACAGTACGCTACATGGCAGTACCAGCATCCCCAACCCCAATCTCAACCTCAACCTACCGTCTACTCCCAGGCACCATATGCACTATATCAGCCACCTGTTATTCATGACTACCAGCAGCCGTCGCAGATTCAACCACAAATCTTCCAGCCCCAATCAACACCGAGTCAACAACATCAACAAGCTTATGAGAACGCATATCAACAGCAAAACACCTATGTCCCTCCTTCTTCAGGCACTGCACCTGTGTACAGCCCTCAACCAGAGGCGTATCAGCAGCCTACAATCTACCAGCCTGCAGGTGGTCCAGTCACGAATATCTCGCCGTTGTTTGAGCATCACCATCAGCAAAAGTCTGAAACACCCACGATAGTACCTAGTCAGTCTCTACACAGTCCCCAGCTCATGGCTGTATCAGACAGTTATGTAGATGGTGGTAGCCCCCGTCGGAGTCCTCAAGGCATGTAACGAAGGCCACGGCAAGGGCCGTCTTTAGGCGGCAGAGGCAAAGAAGCATATATGGTTTTTCTCGTGTATAAAGAATCCTGCAAATCTACTAAATGTCTACAATGTCTTTACATAATTATGGCATTAGTAATAACAGTAAATGATAAAAAAAAAAAAAAAAAAAAAAAGGAATGGGATGCCTTTGGGTCTAACCGGATTAGACCTTTATATAATAAAATATATGTATGCACCAATTCCTCTGCTCCTTCCCTTTTTTATTTGTATCAAAGTTTAGTACTTTCCATTGGATGGATTGTCTCCTGTCTGGCCACCTTGTTTCCAGTGATGGCAAGTCATTTCTCTTTCTTTTTTTTAGTGTTATATTTTATTATAGCTATTAGAAAAAAGAGAATAAGAGAAAACAAACAAGTAGCATAGCCGGATGACCTATATGGTTTTTTCCTTTTTTTTACATGAGAGCTGCTGGAGTCGTATTCTGGAAGAAAAAGTCGCTACGGCTCTTTTTAAGCCTCAGAACACGTTTGGTTAGCTCTGCTTCCTGAGCAGCAGCACTGCTGCTGCCGCTGCTAATGTCGTCTACATCTGTATTAGAGTCTCTTGAGGACATTTTAGCAATGGTGCTGGCAGATGAATCCGCTTTGAGGGCCGATCCAAATCCGTCACTGGAAGAAACAGCGGTGGAGACAGAGGTCATGGACGAGATAGTATGCGTGGACGCTTTCGCACTCAGCAGTGTCGCCGACAAACCCTGGAGCTCTTCAAGCGTAGCACTTGAGTATACATCCAAGTAACAGCCAGCACCTCTGCGTTCTTGCTCTTCTACTATCATAGTAGACGTATAGAAGCTTGAGCGAGCCTCGAGGCGGTCAGCCTCGCGAACGCTGAGGGGCTTAAGCGTCCACTTCCTATAACCGGCCCGACAGGCGCTTTGAGATGAAGGTTGCTAGCGAGTGAGGGGGCCGATGATGTACGAATGCCGCTAAGAGCGCTTGTGGGCCCAAGGCTGCTCATCAATCCATCGCTGGCGCTGCTGCTCCTACTGCTATTTGAACTGATGCTTGTGGATGAAATGCAACTGGCCTGGCTGTTATTCCTGAGCATTGGTGTCACCATACCCCCCATGCCTCTCCGGTTCATGCTAAGGGACCATTGGCCATAACGCTGGTTATACTGCTGCTCGCTGACATCCCTTAGGCGGAAGTAATAAGCCGCATACAGGGACCGCTTTACCGAAACATTATACTGGAGTTTAGCCATCGCGAACCGCTCCAACGCATTAACGTCCTTAACAGAAAGGCCCTCAAAGATGGCGCAAACATCCGAGTTGAAGACTGCAAGGTCCTCCCAAACTTTAATAGAAAGGATCAAGGCTCCTAACAGCAAGCGACGCCAATTGATCGCATGGAAGGACAAGTTTCCCAACTCTGTCATACGTTCAACATAAATTAACGTGATAATGGCGTTCTCCGCACCGAGGTTCTATCAGAGTTAGTAAAAAGAAGAAAAAAAAATTAGGAAACATTTATAGATATTTGATTTAACCATGCTTTATATATATATATACCTGGCTGCAGTCAAAGATAAACCTCATAAAGTCGAATATATCTGCTTGAGTCATGGTAACCTTTTCAGATGGCACATAGGAAGACGAATTGATAATTCTTTCAGTTCTGCAGTCATTGGTCCTATGGGAATGGAGTACTTTCTCGTAAAGTACAGTGGTAACCCTGTTTTTTTTTTTTTTTTTTTTTTTTTTTTTTTTTTTTTTTTTGCAGAAAATGTTAGGAGTGCTGAAATGCTAAGAAGAGGTAGCTCGCAAAATTAAGTAAATAAAAAATCCTTACGCCCGCAGAGTTTATCCACATCGCTCTTGGTCATTGTACTGTCGATATATAAGCTTGAAGTTGAATTACATTTCGTTAACGAAAAGTGAGAAGCCAAGGTCCGGCCCTCAAGCGCGCTCAAAGCCCCAGGCGCAATACCAGTCATAACACTTGTTGTGGTTTGGAGCGTTAAAGGAGGTTGGTCTGCCACAGTTGTAGCAGTCTCAGTACTTGAATATTTCTTTTTCTTATCATACTTCTTTTCGGCAACAGCCGTAGCAGATACGCCATGTTGTTTTGCAGGCTCCGTAGACTCGACACCAGATGCGAGTCTATCAGCCTGGTGTTGCTGCTGGGAAGATAATGGTGACGACAAACACTTTTGCGATTGTTTGTAACAGGTAGACTGTGACGGCAAACCTTGCTCTTCTTTGACCCAGAGCCTTCCTTTGCCAGTATGCCCTCATTCGATTCAGACCTTGAACCCAGACTTGAATTTAAAAGGGTTGATGACGATGACACCATAGAAACAGAAGGCTTTATTGGATCGCCCATAGTACTCGACATGCCGCCCAAGAAGTCTTCCGCGCCACTATTCTCGTATTCAGAAACCAAGTAGGTCAAAGAGTCTTCAGAACCGATATCTTTTCCTTTACTGTTACCTAGGCTATCACAGCCAAGGGCCAGACTGAAGTCAGACTCCGAACTGCAAATAATGTCTACAATTCGCCTGTCACCGAAGTGAGCCTTTTGAAGATTCAGGAGCTTTTGCTGGCGTTGAGACATGGGGTAAAGTTTTTGTGTAGCCTTTTCTGATGGCGAATTGCTATTATGATGCTGGCGTTGGCTGGCCTTATCGTGATGCTCCTCGTCACTGCTATCCTCTATGCTATCCTCTATGCTATCCTCTATGCTATCCTCTATGCTTTGTCGACGAAGCTTGGTTAACTTGGTTCGATGCCCAGTCCTTGATTTATTGCCATGATCACACCTGATATAGCTGATAATACTTTCGCTACAATTTTCAGTTTTGGTTTGCCAATGAGGGTCCTGTGTAAGTCCATAGGGCCTATCCCTTCCTCAGCCTTTCCCCTCACCCCAGTCTTCCTAATCTTCTGACGAGACTTCTTTGCATTATTTGCATTATTAGTGATAATTTCATGCCTCTCTAATGCCTTACTAATTTGAGCGTCTCCCATAGAGCTCCTCTGGGCTGGCGATCCCCACCAACCTGCGTCATTTGCATCTATCGTACTTGGATCATGTCCGCAAGCGGATTCTGCTCGAGAGAAAGCAGCAAATTCGATGAAGACTCCTTCAGACCGATCGGCGAGTCGGCTTAGGCTTGTAGAAGAGACAATAACAGAGCTCCACTCACGGAGCAACTCCTTGACAACGACGACGTGGAAGAGGAGCTGGTGATAGTACTATGGCAATAGCTATCAGTATCAGGTATTTCCTCCTTCTTGGCCTTGTTTAAACGTGGCAGAAATTGCAATTGGCCTTTTTTGTTCTCAAGTTGACAAGTGATAGGAAAAAAATGACCTTTGCCTTTCTCATCATTTGAACCTTCATTTGTGCTACTCTCATCACCGTCTTCATAAGAAGATCCACTGCTCCCAGTGCTATTGCAGCCTGGCCTCTCCTCTTGCCTTCCTCGCCCTCTTTCCATGGCAAGAAATTACGCCAGTCGTCTGCAACTCTGCGAATTGCCGAAAGTATGCAGAGCCTGGAGAACACTCGCGTAAATTTCTACGAACAATTCTTAACTGTTCTTTCGCAACTTGCTTTTCTTCTTCCGTATAAAGATTGTCTACAACAGCTGCAATAGTAGTGGTAGTGTTGGCAGGCCGTATAGACGTCCCTGTAGCTTTTTTGCGTCCAGGAATACTTCGCTTTTTTTTTGTCTTTTTCGGCTTGCAGTTGCTGCTATAGAATAATGGTCACAGCTTTGGTTTATTGCCGGCCACGGAGCCGATAACCTCGGGGTCCTTGTTGCTGTAGTTTTCTCCTGACTATATTGGCGTTCTGTTGGGATTTTGCATAGGTCTTTCCCTTCTTACTGTTACTACAAACGCCGTCGACACTACTCGTACTGGCGGTGCTTCCAGAGCGGCGACGTTGATACTGGTGCACTGCCTGTCGAATGCTATAGAGTGGTGAGCGTGTAGGACTATTCAATGGACGGGTCGGAAGGTAATGTTTGTAGTGGCCAACATGGTTTCCGTCAAAACCTGATATCATGCATGGAGGCCCTTCTTGAAGAGGTAGAGATAGTAGTCGTAGAAGTAGAGACCGCACCTAGCGGTGGTGGAGGGCAGTAAGGTGCGTACGAGGATTACATGAGCCTTGTCTATAACGGTGGTAATATATGTGTGTCTTACGGCCTGTTGGGTTTAAGAAAGCGAGGACTATAAACGTAAAAAAAAAAGAAAAAAAAAAAGAAATAGGGAAAAAATCAGCATGCAAATTACATTCTACGTGTCTTTACTTTTCGTATTTTTTTTACCAGTAGATTTTCGTGCCTTTAGATGTTGCTTTTAGTAAGCTTATTGAGCTTCCAACAAATTTGCTGTCCTAGTGTTGTTCTTGGATGAGATAGACTGTTGCTGGTGTCTCTCGTTGCTTTTGTGGAAGCTGGGATGCTCTGGTACTTGAGCATTGAAGAAGAATAGATGTTACGGTATGTTTGCGTGTAAATTAAGTGATAGAAACAAAGGGCAGTAAAAGAACAAGAAGTGTAAGCTAGCGCTAGTGTATGGATAGACTATGGAAGATATTCAGCTGCCTGATGTTTGAAGCAAACAGGGAGTATGGTGAAAGCGCTTGTGTACAGTAGAATGAAAAGGGTTTATAGGCAAGTGAGTGAATGAAAACGAGAAAGCAGCAAAGCAGAAAAATAAGTAATTCATAAAAGAGAAACGATTGGGAACTGTTTTTCTTCTTTACTAGAATCAAATGACAAACGAAGGGATAATATGAAAATAAAGTGAGATAGGCACACCAATGGTAATGAATGCGTTTTGAGCCTTTTCTTTTCGCTGTTGAGATGGCATCGATGCCAGCTGAACCTGGAAGGGGACCGGTGGAAACAGAATCGACCAGCGAGAGCAGGGCTGCATTTTTTTTTTTTTTTTTTTTTTTTTTTTTTTTGGTGGAGCCGCTACAAATAAGAAAACTGGTATTATGTCACATCGATTATCAGCATGTCTGCATGATGGAACAATATCAGCATTGCATACCATAGGAGACCCTTGCATTCTTATATTCTTCTTAGCAAAACCTCTTAACTTCCTCGCTCTTCATATTAATGCCAACACAATAACTTTTTATGCAATTCTACAACTTTCAGCTAATGGTAAGCAGCGTCAAGGGATGGCAGCAATAGTCACAACAGTAGTATGCTCATACTCTCATAGGCTCGCATAGAAAAAGAACAAAGTTAAAGAGGATTCTGATTCGATCTATGAAGCATTTTCATTACCTTTGGTGTGCATCAGACTTTTTCTATCTTTTTTGGTAAAGGTTCTATGTAATAGCATCCGGATGCGTTGGCCGCTCTCTCTGTTCTTTTTTAGTTGCTTTGGTCAATCACTTTGGGGAGTTTATGTCATTTGGGTTTTTTTGGCCGAGAAAGAGTCGGAGAAGCAAGACCAACACACAACATTGCGGAAGTTGAATTTTTTAAAAAAAAAACTTGCCCTGTGCGTAACAACGCGTGTCAGGTCACACACGACAATCTGATCAGAAACAGAAGGCTCATTCCATTACAGCCACTGAAGAAACAGGACCCATCCTTCCCTTCATCCCGCTCCAGTTGTACATGCTTCGTAAAGTTAGCCGCAACACAGTGACAGCAAGAAGACATATATCTCATCTTCCCTGAAGCAGCACCAACTTTGGATATACTCCACCATTAGTTTACGCCTTAAGCGATCAAGTAAGCGAAACTATCTACTACCTCATTTTCATGCTCGGAATGGCGACTGATAAAACCAGTTCCATTGACCCAAGGAAGAGCAGAATGAAACAGAGTTCATCGCATTCATTTGACTCGGAAGATGATTCTGAATCTGATCTTGAGATTGATTTGTCTCCAAATCCCAACGATCGAAAAAAAAGATCACAAAAGGAATCAATCAAAGTTCCGAAACATTTTGGCAAGAGTAACACACAGGTTTACGACAATATCTCTGTCTACGCTCCACCGGACTCCAACCTCATTTTCAAATGCTCTCAGAAGCGTGCTAACTGGTACCTCTCTCGAAATCTTGCCCGGCCACTGTCTCCAAATTCGATCCACCTCAACTTTTCACCCGCGGGACAGGGTCCATGTAAATGATCCCCTACCTGGAAGAGCGCGAAAATAAGTGCGTTATCTGTGGCTTGACTACTGCAGAACTGGTGCGACCATGTTGCACGTAGTTCCAGAACAATACAGAAAATGGTTCCCGATTCGGCTGAAAAGCCATTCCAGTCATGATATTGTCGTTGCCTGCCCAGAATGCAATGCCAAATGGGATAAAGAAGCAGCAGTTGTGCGCAAAAAGATTGTCGGGCTCTATAGCATACCTTTAGAAGGTATTGGATGGATTAAAGACCATGAGGCAAGTGTAGCAAAGAGATCTGCCGCTGCAGTGATCACAGAATGAATCGGCGATGGTTGGAGTATCATACACAGTATAACCAACAGCAACAACAGCAACAACAGCAACAACAGCAACAAGAAAGCGATAAAGCCAAAAGGAAATCGATTACAAACAACATTGACTGCAAGCCCGTTACAGGAGAACCCTGGCTCGACTTCAAGAACAAGAAAGACAACAAAAATAAAATGCAGAATGTGATACCCCTTAGAAGAATGCAGGTTCTCGAGAAGAATGCTTGACTGGGGAATAGTCATCAAAAGGGTGATAAAGAACAATTGATAGAAACATCAACAATACAGAAGCGAGACTCTATGAACGATGCTGATGACAGGAAGAGCCACGAAAAAGATGAAGGTTGATGATATTGATACTTCAATCCACTTCGCTTGTACCTTCAACAGGATTTCCAATACGAAGGAAACGATCAAAAGGCGAAAGGGGGAGAGAGGCACAGATAGAGGTCCGATTTCACCACCAGGAATACTCCACACATTAAATAGGACTATTCTAGACGGCAGCAATGGCAGCACAGGCAATATATAAAGGGCCGGACTACAAGGAACATGGCCAGTTAGTGATTGCGCGGGTGATGGCATCTTCGCCTGAGTTTTTTAGGATGCGGATGAAACTCCTGGGACGATACGTCATGGAAGGATGCTGAACCATTGGATCCTGCTCCGGTAGGATGGCAAGATATTTCGGCTTTTGTCGGTCGTGAGACAGGCATTCCTAGAACGAGCTATGCCACAACATCTCAGTTCACAATGGAGAGTTGAGAATCCTGTGTAAGCATTTTAAAGAAGCCTCTGCATGTAGACTATCTATTACATGTGTTGGTTAAAGTGTTCTTTTTCGCTATGAATGAATGAAGAGTGTCATTTTTATAGTCCTGCACAAACCCAGTGATGCCTGTTGGCTTACTAACAGTGTCTCGTTTTTGCTATGCTTGAATTAAAAGAAAAGGACGCTATTTTTGGCTCTCTTTCACCTCTTCTCAACGTCAACCTCATTCGCTCTTGTCTCTTCATCATTCTCATTCATTCTCTCTCTCTCTTCCTCTCTCTCTCTCTCCTCTCTTCTCTCTCTCTCTCTCTCTCTTCTCTCCTCTCTCTCTCTCTCTCTCTTCTCTCTCTCTCTCTCGCTCTCGCTCTCTCTTCTTATTTTTTATTAATCCCCTTACCCTTTGTCACAATACCTTCAACTCTTTTGATTTAACCTCGCATCGTTCATCGCTTATTTGCGCATCCGGGATGCGTTCTCGATTTAACCGCTACTCATTGCTTTCAGTGGCAGCCACGTTGTTGTATCGCTTATCCTCTTCATAAATCGCTCTTTCATACTCCATCCTCATCTCAACCTTGGTCTGCTAAAGTCTCTTGAGCCCTTTCTTAAAGACGTTGTTCTTTTGGCGCAGACTCGCCGTTTCACACTCTTCCTTCGACAATGTTCTCAATGAGATTCTGCGTCATGGTCATCTTCATCGTAATTAAAGCAACAGCAGAAGGATGGTTTGAGTAGAATGTCAAGGACAAGGATACGTATCTGTAGTTTATTCACGATCGATACACTTCGGATCCAAAACGAACTTGTGGGAATAACAAGATTATGAGACAAGCCGATTTCTTGGAGGAGCAGCAGGTATAGGCAATGGATTCCGACCCTCAGTCTTTCAAGCAGTGGCAGAACGATACCTCAAATTCAGGACGCCATCTCCAGCTGTGCTGCTGCAGCTACAGGTCATTCTGTCCTACTTGCAGAATGAAAAGCTGTGTGTTCTGGTGAGTGAGCAAACCGCTCTTCAAACATCTGGCGACAGCTAAAAAAGAAGCTTTATTCACACGCTATTTTGTTTAGGTCTTTACAAACATGGCATTTTGTCTAGCCTTCCTCACTGGGCGACTGATCCTGAGGACTTTCTTTGGCGATCTACGAATGATTGAACGGCAGGTAGGTGCTCTTTCCTATTTACTTGATCATTGGTAGAAGAAAGAGAATGACCAAAAGTCAAAATGAAAGGACCAACTACAGCAGAGACAAATCAATACCCAACACCTTTTTTTTTAAAAAAAAAAAAAAAAAAAAAAAAGTGAAAAAGTGAAAAAGTGAAAAAGTAGAAAGCTTATATCGAGGATCAATCCTCTTCCCGTCATGACCAGGGATACAACCACCACTTGTTCATCATGGGATTTGGTACTTTCCATTCAGAATTATCAACATCAACATGGAGAAGGGCGAGGGGAGGTTCAAATTGTGTTCCTGTCCAATTGGGTTTGATTTTATTGCTTTTTTGAAAGCACTAAAGTATCATCGTGTGACAATCCCATCCTATCCCAGTATAATTTACACTTCCCCACCTTCTCTCTCTCCCCAAAAAAAAAAAAAAAAAAAAAAAAATCATAGCACATGTATGATAGGGCACTAAACTTCCTGCTTTTTAAAGTCGTCTTTGGGGTGCCATTCTGGAGCCTCGCTGGGAAAACTTTTAATCTGGACTGCCTGGTTCACTATCCTCGGATTTCACGAGTCTTTAGCATGCTGTGCCGTGATCGGTTTGAATTTGTATGAATATGCAACAATGTTTACTGTACCAATTTCATTGTAGTCATCTGTGTAACTCTTCGCCTCTTTCAGATGCACTTTGCCAACAAACTCCTTCTTCCCTTCTTATTATAGTAACTGTATCGCCTAAATCCCCGTCATAGTCCATATCAAGATTTTGAGCATGCTCACAATGATCTTGGTCTCGAACATTGCGTGGTTTTACTCTGTATCTCGGTCTTCCGATCCATGTTACTTCCTGTCCTTTGAGGTATGTATCTAAATCTTGATTTTTTTTTTTCTTCTTCGTGAAAACACAAAAAACCAAGATTTCATAATTAACAAGCCCCGGCTAAACTTGTAACCCCTGTGTTTTGAATTCTCTTAGTGCTTCACATTGTTCCTGGACACGGTTCAGACACTTGTGAAATACATTATCCATCTTGGTGATTTATCACGTCAAGACCAGTGAATCACGAAGAATGATTCAATACTATACCGAATTTGTTACTGACACGATGATTTTGGTGACAACTTGGGACACTACTCCATTTATGGTGAGTCAACAAGAAGATCTGGTTAAAAAAAAAAAAAAAAAAAAAGTTATATCTAACATATATCTATACATCTATACATTATTTTTATTTTAATTATTTGATCAGTATTTGCATGGGATCTCATTTACACTCATTGATGCAGTGCTGTTCTTAACATGAGAAGCGTGTTCAACATTTAAGGAAAAAACTTGCCGGTCATCATGCCTACCGCCAGGCTCTCAATAACATGCAGCATTATACCCATCAGCAACAGAGAAGGAACTGGAAGATTATAGCGATGACTGTGCTATCTGCAGGGACAGTATGGCCTCAGCAAAAGTCCTTCATGTGGTCATATCTTTCACTTGTTTTGTTTCTCGGTCCTGGCTTAACATCACAGCTCGTGTCCCACATGCAGGCGGCATTGTCCGTCAAAACAGAATCAAATAGGGTAGTGAATAGTGGTTCGAATGGTATTTCTAGTCATAACGTGAACCGCGCCAATGTTGAGACAGCTGCAGCGCCTACCTTGAGCGACATCCAATATTCTAGCCGCATTGGGCCACCAACCGCTACCCCTTCGTTACAAGCTCTATCAGTGCCATCCTCTAGTTCAACCAATACTCCACATATTCTTCAGTGGGTAATCATTCATCGTCAAGTGCTCCTACCCATAATAGCGCTTCAGGCAACAATAGCAATCGTTCTAGTACAGGGCATCAATTGTTTACATTCAACTCTGAGCAGCAGCCATGGCTGAGTCGTCTGGGCTTCCAAGAATCACAGTGGAGGTCGTAGATCCAGCACAGAGAAGAAGACCAAAGTAGCTCTGACTTATACTCTTCAATCTCATTCGCACACCAGTACCCATTCAATCCACCAACGTCCCCTTCATAGTCTATTCCCTATTCTTCACATCAGCAACTATCGCCGAGGATGACAGTACGGATGAAGATGAGGATGAAGATTTGAGAAGAGCCATTGCTGAGAGCTTGGCTTTGAGTCAACTGACGCAATCACAAATCAACATCAAATTTGCCGTTAACAGCCTCAACAACGACAGCAGCGGCGACAGCAACAGCGACGACTATAACAGCAACGAGCGAACATTTGAGTCGGGACATCGGTCATAAATCGTCTACAACATTAGCCGGAGCAGCGATTCTGAGTGTGGCCCTAGTCAGAGCCAAGTCGAAGAGCTAGCCTTGTGAGCGAAATTGAGTTGATCATAGGAACAGCATTGGTGGGGTAGACGAGAGACTATGCCCACCTGTGATCTCAAAGTTGATTGAATTGAGCGAGTTACACGTAGTGTACCAAGTCAGAGAGTCTACTTTGAGTTGTGAATAACTCAAACTTGTATTTTTATTCCTTTATCTAACTAACCCTTAACTAAAGTTCAAGTGACTGTCCCTCCAAAAAAAAAAAAAAAAATAATAAACAGTCAGTGCTTGTTGCTTGCCATGTATTTTTTTTTTTTTTACCACACGCCATTATAAATCTCCCCATCCATCGTCGCATACTTCTTGTCAGTCTTCTACATTTACATAATAATACCGACGAGGGTACGTCTTTCTGACCAATGTGTTGCTCTAATATACACATCCTAGCCTTTCGCTTTATCTCTTGAGCCCAAAAGGAGGAATAATAATAAAAAAGAAGAGACACAATAACCAAGCTAATCATGGACTTTATCTATGTTGCAACTCATAAAAAACTGTAGTTATTGGCAGGTTATCAACCAACAATTTTGCTCATACAAAGTCAAGTAAGTCTAGGGTCCAACATAATATAGATTCATACAATATCAAAGATATAAATGTTTGGTTGATTTCATGAATAAAACCTATAATTTTGGCCTGGTTCGGAGCACTTGTTTTGCTTCACTATATTAACTCACTTTTTTTTTCCTATTATACTTATGCCTCATCTTATCAACGATTGGATCATTGGAAAACCAAATAAACCAAATAAAACCAATAAAAACCAATAAAAAAAAAATAAAAAAAAATCAGGACACCAACAGGGAATTTTTGCAGGAACGAATACAATGCGACGGGTCTCTGCAACCGTCAATCCTGCCCTCTCGCCAACTCTCGATACGCTACAGTTCGTGAGCAGAATGGAGTGATCTACTTGTTTGTGAAGACACCTGAACGAGCACACTCACTGCCAAGTGGGAGAAGATCAAGTTGTCCAAAAACTATGCACAGGCACTGGAGCAAATTGATAAGGAATTGATCTACTGGCCTAACTTTTCGATCCACAAGTGTAAGCAGCGTCTGACAGAGATTACACAATACTTGATCAAGATGCGTAAACTAAAATTGAAAGCGGATGAGAGACCCAAGCTGGTAGGGATCAAGAAAAAAGTTGAGCGGCGGGAGGCCAGGAGAGAAGCCAAGGCAGAAGCTGCAGCGAGATTAGATAAGGCGATCGAGAAGGAGCTACTGGATCGACTGAAGTCACATGCATACGGCGATGCACCCTTGAATGTACATGAAGATGTTTGGAAAGAAATTTTGGAAGGCGAGAAGGAGAACTAGAGATTGATAGTGATCAGACCGATGAAGATGACTCACAGTCAAAGCAGAGGAGGAAGAGGAAGAGGATGAAGAACGCGAGTTTGTTTCGGATCAAAGCGAGGATGAGGAAGATATGGAAGACATGTTTGAGAAGGAATATGAGGTAGGCAATCATTTAGTAACGCTTTTTTTTTTTCTTTTTTTTTATTCGATGCACCATCGTTTATATGGTATGGCTATATTAATCATAACATTTATCTTTTCAACGTAATTCTCTTAGCACGAGACTGTGGCTCTATAAACAATTTTTTTTTATCGTTTATCATCATTTCGACAGCCATACATACATATCCATCATAGCCACCGTGAAACATATATATACATATACTGCATTGAACGACAAATAATAACATTATAGCAAACAATGGCTTAAATGGAAACAGCTTGAAATAAAAAATAAATAAAAAATAAATAAATAAAAAAAAAAAAAAAAAAAAAAAAAAAAAAAAAGCTCATGGGAGCGTTCTGGTTGGAAATCTTGGATGTGATTTGTCTATCATTAATTTTTAACAATGAACCTTATTATCTGTTGATCTGTACGGTTTTTAAAGTTAGTCCGGAAATTCAGGGGCAAAAGATTAGAGAGGATGGAGACGAAAATAAACAGAACTTACAAATTTTTTGTGGGTGTGCCGGCCCAATATTGTGTCTAGCGTCGTGCGCGCTTTGCAGCCGGAGCAGGCGACTCTTCCGTGGGCTTGTACTTTGCAGGCCTCTCTTGTCTCTCAATTTGAGCAAGACCGATTCTTGCGATGTTTTCCGCCCCTACTGCGTCACGGTCGAAGAATACTTACATGCCCGGCAATATTTAGAGCGAGGGTACACCGTCTCTAAAAAGCTATCCAGAGGGGTCGGGGACAGCGGGCGCTGGTGTAAAATTCGTGCGCTCCTACAGTAAGTGTCCTGCCTTTGACCTAAGTGTTTCAAATGGCAGTCGTTTATTAGCAAGGGTTCTATGGCTTTCCAGCTTTTCTTACTTTTTTAAAAAAAAGCCATACCTGTGTGACAAGATGTCTCGTTATAGCAGTGTGCTTGCTGGGAACTCCTTTACTACTTTCAAAGGACCCTAGGCCGACGACAAGCACTCCTTTATCCCCAAGCATCTTCAACACTCGCTGTACGCGTAGTCGAACGTAGCTCGTTGAGCCTTTCGTAGGTCCCATTTTTTTTTCAGGATGCCATCTGGATTCGTAGAACTCTTGAAGCACATCCAAATTCGTTGATCCTGTCTGTGTCTGAGACTCCTCGTTCATCCATTGAAAGTACTCATTATACGTATCCCTTCCAAACACAGGGATGGCGCTCTCAACCTCAATCATTCCTTTTTCACGCTTCCTTTTGTTCAACAGGTGATTGAAGCGGAGGACGGGAGGTACAAGAACCTGCTTCTCACCTTTACCGTTTGCCGCAAGTTAGGGTTGTGAGGGTCCAGCGAGGAAAACGTAAGGGCGTTAACAATACCAGGATCACATCCGACGATAGTTGTGGTGTTTGCGGATGGGCATCGCCCTGGTTTGTTGAATGTGAGCTCAACGTTTTCAAGCAGCTTGGAGCTCCTCTTCCAGTTTATGTTCTGTAGTCTTCATCTGTTAGGTCTTCACCGGCCGCCTTTGAACACGTCGTGTTGAGAAATCCCTGAGAAAGCTCCAGTTCTTGGCTGGGGTCTTCTTCATCTACGTCAGACTGCTGCTGTCTCTTCGTCTGGGTTGTGTCATAGGCAAGTAGATTCAGAACTAGACCGTTGGTAGAAATCGTTCCTTTGAGTTTGAACCGAGTTAGATCTTTGTCCTGTGACTGCAGGGATACTTTGTCTTGATATCCACGAACCATGCGATCACCTCCAATGTCACAAAAGAGAGCCTGTATCAAAACCCCTTTTGTTCCCTGTACACACTCATACATTGCAGTCTTGGAAGGATTATTGAGAGGCAGAATACGCTCCAGCAGCTGCTTGGTATCTTCGTTCGCCCAGAGGATGTCAACTAGGGCGTGTTCAGACAGATACACATACCCGGGTGACCAGGGGACGTAGGAAAGTCTGAGTATTTTTTCACTTTTTTGTTCTCCCGCAAAAAAAACTCAATGTCGCTCATATCTTCGTTTGTTTTCTCGACATCAAACTAGAAAAAAAAAAAAAAAAAAAAAAAAGTCTGAATAAAAAAAAAAAAAAAAAAAAAAACAAAAACCATAAAAGCTATACCATTGCGTTCCTGTAGTGCTGCCTTAATGATGTCTGTACTTGGCCCATTAGTAGCTCTGACGCTCTTGGAAATGTGATCTTTTTGGGATCAAAGCCTTGACGTCCCCCAATGTGATGTCTATTTCCTTTATTGGGGAAAGTTCAGTGGTGGCCTTGAAATGTTCATAAGCGAGGGATGTGGGGCGTTTCTACCGCCTTTCCTTGTTTTTTTGCCCTCGCGTAAGCTGAATTGGGGCCACCTTGACCACTCAAAAGAAGGGTGGCGAGACGGAAGGAATAATCATTGCTATCCAAGACCTCGTCCAGTGCCTTTTTCCTCGACTTTGCTGCCCCTGGTAACCGCATGATCCTCTCAATGTCCAAGGCAATCGCCCAGTATGCATAGCGGCGTAGTCGGTTGAGGACAACAACTGCCCCTCGGATCTGGCTTGCAATACTATCCCTTTCATCTGCGTCCAGTCCGCCTTTCCTTGCCATGGAGGCCTTAAGGGACCCAATTGTTAAGGCCTTGATAGGGTCTTACTGCTGTAGCTGTGATCAACCTTCGTAGCATCCTTCAAGTTCCTAATTGGTGCACCTTCTTTTTTGCCCTGTGGGGCTTCTTGCCTTTGTGCTTCCGCTTTTGTTTTTTCTGTTGCTTCTTTTTTGCCTTTCTCCGACGTGGTGGATGCTTAAGGCCCGGCCTATCGTGCTGACGGCAGTTACTGATATCAACTGTGCGCCCATTCAATATGCTCGCCTTGTCAGAAAAGATGGGCCGGAACTGGTTCCTATGTGACCCTTCCGCTATATAGAATGATGGTCGCCTCTACATTATTCAAGAAAGGGACTAACGATTAGTATTGGGGACGTCTGGTTTCAAGGCCAAAAACTATAGCTTGAGCTTTCTTACGTTCTGCGGCGCTGCGCTCGCCTTTGCTGAGCCATTCTATGGCGAAGATCCTTTCCATTGAGTAGACGCTGCTTGAAGTTATCGAACTCATTGTTCGATGGTAACGCTTGGGCCGACGTTTGATGGCCGGAAGTAAAAATGCGGAGAGCTACACTGAAACGGCCTTCCTCAGAGGCTACGTTCCTTCCCAACACCTTACTAGCTTCCCTTAGGTAGCCGAAGCATTTTATTGTAGTTCTGTTCCACGCAACCTTTCGAATTAATCGAAGATTATTAACGGGCCTAACGTCTCGAGGTTCCTTGAGTAGTCATTGCCTGCGATGGCACAGAATAACACCAGATGCGCGTGTGTTGGCAGTCTTAGTGCTTGGATAACGTTGTCTACGTCGTAAACCCCAAACTTCCGTCTACGGTGCGGAAGGGGTCGCACTAGGAAGCAGACTCGTTCGTACGCAAAAAAATCAGAGTCTTGGGATATCACGATCCTATCATTCTCCTCATCATGGCACCCTATGCATGGGTCCGCTTCATATGCACACAGACAGACATCGAAGACAGAACTAAGGCCTGTTGCCAGCTGATCCTTGTCCTGGACGCTCAGGGTGTGGACTTCTCGAAGACCCTTCTGGATGCGCCTCATGACTTGAGGACGAGTCCATACCCCACTCCGAGAATTTCTCTCGAAGGTGCTCATATTGTTCTCCAAAGCGTCCATATTTTTTTGTCTTATGGCTTGCCGTTCTGTCCTTGCTTTTTCTTTCTCAGTACAAGGTTCCCCATCAATATGTATAGTCAGTTGTCCGTTGTGAAAAGATCCTTTATCTCGAGTGCCAGGGACCTTCCTACATCAATGATGGTTTCGTTTTTCATCTTTGCATGGACGACTCTGCGGAGGATGTCGTAATAGAACGTACCGAGGAGATCTAAATGAACAGAATGGTCAGGATTTGCCGCCAAGAAATGCCCACGTCAGTTTCCGAAGGTAAAACCCCGCGATCCGCAACCAGTTTGAAGAAGGACTTCAGCCCCATGGTCAATATCTAAGCGAAAAGAGAAAGAAAAAAGGAAAAATGGTGGTATGAAAAGAAATGAAAAAAAAAAAAAAAAAAAAAAAAAAAAAAAGAGCGACAAAGGTATAAAAGGATGAGCTTTTTTATGGTGTAAAGATTCAAAGCGAATAGATAAAGAATATTGAGGGAAAGATACAGGAACAAGTGGCAGTGGTAAAAGGGATGGGACTTTGAAGGAGGAAGACAATGATCCCTTTTTATATCCTGGATTGATGATGAGTTTTATCATTGTCTCATATAGTTTTGATATCGATCCTTTGCTTCACAGGCCACATCAATCTTTATTCAGTTCCTTTGTTTGGATTGGGGTTTTGTCCCAGTCAATAGCAGAGATTGAAAATAAATACAAGCTCTCGCATGAACGAGATTGGAAACAATAGCATTGAGATACCAAAGTAAGCATTCGAAAAATATATATAGCATATTATACTCGGTAGTTTCTAGGTGAGGCGGACCCACCTATGACTACAAAGGGCTTTGCGCAAAGATTCTGGTTCGACAGATTAGTGGATACAAAATAAACTGAAATTAATTTTAATGACCAGTCACGTCACACCACTTGCAATAACAAGCGAGTCAATTAGCTGCCAATACATTTAAGAGTATTCAAAAAATATAAGGGATCCCGACCAAATGGAACGGGCTATACTTTAATTTACTAGGTCACGTCTATGATGCACTAGAGATTTAAATTGTGAACTTGATCTCTGTTCACTTCCAATTTCTTCTAGGCCTTTGCTTTCGTTTCTTTCATTTATTATATCGATATTATTTTTTGCATTGCCATGGTCGCTACACGGTCCACACGTTCGTCGTTGTCTGCTGCGCTTTCACCTCCCACAGGGTCGACAGCCATTTCTCAGTCGAGCGGCCCATATCTGGTGTGCGACGTACCATCCGAGCATGGCGACCCCGGCAGGTCGTCTCACATACCGCCCAAGCACAACCTGTGGGGTTTGAAGAGGAATTACCAGGCCAGTGTGTGGAGGATGCGGAGGATGAAGAGAAGCTGTATGACAGAATCTACAGCTCCATAACGAATTCGCCCTACTTGATTTCCTTGAACAAGAAAGTGAAGAGAGGGAAAAGAAAAAAATTGGAGGAAAGAAGACGTCAAGAAGAGGCAACAAGAGTTGAGATTGGAGCAGACTAAACCAATTGGCCACCAATATGCTCTGTAGTGCACAGCAGTCAGTCAGTTATATTGGCCAAGATAGCCTTCAAGACCCTGAAGCAGCAGTCAAAGCCCATTATCCTGTGAAATATCTGAACAAACTTAGTCCGCCAGGCTTGCCTCTATTCAACTGGAGCTGAGAGTCGGTCAACCTGTCATTTATTTCGCAACTTGAGCCCAAAGTGCGGATTATGTAATGGCGCCCGCATGGTTGTATGTGCGTTAGACACAGGAATGATCCAGACTGAGAATACTAATGGGCAATATCAAGGAGAGCGTGCCTTCATTCTTCCGCATACCGCTTACAACGGTCGATGACCACTCTTCCCCAATCATGTTCTGCAGATTCCAGTTTCCAGTCAAGTCAGCCTTTGCCAAGACAATTAACAAGTCAAGGATAGACACTTAAACATGTCGGTGTTTATCTTCCTTAAGACGTTTCCTGTCATGCCCATCTCTACGTTGCCCTATCACGATGTACAGACCCAAACAATCTTGAGGTACTGATCGGAAACGGCAAGATAGAAGGCAAGGCTGGGATATACACGCGGAACATTATCTTCAAGGATGCTTTGTAGACGTTGCATATTTCACAGTACACGTGTTACATAAAAATTAAAATGTAATTCCCATGTAAAAATATAATATATTACTAACGGCTGTATATCATAAAACACGCCCCATGGATACCCTATCTATAGTGCCCGTAGACAAACTTGTAGTTATACTTTGACATGGATTTGAATAAATACCCCACATCTGATTCTCACTTACTTCTACTCCCTAGCTACTAGCTTGTCTAAAATTTTTCAGTAGAGACATTGTCTTTTGATCTTCGGTTGCTCTGCACTTCTTCATCTCGAAGTCTTTTTCAATTCACCACTCTGCTGCTACTCCGTTCAATGTTGTTTTTGCCAGATGCTCTCCCTCTTGGCTTTTATACACTTTGTATTTTGTACTTTATTATTAAATTTTCTGACGAGGCAAGACTGCACTGCTGTTTTCATCATTGTCGCTGCTAAAACGAATATCATTTAGTTACTGTGTCTCAATAAAGATACTTTGCTCATTTGCTTAAACTCATCATCCATTCCCGGGAGCTCGATGTACTCATTTAAACGTCTCTTAGCCTCGTTTTATACTATAATTGAAAGTAACTCTCGCCTACGTCTGTTTATTTCTCAGTATACAGTATATATTTTCCTATGCTTTTGTATTATTTAAATACACTTCATGATGGCAAAGAAACATCCAATAACTCGGTGGAGCCCGCAAATGCCTTCCATGGAAAGTATACAACCAAGGGCGATGAACAATATAGGGCGTGCGATCTAGTTGTTTTATTAAACGTATTGTCATGTTTCTGCTCCAAGTGTCAAAACTTAGTTTATTTTCCTTTCATCATCAACTACAAACGACTGCCTTACCAGGTTTGAGTGGTGGTGAGAAGATAAGGGAAAAGAATCTTAAATGGTGGCACTTGATCAATACAAAGGGTTCTATTTACTGACCTAACAATATTCAAAGTGATTGCCACTGATATAACAAAGTCCACAACATCAAAAACAACAACGAGACTTCGTAACATTCACGATCTCCTATCTTGAAATTGCTTAAGAGCCAATCCCAAGCCTAAGTTGTTATCTTCAAGCAAAATTTCCTGTGCTATTTTAGCTGCCTTAAGCTTCAAATACTCTTTACTTACTTCTCTATGTTGAGGTGGAGGCTTATGGTGCAGAGATCGTGGTAGTAATAGAAGAATTTGTTGTGGGATTTTAAAGATACTTCGCTAATACTTCTCTCTGCTACGTCTGATGCATCTGGTATTTTTCGTTTGCTTCGTTGCTTTGGGATTGTGGTCTGCGAAGAAGCCGCAGCGGTATCAGGCCTTGGAAATGCTCTTTCCCAGCCTTTTCCTATTGCACCCAGAATAAGGTGTATGTACAAAGGATCAATTAGCTATGACCAGTACAATATGATATATACAATATCAATTAGAAATCATCCAATACAACCCTCTAACTTCGTTCTGCGTCTTCATTGCCCATTCCGAAGCCATCATTTTAGTTAAAGGCTCTGGATGGGCCACCTTTAATCTTCATTAGGGTTAATCACAGACCTTGAGCTTTCTGATGAAAGTATTCTATCCTTGCACCACTCTGTATGGTCATAAAATGCCACCAATTCTTTCTTGAAATCATATACTGCTTTCAATTGGGAACTTGGTTTTGGTGTTCTCGAAAGTAGCCTGCGCCTTTGGTTGATGCTTTTAGGACCTCAGACATAGGAATGTATGTACTTAGTCATGATAATCTATGAAATGTTGTTATCTATGATTGCGTAATGGTTAGCAAACGCACTCAAGGACAACGCGAAGTTAATATGCGGAAACCGTACGCTGGGTATAAGTCATTGTATAAATGCTGGATACCTGTACCCACACGCAACATGCACCAAGATACAGTATGTTTTGACGCGAAGGCTCCTTACAGTCTTGCTCATTTCAGAGAAGAGAGAACCCTGCTAGCTAGGACAATACAAAGTCAGTGTGCATATCGAGCCAGAAGATAAAGCATGGCATCCCTCAAATTCCTTATACAGCCTTACTTACCTTTTGAGGAAAGTACCTTTCATTAATTTAACTATCACTACCTAAATATTCGTACTTGACAAAGTGATTTTGGACAAATGGTATGCAAGTAGGGGATCATTTTGAGCGTGAGTGCCATAAACAGTTCACAAAAAATGTATTGATTTAAAGGTGAAGGGAGGCAGAGACGCGTACAACCTTGGTCCTGTAAAGCACGTAACGAAGAAGGTCCGAAAGGCCATTCTAATATGTCGTGGAACCCTATCATAAAGCAAATCCAGGAATATCAGCTTGTTATTGAGCAGTTGGCCCTCAGAGATCAGGAACGCGCAAGACAAGTGATTAGCAACCTAGAAAAGTTGGAATGAAATATTGCGCAATTTTTAGCGTCCAGTAGCTTTAACATATCGCTTTCGACTTATGTATTAAAGAAATATACATGTTTTCGAATAAGGGCCTCTGAGGAGCGTATTTCTACCGAAATCGAATCATTAATAGCTTACGAGGTGCAGAAGGTGCTTCACATCGGTCAACACACACATATCATATGTAACGAAGAGGTAAAGGGCTATGAGGTGAGAAAGCGGATGGTGAGTATAATTAGGGAAAGCAGAGGGCAAAATAAGATTTTATTGCTTGTCCATAGTTTACGCGTTCTTCGTTGTGGTTGGCTGCAGTATGCACAGTTTGATTGTTAATCGATGTGGTGATTATATCCGCACTGTGCGCCACTGCCCCAAACGGTAATTGTAGCGCCATTCGGCACACGCATGTCGTGGATACTTATCTGCTCCTGGCCGTAAACCTACTACAAAAAAAAAATCTTGGCAGTGTGACGTCATTAGGCAACATTGTGCTCTAATTTGATGACCCGTGGCAGGAAAATCAGATCTGATCTTTCATCTGCTGCATCTTTTTGCCATTGTCCTGTTAGTATTTACTGCATTTCCATATTACTCCCAGTATATCGATATTCACAGACGGAGGGCCCCCAGGAGGACACAGGAGTATAATCAAGCGACATTAGCATAAAGGACGAGGAATCGCAAGACACTCTCAGCTCAATTCTTGGATAGTTTTGTTTTATCGATCTTTGACTCGCTTTAAAGCAAAGGTATAGAAGAATATCAGGCAAGAATGAATCGTCGTCAAGGAAACCAGGATCCTGAAGGCCGTGTGGGCACAGCAGCTTTACCACCATATCTATTACGTCTCTTTGCACCTCGCCCACCACTGCCCTATGCAAAGCCACTTGATCGTGAACCGGGCAAGAAAAATGAGTCACGGTTGATGGGCATAGCACAATACCTAGAGCATTGCAAAGACCATGATACAAATTATGTTCCAACACTGAGTATTGCAGAGCAGAAGAAGAAGAAGGTACTTGTGCTATATCATAACTAGAAAGACCGGCACAATCGAGATATCCTATATTCTTTGCATGTCAAGTGACATTTATCCTGTCAGGGACATCTTAAAAAATGCAGCTAATAACAAGACCTTTGGCCCTGCTTAAATAGATAGAAGAGCGCGAAAGAAAGGCACAAGAGGCACTCAAGAAAGGATTAGAATCATGTGAGGATAAACCTCGTTGTCGAGAATATGCATCTTTTTTACGCTTTTTTCATTTTTACCCTCAGAAATTTTAACATTTCAATCTATAATTTGTTATAGGGGATCCAAATAAGGACGAACTGGTTGTTGGTGATCCCTACAAGATTACATATCTCCCGGCTTGTATGACCACTGACGAGCTCTGCTTTCAATAATTGGTCGTGTTTGGTGTTTAGTACTAACTGTGAATTTCTTTTTCTTTGGAACACATTAATGAACGGGTAGAGCTATGACTGCACAGAAAGGATCTTAGAAGAGAGTTTTCGATGTATGGGAATATTGAAAATGTAAGTCGTATTACGTTTGAGTAATCAATGTTTATACAGGTGAATGTGTACATTTGAAAAGTATTTATGATACATGTTATTTAGCATGTAACAGCTTTATATTTATACGAATTGCTCTTTCACCCACAGATTAGAGTTGTGAGAGACAAGGAAGGGAAGTCGAGGGATATGCATTTATTGAAATTTGAGCGTGAAAAGGACATGAAGGCAGCAACAAGGATGCAGATGGTATCAAAATCCTCGGACGCCGTATTGTCGTTGATGTAGAGCGCGGTAGGACAGTAAAAGGATGGAGACCCAAACGCCTTGGTAAGTAATTTTAATCGTTTATCCGGACACATTCTGCCCTTATACCTTATCGCTAACAGACCACTGTCTATTGTTTTTTAACTTTATTCATATTTAGGAGGAGGCTTGGGTGGTAGCGTATTGGAGCACCTATCAGAATCAGACTTCTTCAGGAAGAGACAATCGTCATGAGAGGGAACGGGAACGTTCTCGTGGAGGTGATTATCGGGATGGGCGTGGTTATGGAGGACATGGTGATAGAGACCGGATTGATAAGCGCCGACATGATGATCGCAGTCGAGGCGGCTATAGCGATCGATCGTACGAGCGCGACTCCAAGAGACGCAAGAGTAGGAGTCGCTCTAGAAGTCCAGGCATTTCGTCAGTAGGGGGATTGGCGGAGATTATTCAAGGAGCCGCCGTGGCAGCAGGGATTGATCTCTCGGCTTGATCGCATTAAGGAAAGATAAGACAACGACACATAAGCTCGCTCTCTTAGCTTCTATGAAACAACCAGGCAAGCCTTAACGTCGACAGCCTTGCGACATCCTACAAATTTTGCTCTACTCACCAAAAATATCGTCCAAATGAAACACACTCAAGTCATTGAAAAAAAAAAAAAAAAAAAAATAGGCCTATCCCCCTTCCCTTGGGCTGCTGACCTCTGCCTCTTTCTTTCTATATTGTTCATATAATGCCATCGACTGGTTTTCGGTCTCTATGCGAACCCGAGCAAAGAATGGTAATAGAAAAAAAAAAAAATGAAGAAAAGAGGCAGGTGAACTGCCAGGGGTATATTTATTTATCAATCCTGCATTCTTTTATGCAATCAAAGTATTGTCGTTGCTGTTACTCTGTTATTGTCATTGCTGTTGCATTTCCTTATAATGTCTATACTACTGTTTCCTTGGGTAAAGTATTTCGGGTATGGTATCATTTGGATCCAACCGAGAGGTGAACTTGCCTGTCTGCTACCCAAGGTATGATCCCCGACATCGTGAAATGAATATTAAGTCGCGTAACATGGATTCATGTTTACTACTGGTGGGTTGAGTATATTTGTTTAAGGACACCACTGGCAACCTGTAGATATAGTGTCATAGTTGTTCCCATCAATATACTCCCCATGCATTGTTGTCGTTAAAACCAGCATCGGACATGACTGCTGAAATTGAGGTAAATAATCCCTCCGATAAAAAAAAAAAAAAAAAAAAAAAAAACGCCCAGGTCCTTCACACATTCTCTTTTTACAATTTCATTTAGCCATGTTTACATTGCAATGGAGGAGTCTAAAGCTTGGGAATGTTCCCTCTGTGCTCAAGACTAGATCAGCAATTGGAAAAGGGCAGCTCCGACTCTGTAAGACTCACTATATTAGTAGGCTTGATAAAAAGTAAAAAAAAAAAATAAGGCATTGAAAAGAACACTAACTCTCATTAGTCTGACTTTTGCTTTATTATTACTTCTGGCATGCAGCTTCAACAGTGTTCGAAAAGCGTGCTCAGGCATTTACTCAGGAGAAAGTTAGGCAGGAAGAGCTGAGAAGGAAGGCTATCAGGGATGGATCTCAACCTACCGCAATTGAAATTCTGCTTCCTGACAATATCAGAAAGATCGGCACAGCAGGATTACCACACCACTGGAGATCGCTCAAGGTTAGGATCTAGGAACTACTTAGTGAACAAGTGAAGGCAAGGTTATATGGGCAAGTCATTGACACAAATACTTTTTTAGGCATCTCTGGGAAATTGGCCAAGAACACTGGTTGCACAGCTAAATGGCACCACATACTGGGATATGACCGACCATTGGAAGAAACATGTCAATTAGAATTAATTCCCTTCCAAGAGAATAACGACCGCCTAACTTCGCTATTCTGGCATTCATCTGCACATGTTCTTGGCATGTCTCTTGAGGCTAAATATGGACCACGCCTTCTTTTATGTGATGGCCCTTCTATCAAGCAGGGGGGTTCTTTTATGAATTTCTGTTGACAAAGCCTGGCAGGACCTTTCAAATATTCCATATCTGAATTGTTGAAACAAATTATCCTTCCCATCAATTCTCAAAAGAAGAAATTTGCCGATATCCAGAAAACTGATGCTTCAATTTGTTGCTCAGCGATTGCCATTTGAACGCTTGTCTGTCTCACAAGAATTTGCTTACAATTTATTCCCAGAGAACAAATTCAAGCAACATTTTATTGAGAATATCCCTGCAGATAACGAAATCACGCTCTACAAATGCGGACCTTTTGTTGACCTTTGCAGAGGTCCCCATGTTCAACATACAGGACAATTACAGGCGATAGAGATCTTGAGGACTTCGAATGCTTATTTTATGCCAGAATTGGATCGGGATCCAAAATCGCCAAACACTGACTCGGATGTATGGGATTGCATTTCCTGTGCCAAAGAATTGAAACAATGGCATTATCAGAAAACTGAAGCTGAAAAGAGGGATCACCGTATTATTTGGCAAGAATCAGGGGCTATTTGCAACACATCCAACAAGTCCAGGATCTGCGTTCATGTTGCCACATGGAACTAGGATTGTAGAGAAGCTGATGCGGTTTATGAGACAGCAATATCGCAAATATGGCTTCGAAGAAGTGATGACCCCATTGATGTACAAGAAGGAGCTGTGGGAGACTTCGGGACATTGGCAGAACTACAAGGACGATATGTTTCAGGTCCAGCGTGGATGTAGTCATGGACATCACCATACTGGAAATTCAGAATTAGCAGAAGAGCATATGAAGTATTTGGACTCAAGCCAATGAATTGTCCTGGTCATTGTTTGATTTTTGATATGTCGAACCGATCATATAAGGATTTACCTATTCGCTATGCTGACTTTAGTGCTCTTCACAGGTATGCTGCTATCATTAGCTTTAAAGTCCTCCTCATATTTTTGGTCTTATGTTTTATTATGTTCTAACACTGCTCTTCCTTCGTCTGTATCCATTGCCACGATCTAGAAATGAGGCCATAGGCTCTTTGACGGATTGACCCGTGTTCGACGTTTTCATCAAGATGACGCCCATATCTTTTGTACTCGCGATCAAATCTTCCAAGAGATCCGTTCAACGCTATCCTTTGTTGATACTGTATACAGAACTTCCGTTTCCCATCCTATGAACTTGCACTGTCGAACACGCCGCTCACCAACTATATGGGCACGACTGAAGACTGGAATGCCGCAGAAGACTCACTCCGTCAGGCATTGGACCAATCGGGGCTCTCCTGGTCTGTTAATGAAGGCGATGGTGCGTTTTATGGACCCAAGATTGATATTCTGGTCAAAGATGCGCTCGGTCGACGGCATCAGACTGCTACGATTCAATTGGACTTCCAGTTGCCACAGAGATTTGGATTGGTATTTCAGGATCAAAAGGGTGAGAAGCAGACTCCTGTGATTGTACATCGTGCAGTGTTAGGAAGCGTGGAGAGAATGATGGCGATTTTGATTGAGCATACAGGTGGCAGGTGGCCATTCTGGATCTCACCAAGGCAGGCCATGGTTGTGCCAGTGTTTGGAGGCAAAGCTGCAGAACAGGGAACAGTAACAGTAGTGATGAAGGTTACAATGGTGAAAAAAGTGAAAGCACAACAAACCATGGCGAATCATTAATAGGATATGCCGCCTATGTCAAAGAGACCCTGGCGAAAGCAGGACGAACGCCAAGTAATACATCAAAGTATGCTATAGGCAAGCAGTTAGAAACTGGAAAAGATCCCGTTGTTGCGATGGATGACAAGCACTACTTTGTGGATATTGATCAATCAGGAGGAACACTCAACAAAATGGTCCGAGATGCACAAGTAGCTCAATATAACTTTATTTTAGTGATTGGTGAGAAAGAGAAGGAGCGGTGCACAGTGAATGTACGGACGAGAGAAGGAGAACGATAGGTGAGATGACAATACCAGAAACTCTCAAGTTATTCAAGGAGCGTGAAGACTTGTTTATGTAGATAAAAGAAGTAATAAAATAACGTTACAATGATTACATTAAATATATACACTTTCACTCCTTTCACCTCCACTAAAGGACCCCTCAAAACCTCGGGTGTGTCCACCGTTGTGACAATCGTTTGAAGACAATGTGGATCCAATGAAGGTTGCTCTTGCATATTTCAGCAGATATTTTAAATTTCTTTTGGCTAAAAGTATGTGTTTGTCAGCAATTTTACTCCCCAAATTGGCCAAAGATTAAAATTTCCGGTGTATTTATCTAAATGATCTGGACCACCAAACATCCCACCCAGCAAAAATGCCAATCGGGTGGTATCACCCAAGCTACTTTTGTGTAAAGCCATGTCTCTCTAATTTTGATGAAATATCAAAATTATAAAAGCAAAGTATTCTATCCAATCAAAAAGAACTTTAATTTGAATGTAAAAACATGTATTCCTTCATACTATAATAATCTTTGCCTTCATCGTATCATTGAGGTTTCCTAGAAAGTAGACTCTTTAAGAGATTCCAGTTGAGCTTCGTGATGACATAATCGCGAGAACGATCCCCTAAAAAGCCGTTTCATTGCCGATAATAGCTCCAGATCATGAAAGCGAAGAGAACTGTGAAGGTGATATAAGTCAGCTAAAAGGGGACGATACACAACAGTATCAAAGGAGCCGCAATCCATCTAATTATTTACAAGAGCCTTCCTGCGTACTACTGTCGTGTAGGTCGTCCCTGCGAACTCAAAACTGGCGCGTCCTGGATACTTGTTCTTTGCGAAATTTTTGGTATCAACTAAAAGTTACCTGGCTCAAACCTCTGTGTGCATAGCTCTTTTTGAATTAAAAGTAAAAAACAAGTATTTATTTACAAAAACAAAGAACACTGTATACTACACTACACAAAAAAAACGTAATAAAAAGAAAAAGAAAAAAAAAAGAAATTGAAAAGGCAGCTTGTTCTCAAATTTCCTCATAAACATTCAAGTCATTGTCTATAAATAAGGGCTCATCTCCGCAGCTTTCATCTTCGCCAAGGACAACACCGTTTATAGTAGTGCCAGCTCGTGCTTTTTGTGATTGGTAATACCGGGCAGTCTTGGATGTCGGAATCAAACCTCCTGCACTGATTCCGGCCATGGCAGCGATGCTACCTATGCTTCCGATATTGGAGAGACTTCCGGCCACCCGTCGTTGCTGCTGTGCTATATATTGTGGCGAGCATCAGCGTAAGGGTACGCGTTCCATGTATTCTGATAGTTAAGCCACCGTCGCTTCTCGGCCCATTAGTGGTCTCACCCACTGGATTTTGGTCAATGACAAAGTCATCGTCGTCACCCATACCTGGGGTTGAGGCAGTTGTTGCTCCAGATATAGTAGGCCGCAATGACCGCAACCCTACCTCATTGTCTTTAACATTCTTCCACGCCTCTTGCAGGACTTTAACACCATGTTCATGCTGCACACCAAAACCCTTTCGCAGCCACTCATCCTTGACTCGTACAACAACATGAACTGATGGCGAGGAACTATCCTTACTGCCAGATTTAGAAAGTGGTACAGCAATACAGCAGACAAAAGCGCCCAGTGGCGCTTCGATGAGGGTCACTAGCCCACCAAATATCGGTCAACGCTGTCTTGCTCCAGTTCTTGTACTTGAACCATCCTCCCATACCCCCACTCGAGCTTCCTCCGCCTACTTCGGATGGAAGAGTCTCAACGTCTGTGATTGATAACAATGGGATTGTTACAGGTGTATTGAGGGGGAAATAAAATGCATGAATAGTGAGATGCAGAGAACTAACTGTGATTTGATCGTCGCTGTAGAGAATTGATGGCGGTGGAGGTGGATAGCTGGATATTGATATGGATGGAGACGCGATGCTTGCTGACGCAGATGGTGAGGCGAGCAATACATCTTGACCAAGTTTTTCTTGTCGATCTTCCTTGGGTGATAATGACAAAGACGGTTGTTTTCCCGCCTTCATTTCACTCGGTCGCTGTGTCGGCTCTGTCAGGTCAGGTTGAGCCTTTGATTGTGATGGAAGTTGCGCTCTAGGCTGTAATTGTGGCTTCGCCTGTGATTGTGGAGGTTGCGGATTTTGTGGTGATTTAGGTGGGATAGCATCTTTAGTTGTACCTGGTACTGGCTTCTGAGATGCAAAAGAAGTGGCAGCAACAGCCAGTTTTGACGGTTGTCGATAAAAACACTCATCACTATCTTGCCACATCGACAGTATGGGCTGGTTCGGTTGCATTAAAGATGACAGAGTGTCACTGTGTGTCCGAGGCTCCAAAGCTTCAGTGTCTAGTACAGATGTCAGCGGCTCCGGCATATAATGAAGTTCTTGTTGCCGAGAAATACAGGTGGAAGGGGAAGAAGAACTTGAATGAGCTTTAGGCTGATTATTTTGTTGTTGCTGTCGTTGCTGTTGTAATTGCTCTTGTTTTTGTTGCTGTTGCTGTTGCTGTTGCTGTTGCTGTTGCTGTTGCTGTTGCTGTTGCTGTTGCTGTTCTTGATGACGTTGCTGCTGTTGCTGTTGCTGTTGCTGTTGCTGTTGTTGCTGTTGTTGCTGTTGTGATGTTGTTGATGTTGTTGATGTTGTTGCTGTTGTTGATGTTGTTGCTGTTGTCGTAAAGACTGTCTTTGGGGTGGTGTCGGCGCTGGGGCTGGCATTGAGGCTGGTGTTGTAGACTCAATCTTTTCGGACTGCCCCCGTTTTACTAGCGGTGCAGGACATTGAGCATTCAGAGCCCTGACAGGAGTCTTCACCTTCAATTCCTCTGGTCCTAGAGTCGGAGCAAATTCGATTTTAGGAAACATGTTCATTGAGGATGAAGGAGACATAGAAACTCGATTAGCAGGCGATCCTGACGATGAATGTGGCAACGATGACTGCAAATCCTCAGGCAAAGTTCTTTGCAAAGAAGGAGACGTTGGCGACGCCACTGAAGCAGGCGACGATGATGGGGATGATGACGATGTGGGGATATTCCACCCCCTACTGTCCCATGCAACCCTAAAGGAGTGATCATGGATGTTGCAGGGGATGCTACCGATTCAGGTGATGGGTCTGAACTTGGCACGGCACTCTTTGCACCGCCCTGAGACGTGCTGCGGGGCGGTGTGATTCTAGCGAATGAACCTGTGCGCGCAAATACAGAGTAATCGGTTGAGACGGTTGGAAATGCTGGTAGCTGCGCTAACGTTGAGGATGCTGATGATGAAGAGGACAAAGAGGCAGGAGAGCGCGATGATGAACGATGAGATGGCGAACTTGGTAGTGTACTCTCTAAAGACTTGAAAAAGTCTGTAGAACTATCGTGATATTGCTGTGCCTGTCTCGTCGCTTGCTTCATCGTCTGTTGTACTTGCATTTGCTGTTTTTGTTGTAATTGCTGCTGCTGCTGCTGTTGCTGCGGCAGTGACGATAGCTGTGATGGTAGCGGTGGCTGCTGTGAAGCTGATATCGACTGTTGTTGTTGTGATGATTGCTTGTCACGAGACGATGAGATTGATCTTTCTATCGGTCGCGTCGGTGGCATAGAAAGGGAATCAAGCGAGGGCTTGAAAAGGTCATCGAGCATGCTCAGCGAAGGGTCCTGAGGCATATTCTGCGAAGAAAGTGTCCTTGGGGTACTGGTGTCTTGAAATCACCTAGAAGTTGTGGTGTCGTAAATGGCGTGGCCTTCTTGGAGAAGCCTCGTTTACTGGGGCTACTGTCGCTACTGAGGCTATTACTGCCACTGTTATTATCCCGGTGGTGCTGCTGGCACTACTTGCACTACCAGTACTGCAAGTCATAGCGGTTATAGATCCGTCTCCAAAGTCTACTAAATATGGCTGAACGGGCTCCGAGTTCGTGTCGACCATGTGGTCATCCTTGAGAGCCTTAGTGAGCGTTGACTTGATGGTGCCGATGCTATTGCTGCTGTCGCTGCTGCTATTCCCAGTGCTATTGCTAAAGATATCTGAGCTATAGCCTGTACTATTACCAGCAATGCGTTGTTGCTGTTATTGTTGCGGCTACTGACATGAGTACTACTGATAGCAAGTGTATTCTCGTGTCTTGGGTCAACGACCTTGTGATCATTCCTGTCAGGCTTGGCAATGACTGCGGATGAAGAACGGGCCACAGCTGTTTTTACGCCTGTGTTACCAGGGTGACTACGTATCCCCGAATTGAGAGTGCTTGCGCCCAAGGAGCCCATAATGCAAAATCCGAGTTGAGGGTGAAGGCTGGTGTTGATACTGAAACTGCTGAGGAAGCTGTGGTAGTTGAGAATGCAATGATTTAAAGGGCTGTTGTTGATGCTGGTGCTGGTGCTGTTGGTGCTGATGAGAGATATGGGAAAATGAAGGACTGGATGTAATGGGTTGGGCGCAGTACGTGGTGGACGTCTAGTGGCGGTGGAAGACTGTAAACCTGCCTCATGTCGATACTCGTGCGACTGTTTGAGCAGCCTGGCTGGATTGTTTGCACTGAAGAAAAAGGAAAAATAGATGACTAATGGGCCCAATGAGCTGTTAAAGGCCTTCTGGAAGCAAAGTATGGGATAAAACAGAGAGAATATGTCAGTGAATAGGGTACGTATGAGTGGGCTATGGCGAACAGTAAGAGAAAAAGAGTGCGAAAGAGAAATGGAATGAGCTTTTATATTGTGTGAAGACTACCCTTTTTGGCACACATACGAAGAACTAAAGAACAGCTCCCTCTCACTCTCTGACCCCACCTTGAGGCTGAGTAGATAGCAGAACAACTGATATCGAAACAGCCGATGATGATGGGACAAAAAGGGGAGGAAGAAAAAAGAAAAAAATGCACACTTTGAACAGGATGTGAGATGTGTAATGTGTAATGTCAATTGAATTGCTTGTGTCTATGATGCTCAATGTAAATGAAACAAAAAAAAAAAAAAAAAAAAAAAAAAAAGACTTAGTTGATATCGAACAAATTCAATGTGACCCAGGCAGGGTCAAGAGACAAGAGAGAGGAGAGGAAGAGAAGGGGCGGGAAAGGAAAGGAGAGAGAGAGGAGAGGAAAGCATGACTCTTGGATTATTACAACGGTATAATAAAAGGAACGCTATGCGAAGCATGCATAAACATGTTATTAGAAAATGCAATACAAATAATCAAAGAATATGTGCAGACACGTAGTCATGCGCTATCCTTGACGGTAATGATGCTCTTCCATGTCTAAAAAAACTTCCTTATTTACATACTTTAAACGCACAGATCACGTCCTGGGAAAAAGCATTACGCCCAATCATAAAATCATTACTCCCAGACTACTGGATGTCACGCTCCTGCTTCTCTGGGCCCCCATATCTCCATCCTCTATCTCCTTCTTATCCTATTTTTTCCTATTTTCGTAAAATGTATCAGCTCGTCTCTGGGATTACAATGATCTTCGTCTACATTACTGTTGTCGCTGTTATATCTCAACTTCAGACCCTCATTCACTCCTCCTTACTCTAACCATCATTATCGGTGTCGCGAAAATCTTTTGCTGTCTGAATGTTTATTCGATTGCTTTTTGAAATAAAAACGCGTTTATTCAGTCTATTCATTAGTAACAGTCATCGATAGCTACGGAAAAGGTCAAGTCTGATCACTATCATAATATCATGTGTTGTAGAATTTGCACAAGGCCCAGATCAATATCAACAACAAACAATTAGCGACAATCAGAAGTAGGAAGAAGAACGACCATGGGGATGTGTTTAGTTCGGCGAAACAGCCTATCAAAGTCAGCTGTTGGAATGGATTAGCATAACACTACATCGATATTGTTCCGATCTCGAGTCAATCAAAAGTGTGAGCACCATGTGCTTCCAGGCTTTGATGCAATTCCATTACTGATTGAATACAACTCGTGCAAGTAGTAAGTAATTGTCAAGAAACATCATAGAACTAGAATTTATGGCTGGGATGACAAGGCATTGGTTAAATGACATCTCGGCAGGGATCAGACTATAGAGTTAACACAAAGCGAAACAAGAAGACTACAATAGTTACTACAACACGGCAACTGCAATTATAAACCATCGTGATAGTATGCTTTTCGAACGGTGGCAACGGCCCTACCTTGAATTTTTAAAGCTAGGATATCAAGAGCAGTGTTATGGAATCATCTTCAAATCGACATCAACCTCTGATTGTCAATAAAATTTCCTTGCCTTGTTTTCCTCCTTCACATTTCAAGACAAAAACGCCATCGTCTTTGCCTTAAAACTGATAAAAGCCCCGTGATTGTCGTCAGCGGTACGATCTATTGTCAGTGGATCCAGTTAGATTCAAATAACTGTCCTTCCATTTTCTTCTCAAGATGTGCAGGCATGTCCGCCACCAGCCATCACTATCATAAGAGCCATGGGATTGATGCTATCCCACATCTTATACCTCTGATAAAATTCCTGGCCAAGATAATGACATGACAGCAATGAAAAGGCCTGAAGAGAGGTGGCACTGTAATATTCACCGACTTTCCAACTCATTCACGATATACCAAAGTTATTGGAGATGAAGTGTATAATTAAGAGGTGATGCTGATGGTGAGAGAAATGGGGTATGAATTATACCAGAGACAGGATATTGTCAAGGTATTCTATATGATTCTGATCATCTCGACTCGATTAGACTACAAGAAAAAGGAATGTATACCTCATGACATTCGTCGTTGGATTGATTGATATGAAACAATGACAACAACACCAACAACAGACATGAAATTATGTAAAAAAAAAAAAAAAAAAAAATTTACTCAAAGTCTAGTCGCTGTCTATTTAATTTATTTACCCTTGTAGATGGGCTTCCTCTTCTCACGGAAAGCAGCAAGACCTATTTGAAACTTCATCCAAAGATTTGTAAATTCCACTTCACAGTACAACACACACTACTGAATCTATTTTGTTTCCTCACCTCCAAACGATCCTCTGAAGGCATGATTGTGCATAACAAGCCTGCTCATACTCCAATCCAGAATCGCTAAAGAACACAGGACAATGTTAGATAGTTGATCAATTTGCATCTAATAACTTTAAAAATGATAAATATATATATCACAGCTTAATTTACATTTCGAACTGGGTGCCTTTATCAATAGCAGACTTGCCATACGGATAGCAAGAGGTCCATGGGTAGGATCTCACGGCTATTTCCAAGGCTTTGTCATATCCTGAATCTTCCATAACAGCATGGTTCAAGATGCCTGTGTATAAAATAGAAATAAGGGTGAGAATATATTAGATTTCTAGAAGAAATAAATTAAAAAAAAAAAAAAAAAAAAAAAAGTAAACATACCATATCCTTGGCTGTGGCCGAGTCCAAGATCTTAGACGCGAAATGAGTTCCTTAGCCTTGGGGATCCCAATTAAACGGGGAGCGTGCTGCCGCCGGCTAAAAAAAGGAAATAGTCTGTAAGAATCTTTTCTCTTTTTTTTTTTTTTTTTTTTTTTTTTGTTTTCCTTACCCAGGAATGATCGCAAGTCTTGTTTCGACTAATCCAATCTTAACTTTCTTGTTGCCACCTCCGACTCTCATGTCACAAGCAGAGTGCCATCTCGAGACCGCCTCCAAAGCAGCACCATCAATGACAGCAATCGTGGGATGGGCAACGTCTCAAGATCACGGAAGCTATCCCTTAAATTGGCTAGGAACTGCTTCACCTCTGTCAAGTTCATTGTGGAACGTTCCTACAGAGTATAAAAAAAGGTAGAGTTAAAGAGGTGGTATGAATGATGAAAGGAATATTACTATCACTTATAAATATTCAGGCCAAACATTGAAAACATACTCTGAGATCTGCGCCGGCACAGAACGCGCCATCTACCAGACTTCTGATGATGACGGCCCTGGCATCTCTATGATATGCATTTATATAAAGCCACCATCATGTCAGATAAATTAGTAAACAAAGTAAAATAGACAGATGTTGGCCAAATACTAATTGTTTTTGTTGATCTATTGATTACTACACGCTAAAGTAAAACAGATCTTTCATATGCTTTTGTGTATTTTTTTTTTCCTTTTTTTGCTTTCTTGTTTCCTTCGTTTTCCTACTTACTGGTCGTAACGAAGCTCCTGAAGTGCTTCACGGAATTCACGAACAAATTTACGCGAAAGAGCATTATAGGCCTTAGGACGGTTAAAGTTGATAACGGCGATACCTATAAGAAAGCGGCGTATAGATATGGTCAATGTGGAGCGCTAATTAGCTATTGGGGCTATTGACAAGAACATATTATATTTTCACGATGTGGTTGATGGTCGTGTGGTCGTGTTGGCAATTTTTTTTTTTTTTAGCAAGAGATGTTCCACCCGTGGGAAAATTTTGGTCATTGAAATTAAACGGATTGTTGATTACCAGTGTCATCTCCTCCCAGTCGCTCGAGAAACAATCTTTGTCCTCAGAATAAGTAGCTGATGATGAAGTAGTGTTAAGAAAGCGAATGCTTTGGAATGTAGCAACCTTGGCGACAGGAGCGCGAGCGATGCATTGGGTTGGACACTGCGTGCGATGAATGTGCGAAGCATGATTGCGATGTATGAAAGTGAAAAGTAAGAAAGAAAGAGGGTTTGGTGTGCAAAAAAGTAAGTAAAACTTTTTTTAGCTTTACTTTACAACCAACCGCAATTGCGTTACTTTGTAGATCCATGGTACGTATAAATCATATCTATCAATTCACCCATCCAGAGTACCTATAAAAATGATGTTTACTAAACCGTTTGCTATAAACAATATATTTCTCTTACAAGGACAAGCAACCATTCTCACCTGCCCTTTCATTTCGAAAAGTTGACTTCTAAATATTTAAGGCCTGCGCACCACCCCTTTTCGCAAGGCTTTCAAAGATGCTCTTCGCATTACGGACACTGTGGACGCTCTCTTGGCTCACCACCCTTGTGGTCGTCATCATGTGTATTACAAGATCTCACAATCTCTTTGTTCCCATTCTCTGCCAGCTCATGACTCATCTTCCGACGAGGGGTCGGTCGGAGCGATCTAGAGGCCGTCAACAACGAATATGCGCTACAGGCACCCTGGGCCTCGGCATCATTGTGTCCTCGGACCACATGTGCGATCGTATCCTGATTCTGCTCTTCTACGTTTTTGAACTTGCGGACCATTTCCTTGACACTGCATTTACGAAATCCTCCTAGACGGTTAGGATTGGCAGCACCCCCAAAGAGCTTGATCCGCTCGGCAATAGAATCTGTTTTTGGGATCTCGACAGCAAAGCTTTGGTCGCTGCAGCTGCCTCTTCTGCAGCCTGCTTCTTCTTGAGTGCTAAACTGGCTGCTGAAAGGCTACGAGTCTGAACGTATGTGGGCGCATCAGGCTTGAATACATGGTTAGGGACGTCAGAAGCTATCAGCCCCGGCTCATTGCTCATCGCCTTGGCAGGAACAACCATCGCCATAGCCTCTTCTTCCTGTGGATCTTCGGTCAACTTGGCTGTTTTTTCAGTCAATTGACCGACGTTCTCTATGGCCTCTTCCTCCTCAATGCGCTCTTCAAGCTTAATTTCTTTTTCCTCCTCTTCTTCCACATCCTCAAGTTTTTCCTCTGCTTTTTCTTCGATCTCCTCACTCTCCTGATCCTCTTTCTTTTCCTCCTCTTCCTCCTCTTTCGTCTCTTCCTTCTCTTCCTTTTCTTCCTTCCCTCCCTTTCTCTTTTTCTTCTTGCTCCTCTGTATGCTTGAAACCGCCCTTGGCTCCCACTTTTCCTTCTTGGTCCTTTTCCTTTGACCCCTCTGGGGCAACGACCGGTTTTTCATCCAAAGAGACAGAATTATCGATATCAGAGATCAGGAATTGGTTGTCAAAGCCGAGGCTGCCATCCGTGCTAGGACTCAAAGGAAGGGCCTCTAAAGAGCCGTTGATGTCGTTGAAGTTGTTGTTGGCTGACATATTGAAGTATTGAATCTTGTTGTTGGAGTAGCTAGAGTAGCTAGAGTAGCTGGAGTAGCTGGAGTAGATGAAAAGAAGAATATTTAAGGGAACAAAGGGGAAGTATATGCTAGAAGAGTGCAAAGCAGGTTCGTTCTTGTTTCTTCAAATGACAGTTGCTATCTCAATTTATATTGTTTATTGGTTGTAGCTATACCTTTAATGCTGTTTAACTGTCTATTACCAATTCTTATTATGACTGTAGTATTGGGCAGGGAATATCGAACGTTTGAAGAGCTAGTCTGATTTTCAACCTGATGATTTTCTGAATGCATTGGGTCATGGTACATTCAACTTTTTTTTTAGTGTAAGATCGAACATTCGGCGTGGCTACAAGTGACAACTATATCGGCTACTGTCAACCAAGGTAACCCTTATAAAACATCTTTCCAATTGGCCAGAGAAATATGATCATCATCGCTGGAATATAAGATAAATAGAGTAAAAGAAAATCATCCTTCTAATCGTTTTTCTTTATCTATACACAGTACAAATGCCTCATCATCCGTCTATCCACCCTCAAAAAACAACTTTTTTGCGCTGTAAATAAGGATCTGCCAGAAGGGGTATTCGTCACTGGGCTAAAAAGGAGGAGGGAAGAGGACTTTATGGATATGCGTATAGAGTTATTACTAGGATATGTACTGCTGTGAAGTAACAATTTGTCCTGAGTCCTCAAATAATCCTGAAGGAGAATACCCTTTATTGGTCTTCATGAAAGACTTCAAACATTCTGTTGTGTTTCCTTTCTTGGATGCGCCACCAAAAAAAAATACTATTTTGTAATAAGTCACAATAAAGGTATCACTCAACCTCTCTTAATGAAGCAAATAAAACTGAACTGACACAATAAGCTTGTCGAAGTTCCTTTTCTTTCGCCTTCTTCACGATCCTATACTCCTTAAGCCTCATCATAATCATCAACCTCATCACTCTCCTTGTTTAAAACTCTTCTATATCTTACTGTTTTCCTTTCTTCACAATAAAAAATAAGTCTCTCAGACCCTCTTGATCATAACTGGGACTCTTCACCCAACCACACCGAATACCTTGAAGCTTCAAAACTTCTTTTACAGCTTAGCAACAATAACATCACTAAGATGAATGCCTCTAGTAGCAGCAGTAGTGGTAGTAGTAGTAGTAACAACAGCATGAATACGTCTTTCATGTCATCTGTTGGCGAAGTAAGAACTTGCAAGTTTGCATGCAAATTACATGTCGGAAAAAAGAAAAAGCCTTACTAATGAATTAGTTTCGCCTTTTTTTTTTTTTTTTTTTTTTCTTCTTCTTCTTCCCTTTAGTCCTCTACTAGCAATACAGTTCATCATCAAATATGGACAATATAATCGATTTAACAATACCTACGCCTGCTCGGATCATTCATCCCAGGACCTTACCAAGTGAAAGCGTCGAAATCATTGACATTCCAAGCGATGACGAAGCACCACCCTTTCACTTAACTTTAACCAACGTTCAGGAACTACGGCGTCCAGATGGAATAATATTATAACCTTTATTGATGAACACGACACCACAAATAGCGCAAGCAGCAGTTCTAGTAGCAGTGTCCCAACAACAACAACAACAACAACAACAATAATGGTGCCACCAATGTTAGATACGATGACAATGATGATGTTCAAATTGTAGCAGAAATTCCTGGACGTTCTTTAGATCCCTCCAATCCTTCTTATGCAAATGGATCTTCTACAAGTAGGAATGCCACTAGGGCAACCACGGCAGAAGACCTTCCCTATTCCACCTCTGTCCCTCAATCCCATCCTTTGTCTTTCCCCAGCCTCTTCGATTTCTTTGAAAACAATAGCAATCCCTTTTCTCGATCAGAAAGACCGCAACAACAAAGCGATCGACGTCGTCCATCGGAATCAAGGGTAGCTGAAGGTGTTATGGAACATCGTGATAGGATTTCAACACCTGAAATGGCAACATCAACTACTGCAGGAAGAAGTGGAGTAAATACTGGAGGACGTGCCTCAAGAAGATCCCCATTGCGGCCACGGACGCAAACACCAATCGGCCGGCAAAACTATCCAGAGCATACAACACATCCTCTGTGGCCTGACCATTGGGGCGATACAGATTATTCAGACCCTTTATTCAGATGGTTTCACATGGACAGCCTTGTCCATGGCATCAATTATAATCCATTAACATTTTCTAGACGTCCTTCTCCTCCTCGCTATCATCATCGTCATCATCATCGTCATCATCCATTTCAAGGTGGAAACCTTCGCTACCGTCACGCTGCTTCAGATGTAAACATAGACGAATACCTTGCTAGGTTAAGCAATATATTCGACAGCTATATCACCCCCGGTATTGGTGGTCGTGGCGGCAGGGCAACGTCGTCAACCTCATCGGATAACGAATCGTACCTGAACAAACCCGCAGTTGAACCTCGACCAGGCTATACGAAATCGCTCAACAAGAATGTGACTATAGCTTGTCCAATATGTCAAAATGAGCTCGGACATGCTGGCAAAGAGAATACAAAACTCTGGGTGCTAGTTGGCTGTGGACATGTCATTTGCGATGAATGTATCGAAGGAATCTTTATGACCAAGGTGGCGATCAAATCTAAAGTCGCATCCAATGCTGCTACGACATCAATAGGGATGGCAGCAACATCGTCACGAAGACAATCGATCTCGAAGCGATCAGTCATTAAAGGGAAGGCTAAATGGACGGCACCTATGCCTTCGCTAGCACCAACTAATGGAGACGAACAGTACATGGAGTCAGGAGGCAAAATGACAGAGTCAAGCGTGAATGTGAATCGTGGCACTGACACTGGCCCTAGTACAGATGGCAGCGGAACGTTCAAATTGGTCAAGCGTGCTACAGGTCAATGTCCCAGTTGTAATCGTAAGATCAAGAAGACAAGCGTGCAGCAACTGTATTTGTAAAGCACTGGAAATGAAGCTAATAGTCATAGGTTTGTCGGGTCCTCCATGAAACAATAACCCGCCATATATCTATTATTCATATACAGTCTGATCCTCACTAAAACACAGCTTATCACCAAACCAATTTTGTTCATTCATATTGTTTATTGTATTATGTGCTTTGTATTTTTCAGTACAGCGCTTACACAGAAGCCTCAGCAGTGGAAGCTGCATGCTGTGCAGAATATTGTGAATGCGACAATGGCTGCTGCTGTTGTTGATCCTGTCGTTCAGAATGGACAGCGGAAGAAGAAGATGAGCTACTACTAGCCTCAGCGCTCTGGCAAGGCGGATCTATGTCCATCATCTCAGCCCCAGTTTCAAGTCTATTTCCGCCCAATCCCTCTCCGGTGATTCCATCCATACCAGCACTACTGTTGTTCGGTCGGAGAGATTGTGTCGAGGATGGAGCCGTTACTAGAGTTTTTCCAAAAACATCTCCAATAGGCTCGCCGCTCCTACCAGGAACATGACTTTGCACCGATGGTGCTTGCAATACGCCACCATTATTACCATTCTCGTAATTCGTGTTTAATGTTCTCGATATCCCGGCAGAGCTTGATACTCCAGGCTATACCACAGAATTGGGATTTAAAGAATTCGAATTAGCACAGCACAAGCGCTATTTCTTGGATTCAAAATGCAGACAAAATTCCGAATCACATGGCTCACAGCATCAATGGACTTACATTCACAACAATAACTGTTCCTTGATGTTGAGATGACGGCGACTGCAGGACGCCAAATGAAATCGATTCTGAGCCTAAGAAAAACGCTGAAGGAGATTGCTGCGCAGATGAGGTTAATGATTGGACATCACTAAAAGTCCAGTTCCGTAGGAAGAGCATGAATGTGCACGGGCTATGTTGTTGTTACCTCTCTTGCCAATCGTGATTGTGGTGTAAAATCAGCATGGGTGATGGCCGTCGACACAGATGGCTCTGCACCATGTTGTTGTGGTTCTGCGTCTCTTCTAGTATCTGGGGCATTACAATGTCCTTGTGCTTGTCTTTGTCCTTGTCTTTGTCCTTGTCTTTGTCCTTGTCTTTGTTCTTGTTCTTGTCCTGCTATAGGCTCCGCTGGCAATAACCAGCTCTCGGGAGGTGCCCAAGGTTGAAACGTGTGTGCCAGTTCTGACGGAGGTGTAGATGCATAGGCTTCAAGCCCTTCGCAATTTCGATCATTAGAAATTTCCTCTTGTCTGCGAGTTGGATTTTCAATCGCAGCGGCCACTTCTGATTATACGGAATATCCAGAAGTAAAATAAAAAAAATCCTTGCTGTCAATCACTGAAGATTGGTAGAATGACATGTTTCACAAAAAAAGCATAAAAGAATGCGGCTGCTGTATACTGATTTTCTTTGTTTCTTTTTTTCTTTTCTTTTTTTTCTTTTTTTTTCTGTAGAGACTTGTGTGTTAATGCTAAATGCCATGTCACTTCATGATTTTTGGACAATCACCTTCGGCAAGTATTTCCTCCTCAACTGGTTCATCGATTTCGACACTGTCATCAAGATCAGCAAATGTCCTGCAGAGTGGACATAAAACCCTGGATGTTGGCCATTAAAAGAGGTCGGATGCATTTGTAATGATACACAGAGAAAAGGAGCAACAAAAAGTGACTGGAAGGATGCAATGCGGAAAAGACAGATACAACAGTCAGTGGAACTTGCTGCATTAGCTGTTGTGAGAGACCGGATGGCCTTGAGGGTATTCATCCTAGCAACAAGGAAAAACACGTATTACATTCAACTAATGTTAAATTTCTTTCTAGGGAAGTGTATACAATCAAAATCTAATCAGTGGGATGACTATAAATTCCTGCGTACCTGAATGCATTCGGTTGCTGTTGCCATGAGCGATTTAATTCCAAACGCATCTTTACGCATCGATAGATTTCTATAACGATGAAGTAAAGAAACAATTAATCAGTGTCGGCGAGCTAATGACTCATACAATGCCTCTAAAGCTGACTCTCTGTATATGTGGGTTTTGTGTCAAAAGCTTATGTCTTCTTGGTATATCGTTATGTGACAAGTAAATGAAAACCATCGCTTCCGTATATTGATGAGCCTCCTTCGGCTTTCTCATTCCTCTCTTATTCAATGAGCATGCTTGGCAAAACAAGAGAATAATACCGTCTGCTTTTTTTTTTTTTTTTGTGGAGGAGGTAGTCATTGTTGTTGTTGGTTCTGTTTTGGAGTCTGCTCCTCTAGAATTAACCGCTTCAGAGCTGTAATGATAACTGTATCTAACCTTGCGTGCCTCCTTGATAATCCACACCCAATTGGACAACATCCCCATCCTTGAGCTGTGTAGGCTTTGACTCTACACCCGCAGCTGACAATCGAGTATATTTAGGAATGTTCCTGAAGATGATTTCGTATCCCGGATGTAAAACTAGACAAAGTATATAAAAGAAAGCATCATAAAATATTAGAATGTGAACTTATGAATACAACTTGTTGTAAAAAGTGAATTTAAAGAATCCTTTAGCCATTTCATTGGATATTTAAAAAGGAGATGGAAGGAAAGACCGGAAATGATAGGTGAGGGGCGAAACAAAATTAGAAACCATTCCCAAAGATAACGCCATTCTATTGGGATATGGAGATCAAATTAATAAACAATCAATATCCTTTGCAGTAAGCAAGTTAAGTGTGTGCCCAAGACTGGCTGCTCCATCGTTGATTTGATTTCTATTGTCTATAGGATTTCCTAAAAGCTATGCTTTTACCATGTCTTGTTTCACTTTGCTTATGTGATTTTTGTATTTGCCTCATGCCGAATCAATGTCCCATTATGATAGTAAAGAAAGTTTAGAAAAGTATCCGAAATAAAAAAATAAAATTCAGGGCTGCCACAATCTAGCCATCTCAAAAAGAACGGTAATTCACTCTGCTCCTTTGATGACGCTATGAATAAATGCTTTTCTTTTCTTTTTGGTTGAAGATGCAAAAAGTATCATTGTTCCTGTATCCTGTCAGTCCATGGATTTTTTTTTTTTTTTTTTTTTTTTTTTTTGCCTGCATACTGTATGATGGGCAATGGCGAAAGGAGAAATATTTTGGCTTTTCAGAGATTGCTTTAAAAAGTGAAGTTCCAAAATCTGAAGACTGCGCTACAGTGAAAGGAATCATTAACAAACTTCACACATTGTTACACTCTGGCATGTCTATCTATCCACTCTACTGCTCGATGAATATAGCAACAATCTTCTGTACATTGTTCTTGCTGGCTCTTGCTTCTTGCTCCTGTTTCATTATCCTGCTCTTTGGTCGTTATGAGCAAATAAATAAGGGAAAAAAAAAAAAAAAAAATCTGCTGCCAAGTTTCTTCCCATTGCTCACAGAGAGATTGTTTACCTTTCCATGCTTTGTAAAAGATCTCTGCGTGCCCACGAGAGACGACCTTGGACTTGAATGTAACTCTATTGGGTAAAGATTGCTTGTCCGTGAAGCGACCGATCTTGAGTACGAATCCCTCAGGGACGTCTTTGTCTACAACTTGAAATGAAGTGATCGTGGAGCATCTAAATGAGGAACAATGCGAATGTGCGGTACAGGTGGTGTGGGGGTAGATGAACTAGCAGAGCCAGTAGTTGGTACTGTGTTTCCTACAACGGCGGCTCCATTAGTGCTGCTGTGGCTGTGTAGAGTGCCCTGAGTATGGCGAGTATGACTCGGAGCGCTCATGCTCTTCTTGGATACTAGATAAGGTGTTGAAAAGGAAAATTTGGCAGGAAGTGACCAATAGTCAAGAGGAAAAGGAAGAGGAAGAGAGGAGAGAAGCAAAGAGCAAGAGTGAGGTGGAAAAGTAGGATAGAGCAGAGTAAAGTATAGAGAAGGAGGGCGGAAGTGGAGTGGAGGCAAAGGAAAAATATGCTTCTGTTTCTATTAAGAATGAATAAATGTAAAATGAGACGGAGAGTGTGACAGAGGTGAAAAGGAGAACAAAAAAGATGTCGTGAGCTTGTTGTACATCTAGTACTGGGCTTGTGCGCTCTGCAATACACACTCAGACCCATTGCCTGAGAAAAAGAAGAGCCTCGAATGTGTGCAGACATGTAGTGAGGAGCTTTTGTAGTGACATCAATCAACGATCAAAGGATTTCTAACTGTACTAAAGGCATGTGGCATTAATCAAACATGTGGGGTTCTGCGTGGCCCAGCTGTGATCATAATGACATCCTCCGCTCCATATCTCCTTATTCATTCACTCGGAGAACTATGTTAAAATTTAATTATTTAATAAAGTTTTATCAGACCAGAGGGCTCAACCTTGCGCGAGTCGGCTACAAACAAGCAAGGTTAAAACATTAACAAATCTATCTGTGTCATAGAACTTACCAAGTAACAGACTCACATTGTCATATTGGGTGATGAATGATATAGAAACTTGACCAGACCATGAGTCTAAACGTGTGAATGTGTGAGTTACAAGAAATAGACACCAAAGACCGGCTCCCCTACAACATATGCCAGCCACCGTAAAGTTAAGCTCGCAAGCAATATCTCAGTGTCATTGAGGTACGGCGCGAACACTAACATTCTCAAGCAGCATGACACTCTCAAAACTATTAGCGCAACTTTTTTTTATAGAGCGTCTAGATCTAGTTGATATTTCATGTTAGTGAAGTCAGTCATTTCATCGAGTTGGACGTAAGCCCTTTCGCGCTGTTCGCAAAAACATACAATCATATATACTAGTTGCAAAACACTTGAAGGAAAATCAAAAGAATAGGGAAAAGAAGCATCCATTCAGGGTGGGAGGGAAAAAAAGTCTCCAGACCTGGTTATTCAAGTCACTTTAAAGATATAAAAAAAGGCTCGGGATATAAAACGTATGAGTAAGGCTCGGGCTTGAACTGGTGGTATATATGCATACATAGTAATGTCAAACAACCATAATACTGGGATAGATATAAATGAACGACGTTTCATAAAAAAAAGGCATTTTCAAATCTTTCGACCTCAAGCATCTTCTGTCAATTCTGATCAAGAATGTCCATGTAAAGCGACATTCCATGATATAGGAATCGTATCTAAGATAGATGCAACCGTTAAAAAAAATTCAGCAAAATCTCGTCACCTGCAGGGTTCGAACCTGCGCGGGAAATCCCATACACTTAGCAGGCATACGCCTTAACCACTCGGCCAAAGTGACTTCATATTTAAATTTTGTCGTAAATGACGCCTATTCATTTACCTAAATATGTTATTTCCTTTCAATTTATTTATTTCCTATCATCTATTTCTACCATTTTTAAATAGTATTTAAGTAGCTTTTCCTTCACTGCAAAACGGCATCTCTCTTCTTATTATCGATGCCCTTTTGCAGGTGAGTTTATCTTCATTATTCTCATTATGAATTCTCAGAAAATTAGCAGTTATTAAAGATCTCTCTTCTTATTATCGATGCCCTTTTGCAGCATCCTCAAAATCATTCAAAGCATTACTTAGGATCACTATCGTATCCCAAAACCACGAGGCTCTTGCCCAATTCTTCATTTTTCATCATTACTACTAGTTTCCAGAGATCACTAGTAGATGCTCTACGACAATTTCTGTCCTAATAAGGCAACTTAGCTCACGTCCTATAACAAGTGACGTCATGGTAGGTAGGACCAGAGTATACCTATAGTGGTACCCTCAACCCACCCCGTCCTGCCTGGACATAGCCCAATGGCTGAGTAGTATACTCGTCAGGGCACCCTCCTGTCTAGCCCAGGGGCCGGGTTCGAGTCCTGGTTAAGGCACATAAAGTG